TCATGTTTTCATTTTTGTTTGTCAAAACACTTACATTTAAGGGTTATTTGGTCACTATTTTGTTACTTTTTTTATCCTTTCATTTGTAAGGTTATTAAACTGAAGTTGAATTTATTTCTCAGTAACATTTATTGAAAGGTAATTATAAAAGTTCAAAATTATCTGTTTGACTTCAGTTGATTTTGTCAACTGAAGCCAAGCAATTTCAGGATAATGAATAAAATATACTTTAAATTTGAAATGAATGCAACCTTTTAAAAATTAATTTAGCCAACTAATTAAATGTTAGGTAAAGAGCCAAACCCTTATTTACTTTCAATCAGCCACCATGCAAGGTTTTGATTTGAAAAGAAATTCATTGTTTACCATTTCGGTTGAAACGGTCGCAAATCATAGAAATTACGGTCATTTCAAGCATCCAAATGAGCCGAAATGTACTTGGAATGGCACCTAATAACGTTTAAGACGTTTCCAATGAAAAAATCAGGAGACACAATAGAAGTTTTGAGCATAGAAGTTAAAGATTTTACCAATCTTACTTAATCAAACTGAATTTACCGCTCAAGGTAATTTTGGGTTCCTTAAACACTGCGAAAATTGTTACGAAAGCTGGTAAATCTCAGGATTATTCAAGATTTATTAACTGTTTAAACATCCACAAATGGGAAAAGGAGTCAACAAATTATAGCTAAAAATGATTCGTTTCAATGTTCACCTAAACTTGTTATCTTTTTCAGCACAAGACGGCAGCATGCTTTATACTTTGCTGCATCAAAAGCAAATGTTTATTTTAATTAATCTTCCTGATTTTCAATCTAATTAGATTTCAATCAGAAGGTTAATTTCAGAAATTTTCGAGTGTATACAGTTCGGAATGACGCTATCATTGTTGAGATCAAAACTGTGGTTTGAAAGCTATCGTTGGTCAAAGTTTGATCATGTTTCTCATACATTTGTAATGCTGACAATCAAGCTAAACTGACTGATTTTTAATTTAGTTTTTAAAAGTCGTTTTTACTAATAAACTTTTGAAGATCACTTATCTTTCGTATTAATTTTCGTTAGAGCAAGAACGTAATTCAACAATTTGATCGTCAATTGAGGTAATTTCGAGAAAAATGAACGCAATGATCACATTTATGCACAAATTAACACGAATGGCCAAAATCGCGTATAAATTATTTTCTTTCAAATTTTAGACTCTGTTGGTTTGTTAGGACAAAAAAACTGAATCTGAGTACAATTCAAACGTTTATATGATCCACAGTTTTCGCGAGAATCGAGGTAAAAGTTGAAACTTCGATCGCATTTTTTACAGCTAGTTGGCCAGATTTTTTCATGAAAATCATTTTGCTTTTGTTAATTTTGATGACAAACCAGCACACGATCTTAATTTAAGCCATAAAATTTTCCATTTTTATCATTTGTCCACAAAAATTGTTGTTTAACACTGTGGTTTAAATACTTTTTGCAGATTAGCAACAGTTCGCTTGATTTTGGCCATTTACCTTAAAAGTTTGAGCTTCGATATTTGGATAATGATGGTACCTACAGTCACTATTCTTTCATGAATCTAGTCCTTTACTGATTAGTAATTCAATGCAATTTAGTAACTAAGAATTCGTGAATTCGGTTCAAGATTTTCGGGCTTTAAATGCCCGAGAAACAACTTATTAAACAAACAAAACTCATATTAACACATTTCTTAGCATATAAACCAATTTTCTGGTTAAACTCAAAAAACCAATGCAAAGATTGATGCCAAAAGCTCGAGCATTTGTATTAAAAGTTTCAACTCAAGGGGTTTAAAAGAACATAAAAAGGTGAGTTCAGCAGTGCTATTAAAAAGTGAATACGATCGATAGTTTTCGAGTAAATCGAACTTAAATTTGTAACTTCGATCACCATTTGTACGGATTTGGAAGCAGATATTTCAACAAAAACTTAATTACTGAAGTAACTTTTGGTGAAAAACCAGAACATGATCTTATTTTGAGAAATAACATTTTTCATTTCTGTAAAACAGACCAAGTTCGATTTCTGCTTAAATCTGTCGCATTTCGTTACAAGAAGCGTTAGAGAGCTGAAACTTTTCATTTGTCCACAAAAATTGTCGGTTAACATCATGGCTTGAATACTTTTTGCAAATTAGAAACAGTTTTCTTGATTTTGACCTTTCAAATTAGAAGTTTGAGCTTCGATATTTCGAGATTTATGGTACCTACAGTCACTATTCTTTCATGAATATAGTCCTTTACTGATTAGTAATTCAATGCAATTTAGTAACTAAGAATTCGTGAATTCGGTTCAAGATTTTCGGGCTTTAAATGCACAATTAACAGCTTATTAAACAAACAAAACTCATATTAACACTTTTCTTAGCAAATAAACCAATTTTCTGGTTAAACTCAAAAAACCAATGCAAAGATTGATGCCAAAAGCTCGAGCATTTGTATTAAGAGTTGAAACTTAGCAGAGTTTGTATGGACATAAAGAGGTGCATCTATTAGTGCTATTAAAAAGTGCATGCGAACGATAGTTTTCAAGTAAATCGAACTTAAAGTTGAAACTTCGATCGGCATTTGTGCAGATTTGGAAGCAGATATTTTAACAAAACTTATTTAGCTTCTGTAACTTTTGATGAAAAACCAGAAAATGGTCTTATTTTGAAAAATAACATTTTCTGTTTTCGTAAAACAGATCAAGTTGGATTTCTGGTTAAACGTGTCGCATTCTGTGACCAGAAGAGTTAGCAACCTGAAACTTATTATAATTCTTTGAAAGTTGATTGCTTACATCACAGATTAAATACTTTCTACAATTTACTTTCAGTTCGCTTGATTTTAGTCATTGGCCCTAAAACTTTGAACATTAATATTTCGAGAATGGTTTCATCCACAGAAATCATTTTTCCACCAAATCATAGATTTTATTATGTACTATTAGATATTGAAATATTAAATCATTCAAGATCCTTCATAAAATATTATTGCATTGTATAACTTATGTAGTCAGATATGAGACTTGATTTATAAAGCTAAACACAAATTTGATGTGTCAGAAGGATCTTCGCTATTGCATGAAACAGTTTAAACTTAATTCGATACTCAGTTGTATACTATTATAGCACAGAATGAAATCAAATGTTGTGTGAAAGAATGATGTCTTTAGATTAAACCATTCTCGAAATATTAATGTTCAAAGTTTTAAGGCCAATGGCTAATATCAAGCGAACTGATGGTAAATTGTAAAAAGTATTTAATCTATAATGTAAGCCAACAACTTTCAGTGATTCGTGATAAGTTTCAGCTCTCTAACTCTTCCTGTCACAAAATGCGACAGGTTTAAGCAGAAATCGAACTTGGTCTGTTTTACAAAAATGAAAAATGTTATTTCTCAAAATAAGATCATGTTCTGGTTTTTCACCAAAAGTTACTTCAGTAAATAAGTTTTTGTTGAAATATCTGCTTCCAAATCTGCACAAATGCCGATCGCAGTTTCAACTTTAAGTTCGATTTACTTGAAAACTATCGATCGTATTCACTTTTTAATAGCACTAATAGATGCACCTCTTTATGTCCATACAAACTCTGCTAAGTTTCAACTTTTAATACAAATGCTCGAGCTTTTGGCATCAATCTTTGCATTGGTTTTTTGAGTTTAACCAGAAAATTGGTTTATTTGCTAAGAAAAGTGTTAATATGAGTTTTGTTTGTTTAATAAGCTGTTAATTGTGCATTTAAAGCCCGAAAATCTTGAACCGAATTCACGAATTCTTAGTTACTAAATTGCATTGAATTACTAATCAGTAAAGGACTATATTCATGAAAGAATAGTGACTGTAGGTACCATAAATCTCGAAATATCGAAGCTCAAACTTCTAATTTGAAAGGTCAAAATCAAGAAAACTGTTTCTAATTTGCAAAAAGTATTCAAGCCATGATGTTAACCGCCAATTTTTGTGGACAAATGATAAGTTTCAGATCTCTAACTCTTCTGGTCACAGAATGCGACACGTTTAACCAGAAATCGAACTTGATCTGTTTTACAGAAACAGAAAATGTTATTTCTCAAAATAAGACCTTTTCTGGTTTTTCATCAAATGTTACTCCAGCAAAATAAGTTTTGTTGAAAAATCTGCTTCCGAATCTGCACAAATGGTGATCGAAGTTTCAACTTTAAGTGCGATTTATTCGAAAACTATCGATCGTATTCACTTTTTAGTAGCACTGCTGAACTCACCTTTTTATGTTCTTTTAAACCCCTTAAGTTGCAGCTCTTAATACAAATGCTCAAGCTTTTCGCAGCACTCGTTGCATTGGTTTAAAGAGTTTAACCAGAAAATTGGTTTATTTGCCAAGAAATGTGTTAATATGAGTTTTGTTTGTTTAATAAGTTGTTTCTCGGGCATTTAAAGCCCGAAAATCTTGAACCAAATGTACGAATGGGAAGTTATTAAATTGGATTGAGTAATCGATTAGTAATGGACTAAATTTATGAAAGAATAGTGACTGTAGGTAACATCATTCTCAAAATATCGAAGCTCAAACTTTTAAGGTAAATGGCCAAAATCAAGCGAACTGTTTCTAATCTGCAAAAGGTATTTAAACCACGGTGTTAAACAACAATTTTTGTGGACAAATGATAAGTTTCAGGTTGTTAACTCTTACGGCCATGGAATGCGACAGGTTTAACCAATAATCGAAATTGATCTGTTTTACAAAAATGGAAAATGTTATGGCTTAAATTAAGATCGTGTGCTGGTTTGTCATCAAAATTAACAAAAGCAAAATGATTTTCATGAAAAAATCTGGCCAACTAGCTGTAAAAAATGCGATCGAAGTTTCAACTTTTACCTCGATTCCCGCGAAAACTGTGGATCATATAAGCGTTTGAATTGTACTCTTAGATTCAGTTTTTTTGTCCTCACATACCGATAGAATCTAAATTTGAAAGAAATTAATTTATACAATAAACGTAAACTACGACACATTTGAATGAAAAAATGTATTAAATTTATTACAAAAAATGAATTCAATGAAAGCATAATGCTGGACACATTGAATGTTGAATAAAGTTCATTGATCGCAGTTCATAGTCAACAGTTGACCAAGTATAAGAATCAAAAATTATCATTATGATAAACATGAGAAAAAGAAACTTAATGTATCAATAATAACAAATGAAACATTTTTCCAAAGTTAACAAGTTCTGTTAAATAACAATCAGTTTGTAGAGTGAAAGAGTGATAACTGCTTTTCTTATTGTAATAATGTGTCAATGTTGTAGGCGGAATCATCGAGCTGATCAACATTTACAAAGTTATGATGATAATGATGACCATCAACTGAACATCCTGAGAAGATACAAAACTCATGAGAATGGAATGGGTGACATTAGTTTCCCTATGAATATATGCATCTTATTAAACCAGTGGATTCTCAACGAGTGGGCCGACAATTTGAAAAGGTTTAAAATTTGGTGAGAGATGACAGAAAGGGAATCAGGGAAATGCTTGAGAAGAAAGTTCAACTATTTTTTGATGAAATATTTTCATTATTTTTACAAAGAAATCATAATCTCTTCAGCATCTTGACATGCTCCTAACCCTCACTTGAAACTGAAAAAAAGGTTGAATGAAAAGCGACTGTCATCTTATTGCTAACTAACTATATATTTATAAAATATACTCATAAATTTATATAAATACGTATACTCGGTATATAGGGTTGTTCAAAATTCTTAAATTTTGTTCATTATTCAGAATCACTCAACAGCTAAACTTGACTTTGTAACTTGAACAAACTGTTGTTAGAAGCCAAATTTCCCATTCAAGTCTAACATCTCTTTACAATACCATCTGCTTATTTGATTATAATTTTGTTTTAAAATTTACTAATGTTATGTCCAAGAGTACTGTCCATCTGATAATTTGATAACTTCTTGATCCAATTGAGTTTGACTTTGCAAATTTCTGAACGAAATTAAGTTTGCATTGTTTGGCGATTTCACGGACAAAAGCAACCAACAATAATCAACTTTAGAAACATTTCAGGTGAAACTTTGTCCGATAATTTTGTGGTTCCATCTTTTTGTTTCGTTGGTTTTCTGGCCTCCATTGGAATAAACTTGTTCCCAAAGCTTCAGGTAAGTTTACTGCCAATCTTGTTCCTATTATTGTTCCAATATGCTCGAGAATCAATGTGTCATGCAAATGTCATGCTAATCCAAATCTGAAAGATTAAAAAAAAAGACTTGAAGTTAAAATTACCTGCTGTTTACAATACTTCAGATTAAATTGTCCTACAATTTGAGCTTAAACGCTAAATTTGACCAAATCTTTATACGAAGCCACTAGAGTTTTTCTGTCATTTCACCACTAAAGCTTTTAAAGCTTGTAAATCTTTTAATCACTTGAAACCCCTCTGACTTGACCAAAGGTGAAAAATTTCAGCAGAATATCGTTTGATTATCTTTTTGCCCATATTATCTGAATGATATTGGCCTGAAAAATTTACGATATTACACCTGATGTTGTGTTAAGACACAGTAAAATTGTCTAAATTTTTTTGTTCAAAGTAGAGATCATATGAAGCAATATTTCACTTACCGTTAGATTTTAAGGAGCCAAATTTTTCGTTTATACCGTGGTCAGACAACAGCGGATAGAACCAGAATATTACTGTCCAGTGTCTTAATCACAGCTTTATTCACTCAATCTGTCAACAATCAGAGGGTTATGATTCCGAGATCTAAAGGAAAACATTTCAACACTTTCATAAAATGAATTGCAATTTACCCTAGCGAGGGCTTTTCAACCCATTGAGCGGAACATTTAAAATCTCAATTTGCAGAGCCAAATTTATTGAATTTTATTTCAATGGAAAGTTATTTATTTCAACAATCAATTTATAATCAAAATCATCATCTCTCTTAAAATATAATCAAATTGCATCAAATTCTCAAAGAGAAACTTTCTGGCTCGCAAATATAATACGATTTAAATGCCAACCCATAGAAATTGAAATGTCAAAATAAAAATTGAACTTGTTTACAATACAAAATATCCAGTACATTGAAATGAAAAAATCTTGACTTTGATCATCGCCTTTCCACAATTGATTTAAAACGTTATAATAAACTGTACTGTTTATCATGGAATCTGTTCCTGGTTCAATAATTTAAATACATTCTGCAAAGTTTCATCCAAGTTGACCTTTACTTGATCCAAATCTCTGTTATTGTTGAAACTTTAACTTTCCAATTTTTTTCAATTGATAATTTTAGTTGCAGTTTCTTGATATTTCAGCAAACATTCATGTTCAATGAAACTATAACAAGAGGGAAAAAAGCTCAGGAAAAAGATAGAATGGACAAAGTCCCGTGAGACTGGAACGAAGGAAAAGTTAAAAGTGCATTACAAATGTATTATTGTGATGTATTTTTCATCATCATCTTTATAGTTTTACTTTTCATTTGATATTTTCCCTGGTTTTCTGAAAGAAAAGAGTTATTCAGATGTATTAATGTACACACAAGCAAAAAGAAACAAAAGACAGGTTAACTTTTGCTCATTTCACTGAGTCAGTTGCTTAACAATTTTCATTACATGAATATTTTATTGAAAGAACTCTCGTTGTTTTTATTTTCCAATTGATTGTTGAAATGAAATGACCTGCAAGTCTATTAACAGACCTTTAAATATTCAGAAAGCTAAGAACAAAAAAAATTCACAAAAAGGTCAATTTTGTTGAAATTTGAATCCCTTAGCATTCAATAATGTTTAAAAATAAAGTCATTTGAAAAGCCATTGACTTATGCTCTTTCAATGCAAAAGGTTCACTCTTGTAGCACTAAAACTTGATCCAAAGCCTTGTCCTTTACAGTTACACTGTTCAAAGTCTTGCGACTCAGTTTTCAAAATTTCATGATTTGTACTGAATTTCGTATCTAATCGTGATTTGAAAAATAAACCTGAATAAGAAGCTTGGAGTATCTAAAATTTAAGTTCATAGTAATCATAACCAGAGAGTAAATTGTTTCGATTGTACTACAATAATGATTTAACCATTGTTGTGACAAATTTTAGTGTGTAAATCAATAACAGATTGCTTTTGCAAAGTGCGAGTAATTCAATTATTGATTGAATTGGAGAATTTCCTCGATCAATGATTGAACCAGCAATTAACTGTGTTATTTAGTGGTTTTGCGATTGAGTCAAGTTTGATGAATATCACTGTTATGGATTAGTTTGTCATTGAGTTTTGAAAATTTGCAGCTTTGAATGATTGGACTGATGATGGCGTTTTGAGAGTGAAATTGATTTGATTTCAATAAATTTTCCTTTTCTTTACCGTCATTTGATTCAGAGCTTAATCGGCTGAATTATTCAAATTTCAGGTTATTATTCATGAGTATAACAACAAACAAAGTTGAGATAACAAATGGCCAAACTGACTTTTATGCCGAAATAATGATAGCTGATTTGAGTCATTTACTCGAGACACCATTCATCATCGACAAGCTCAATTTTTTATCTTGATTTGATCTTCCTCTATCTTCCTCATGATTCGTTCATACCAATCATGTTTTCCGTTTCTTTTACCTAGCCGTCACCAGCAAATTAGGAACTGTTCAAGATTGATGATAAAATGCTTCGAATGTCGCAATATCATGGTGATCAGCTTGCATTCAATTGTCATGATTCATGTTTCACTAGAAGTTGATCATGTTGAAATGAAAAACGATATGGCAATTTGGAGTCGTATTCAAATGATCATGACCAATATGGTGAAATGGTGAAAAGGTCACAATGAAAGATGTAAATTGTTGTAAAAACAGAGTGAATATTGCAGACTTGAAAAGGAAGAAGAATGGAAAAAATGAGCTTCAAAATTTCAACTTCTCACATCAAGTTCATCGGTCTATGAACAAATTCAGAGCAAGATAAAGAAAAAAGATTGTCAACTATGAGATGATGAGTTTAATGAGTGTAACTCTGATACTTGGCGAAACGTGAAAAGTCCAAATGTTCAGAGCATTCAGAATATTTGTAATGTTTTCAACTTTTCTTCTTCTTCTTTTTTCACTCATTTCTTCATTTGTTCCAACAGTTGTGTTAACAATTGAAACCACTGAATGATAATTTACTTTTTTAGGTTTAAAACTGAACATAAATGATTTTATTGTTGCTTGGTTTTTCATTTTTCATGGAAACTCTTTTTTTCTCGCTCGCTTCACTTTCATGGTAAAGTTGAGCTGCAATAATGGCTAAAATGGGAAACCAAGTATAATTAAGATCACTTATCAAATGTTAAGAGGAAAAATCAAACAAAGTTCATTTGCAGCTGAAACATTGGAAACAATTATTTATTGTATTTCATTGTGAATTAGTTGAATAATTGTTGAAGATTAACATATGAATATATTATCACATTTTCATTCATGAGCCTGGATTAACTTGTGAAAGTTAAAATAAATGAATGACTTCAATTTGATTTACTTTTTCCGTTTTACCTCTAGTTGGAAATTTCATTGCTTTCAGTTTAATTATCTGATTTATTGAACAATAACTTTCAACTTTTTACTCTCATTACAGAATACAGCATTTTCCTAAAAACCTACAACAAATTTTACCTGATTGATTAGAGCGAAAGGCAATTAGCTTTTAAAATGGTTAAAAGTGGAATAGAGATTCAAGTTATTTCTTACATCATGATGTTCTGGTTTATTTTACATGGACAAGTTAACTCTCTTGATTGCAGGTAAGTTTAATATAATCAGAATTAATGATGAAAAGCACTGAATATGGTGAAAAGGTTGAAAAAGAGAAAATTTGTTTCTTCTTCTTTTCTAATTCAATTTTCCCACCACAAAACAGATTAACCTTTTTTGGCTCACTTTTTTGGCTCTCTTTTTTATCAACATGAGTTGTTTTTTTTCTTGTCATAAGTGCGTATTTTATCCAAGTTTATTGTTCCTCGAGTTTATTATAATTTAGTTTTGAATATAATCATCTAATCAGTATGTGATCAGTAAATAATCAACTTATGAAAAGGAAACAGTGAAAGGAAAAATCAATACAAAATGGATAAATGGTGGTTGGCCTTTGAAAAACAAAAAGTCGTCTGACTTGAGCAACTAAAGGGTGTTGCGGTTAGTAAAGGTCAAACAGTAACCTAAATGTTGATACATAAATAAAGACGATATTGTAAAGATTATTGAAGATGCCAAATTATATTATAAATAATAACAGACACAATATTTTCATCTTCGTCTTCATCTCTTTTCCAAATTTCTAGTTAGTGATTGCTAACCGCTACAACCTTTACATGGATATATTGCTAACGTGAACCCTTTCAACCTTTTCAACTTGTATCTACGCTTTATACTATTATATTTAATTAGCATTTGATTAAGTTTTTACTAGATTAATCTTTCTCTTAACATTTCTTATTTTTTGCCTTCTTTTTAACGTTTAGGAGACACGTTTTTGCTCCAGGATGTCGAGGTATTGTTGCAAAGAGGACTCATCAAAATAGCATTAAATTTGAAGATCCTTCGTAAGTACTGGGCTTAATTTATACGCTTCCCAACCATTGATCAACACCCTTGCTAATTATGGTTTTTTGTTGGTTTTGATGATTTCAGGAAAAAACTTACAGCATCAAGTGATGAAGATTTGATTGAATCAATTGGGTCCGATTCACTGCAAATGAAACGTTTCTCTTTACCTTTTGTTTTTATGGTTAATCGCAAACCAAACGTAATCAACTCACCAGATTATAATAACAATAATAATTTAAATAACAATAATATTAATCCGTCTGCTTGGGTAAGCTGATGTAATTTTGTTAAGCTCAACTTTAAATCTAACGAGTTCAACGATCCTTACTCGTTTATACTATTGAATACTAACATCTTATTTCACATCTTTTTTCAGTTATTTAGTTTAACAGGATCAAACAACAATCGCAATTCCAATCCATTAACAACAATCATCAACAGTTCAAATCAAAATAATGATCCATCGACGAGTGATAACTTGGAATAAGATGGTCGCAAATCCCAACAATATGGCAGTAATTGAGTGGAAAACTGGTGCAACTAAACAAAAGTCTATTGACAATGATCAACTTAATCAACATTATGCTTTCTTTCTTAAACAAATGCTTTCAGTTTCCGTTATTCAAATCTTTTCAATTGCTTCACTTTAAATTATTTTTATAAAACATGTTTTAATTTATTTTGTGTTTATTTAATCATATTCACGTTTCCAAGTTAATTGTTGCCCATTCAAATTTGTAAATTACCTTTTCTTTCCTCCATTAGGAAGACTTGCTTCAATTTGTTTCAATCTTTGAACATTAACCTTTCATTGACGAGTTTTAGTTGAATAAAAAATCAGTTGAAATTGTTGTTACTTTCATCTAATGTTAATTACTGACGCGTTAATGAAGATGTGAAGATATGAATGAAATGTTATTAACATCAATTGATTGATGTCCATTAATTTAAACAATTGCATCTTTCAGACTAAAATGGGAAATGTGATTTAAACCATGCAAGATGAATAATTAAGATGAAAATGCCATTTTTAAACTTAAAAGTAAAAATAACAAGAATCTTGAAAATGATTGATTTATCATTCTTAATTCATAGAAGTGGAATCAAGTAGATGATTATGTGTATTTAAATAAATGATAAAGATGTGTTCAAGTGCTTCCTTTATTCAGTAAATCATGATAAAGTGGTTCATTTCTATTGAAAAGATGAAATAGGCGAGAACAGCAAATGAGAAATTATGGAAAATCTTTGCATCCAAAAATATTCTCAACCTTTTATTCATTCTATAATTTTTCATTACTGACTGACTGAAACCGGAAAATTGGTAACCTTTAAGGGCAAGGAAAAAAAAGTGAAAACATGATTAACTGGAAATGTTGAGTTAGACATGAAAAAATGAAAACTCAGCCTTAAAAATTGAACATTTATCTTAAAAAATAAAAGATTGAGTTTTAGTGTTCAATATATCTGTATGATAATCAGTTGAATGTTTCAATTTATTCCTTCTGAATATGTATCATGATTACATAAAAGCATTGATGATACTTTTGGGATTCTTTGTTTCTCAGCACATCACAATATATGAATGAGAAGAATGTAAATATTGAAATTAGGTGAATTTATGAGGTAACTGTTGGTATATCATAATGAATGGTGAAAACAAAAAGGGTTAGACTGGGTTAATGGATGTGAAATTGAAAAGGCAAGAGTGTTCTCACGATGAATAAATCATTCAGAAATTTATTTCTTTATATTTCTAATTTGTAATTGTGTAAAGGCATCTGATTTTATTAATATTAATTAAATAGTCACTGGGGTTAAATAGTTGAAACTCTTGAATAGTGATATTAAAGTGAATTGAGTTTGATACTTACTTGAGTATGAAATTGCACTTGGCCTTTGTTTTAACATGAACGATCTGATGAAAAGGTTAAATTTCATGGCAAAAATATCCATCGGTAAAGGCAAATAATGGCAAAAATTTGGTGAATAAAATGAATAATGACAAATTCATCTTTAATAGTAAACGATTGCCCAAAACATAACCCAATCAAATACATAAATGGACCTTAAGCACAAAATGCATGCTCTAACCAATTTTATTGAACTTTTGGTCCATAATTGGATAAATTAAATCTAACTTTGCCTTGATCTTATCCTTACACAATTTAAGTTAATCTGTTAATAGCAAAGATAAAGCAATGTACAACAATGGTTTGGATATTTCGAGTTGAAATTATGTTGAGTGTTGTCCGTTACGTCTGATACAAGTGTAGAGATAACTTCTTCCATGTTCAAAGTTAATCAAAATCATTTTTCAGCCTTTTTCATCGGTTATAAAAAATCTTTTGATTGGGTTTACACACCTAAAAGCTTCAATTATTTAATCATGATTGATTTTTGATCATGCAAATGACTTTCAACTTTACACATAAACATAATCACAATTTCAGAATAACCAATTATAACCAGAAAAACGGTTGGTCATCTGTAATAGCAATTAAATTGGTCTTAAATATACTGATTTATAAATAAAACATAAAAAATAACATAAAATCCCATTTTAGCTTAAGATTTGTTGAGTGTAGAGACGATTCTCAGTCTCAGGTATAAAAAACTCAGATTTAGATCAGTTTTCATCTCCATTCTCATCTCAGACGAATCCAAAAGATTAATTTATTTCCAATGCTATCCATTATTTCCATGTATTTTATCAATTTTAACTGAAAAATGATTTTGTTTACTGTTCAAAGGCTTTCCATTTCCAATTTTGCTTTTCAAAAGTCTATTGATTTCAACAGCATTTCATTGAAAGAAACGCTCATAGAACTTGAAAATCGATAACGGCAAGTAACTTTAACAATAAATCTATTTACTAAATTATACAATTCAAGTTTTAAGAGTCGGTTAAAAGTTTTCAGATCTTGTATATCGATTTGAACTCCTTAATGAAATGATTTGTTTGTGCAATGATAGTAAACGATCATGATAGTCAAAAGTTCAACTTTATGTCACGCGTAAGTCAATTCACTAAACCTAACAATCAAATAATTTTGTACCAACAATTTCATTCAATGAGAGGGTTCGCTGGGCAAATATCAATAAGATTACAACAAAACGTCAATGTAAAGTTAAGAATAATGTTGATCACGCTATCGCTTTAATGGTGAGCGATTCATTAACAATGAGGAAAATTGAGACATAAAAACATTTTTCTGGCAAAATGTGTTATTTTTACCTCAAATTGGTACGATTTATAAGGTTATATCATCATTATAAGGTTTTATTTTGTTCATCAGTAAATCAATATTAAATATGGTTGAACTTTAACAGAGTATATTAAACTTGAACTTGAGGAAACATTGAAAAACGATTCTAAATCTCATTGATATTAATATATTTTACGGTGTAAATTATAGTGGGAATAATAAATTGAGGAAAGTTGAATTGAAATTAATCATCATTAGTTTGTTTGGTGAGATGGATGAAACTAACCTTAAGTATTAAGGGTAATGTTTTGATAGATGTTATTAAAAGTAAACTTTAATGTAACTAGTATATTAATATTAAAGCAAATGGAATGGATTGAAGAAAATATTTCAAAGTTAATGAATGAGAATTAATTTTAATTTGTAACATTACATTTGTAAAACAATAAACATTGATCAAGATTTAATGTGAAGTTATCAAGTGTGAAATGGTTAGCAAATGGATACAATTGGTCAAAGATTGGGAGATGATAAACAAATGATTAGGTAAAACGATACAATTTACATGTAATGATGGGGATAATATTGGGTTGATTTACATGCAACAACATGTAAGTTTTGATGACTGTGACTATGATTTCACTTAATGAAATATGGGATACATTAACTATCAATGTAATACTGCTAGATTTTTCGGTTATTGATCTTATCTTTTGAAGCCATGAGATTGATTGGTTGATGATAATGGCAAATTATTACCTGGCTTTGTTGATTTAAACCCAAACAACACAAATATCCTCTTTTTTAAGTGATCTTGATTAGTTTGCTTTGTGGATATAAAGTTAGGATCTTATGAGATGGTTGCACTTCATGATCCAAAAAGTAGTCCATCATTTCCCTGGTAAAGTGAATCAAATCTATCCCAGCCAGAATTGGTGTTGCTTGGGTGCATCTCTTTAACCATTGATGGAAACAGTTTACTGATTATATTCTTGTACGAAGATGAGGATGGATTCATCTCAGGCCATGGGTCACTTCTGTCAGTTAAATCACTAAAATGGGAAAGGAGAAAATGGAAAAGGAATAGATTTCAGATTAAAATTTAATTTAACTCAACAGATGATAGGTTTTATGCGTTCAGAAAAACTGAAATGGATAATTGGATAGCCAATATCTTGATAAAATTTCTGAGTGAAATTAGCTTTTAAATGGAAGTATCAAATGGATTTTTGCGTGTAGAACCCAGTTCAAGAAATACTGCTAATTCGACGGAAACAGAATATGGTAATATTCAAATTAAATTTACAGGTATCAAAAAGAACAAGATAATTACTTTTGGGTAGACTTTGAATTAGTCTTGAAACCATTAGAATTAATCCTCTTGGCAATAACACCTCGACATGTTGGAGCGAAAACAAATTTACTGTTGAAAAAAGAAATAGGTTAGTTTTATTCACCAAATTAGGGATTGACATTCGATCTAGCCAATAAACATCGTTTAATTTCAACACTGAAATATAATATTTAAGGCTAGAAGTTCGACAATCAAAACATGCTACTAAAAAGGAAATTTACAGCAACAGTTGATCAAATGTTTGTAAAAATGTTGAATGTGATGAGATGACAGTGAAAAATGTTTCAAATTAAACAGGACAAAGAAAAGACGACATTTACAATTTGATTATGGTAAACTTACCTACAATCAACCGGGTAGGCTGTTGAAACAACAATTAGATTAAATAAAACGATGGAAAGCAATGTTACCAGTACAGTTAGTTGATTAACAGATGAAACCATTTTAATGCGATGCCAACCTTAGTTTACCGGGAAAAAACAAGCCAATTAAAATTAGCAAACAAAGGGAGCGCGATGTTCAAATACAAGTTGAAATTATTTTAATCAAAACTTGAATTCCAATGAAGCATGAAAAGGATAAAACTGATCAGATTACTGAATAAGATGGGATATAAATCAATTGAATTGTTCACTATCTTTGCATATCATAAAAGCATGGAAACAAGATAAAACAAAACGGTTTAACAGACAGACAAACGCACCAAACTGATGTAATCCTAAAACAAAAGGGATTCTTGAAAAAAGTCTGAAAAAGCTGAAGTATTTTTTTCACACAATGACGATGATAATGACGATAAACGGTTAAAAGATGATGAGACTCACTTCATCATAATCTCACCCTTTCCTCCAGCAAACTTCATGTTATGCAATTGCGTGACAGACTCACACCAAATGAAATAATAAAAATTTATATATTTTTTTCCTTCTAAATATTATTTCTATACAAAAACGATGAGCAACATTATCATGTTATTTACTTGGATTCCCTGTAAAAATCAACTCCCTGTTGCTGTTTTGTTTCATCTTCATTCTCATCATCATATAGGCATTATCAGCATTCATCTGAATATTTTCAGGTTTTGTTTTTTTCTTTCCTTACTATTATTATTAACTCTTTCTGGCTATATATCATGAACAACTCAACCATCCACCATGCTAGTACAAAACAACACAGGAAAGGTCAAAATGTTTTTTTTCTTCTCTTCTAATTCATGTTAATTCATTTAAAGTTTTCTTCTTCTTCTTCTTCTTCATTTCAATCTTCGTTTTCATTATTCTACTTGCTCTCTACTTGCTATTGTTTCATCCTACAGTCACTCAATTATGCTTTTAGCTTGGCTTACATTTGCTTTGTTTTAAATGTTAACTAATTTTGTCTCTGATTATTTAATTGCTTTGATTATGATATTATTATGTACTATAATGACGCACTTGTTGAATTGTTTAAAACAATCAACAATGTAATATCACTCACAATGCAACTTGAATACATAAAATTAGCCATTTGCTTATTTTTATTGATTTACCGTAATATCCAAATCTCTTTAGGATTGCTCTTTATTCATGGCAATCATTGATTGATAATCAAATGAGCAATCAACTTATAACATTTCAGATTTATATTACCATTTAGATCATGGTTTAGTAATATTTCCATAATCGATCATTTTATAAGAATCATTTTTCAAATGATAAAAAGAAATGTGAAGCTAAAATCTTGAGTTTCTTGAGTTAAGGTTTACACACGATTTTTGATATTTTCATTGATTTTTCCGATTAAATGTCTTCAATGCTCAAATCAACTCGAAATTGTCCAAATTTTGTGACTTTATCGATTAAAATGATGAAATAAATTTCATTTCTTGAACTTATTCTAAAGCACAAAACATTAACTGTTGATCAAAACATAAATATGCTTACATTTACAGTCCAAGTTGAAAACCAAAAAGACAAAATTGACTGAATTTGATTTTAAACTAATAATAGCTATAAATTACTAATAGCTTTCAATGAATATAATCATGTTCAATCGATTTTATGATTCAACTGAATCATCAGAATGGATTCATTCGGAAAAACAAGCAAAATTGAATGAAAATTTCAGTTCGTTTTGGGTTTGATGTGAGCTAAAGGTTTTAAAGTTAACAATTTCTGGTCAACTTCTGAGATTTACAGCTTTCACACAACAATCAAATCAAGGAAAGTGCTGTTTAATTGTTAATCTGTCTTTCATTCAAACAGTTGATTTGGAAATGAATACAATAAGATTTGGTTGACGTAAAGCACAGGTTGATCAATAGGCAAAAAATTACAATCTGTGTACATCCAAAATCAATAAGAAACAAAATGATTTCAAACCATAGGCGGTGGTTTGAGTTTGAAATAAAGGATGAAATATTTTTGGTGATAGATTGATAAGTTGAAATGAAAATTGCTTTCATTCGTTGAAAAGTCAGGGAATCGGGTTGAAAAAATGAAATTTCATTGAAAAGAAAACACGAAGACAACATTGAAATACATTTTCCACTCAACAGGATTCTTGTTTTTCCCTTCATTCTTCCAACAATTTGGCTTTTCATCCTTTCTCCATCATCTTTAATATTATTCCTGTTACCTTTAAACATTTCAATTTCATCATCTATCTTCATTAAGATCTTCAGTTGTCTGTAAATCAATTTAATAGGTTACATTTAAAGATGACCTCATCAGTTATCAAAAAAAATAAAACTAGGAAAAGATGAAAGGTTTCATTTCAATTACGTTCAAGCATTTTTTGGTCAAACCATTTGTAATTCAATGATTTTTTCATGTTACAATAAAAGCAAATGATGGTTTACATTAAAGTTCCTGATGAATGAAATGATGAAATCAATTACAATTTGAGTTGATTAAACCAGGTTCAGAGAAATGTCATTAAAAACGAAATAATTTTGTACGTTTTTCACAAAAAAAATGTATCGATATCAATGGAAACAAAATAAATGCTTTCGATTAATCGATAAGCCAAGCATCTGACAATTTTTTAATTTTAATGTTTAATATTTTTGAGACTCGCCAGATTTAATCTCAATTTATTGATTTTATTCATTATTAAATAGTGAAGTCTACTTTCTATGATTAATGTAACAAGTTGATCCTTAACAGATGATTTATAAATGAATTTGTGCAACAATAAAAAATTTTAATCAACCAAATAAGAATTGTTTTGATTGATTCAACAGATTTGGATTCAACTCTAGAGATGTGTTAAAGCTTCAGCCAAAAATTAACAGGTAAATCGATAATTTAATTAATTTTTAAGGTTATTCATTTTAAAACCTTTAACGAAACACTTTATTTTGCTATTTTTACAATTATTGCCTCGAGTTAGATCATGAATTGGACACTCAAAGTCTAATCAAATCAAGATAAACTTGAAATCCAATTCTGAGTCAAATATTGTTCATTTTAATAGTTAAATTTCATTAATTTTTGGTGAATAAAAAAATTGAAATGAAACAATCGGTAAAAATGATCCGCTTAATACAATTATGTAAATGTTAGGCTTTTAAAAGGTTGGAAAATTTGATTTAGCAAAAGTCAATTTCGATTAAATTCAAACTCTCACCATCATTAGAGTACATATTGATTGTACAATTGATTAACAATGTTATTACTTTGAAGGCCTCGTCTTGGTTAGCAAAATAGGATTCTCAAAATTTCAGTGAATTCTGTATTCTTCATGCTTTCAATTTTACTGACAAACTCATGGACCATTAAACAAACCATTTATCTGATTGTAACTTAAGTGTAACATTCAGTTACATTTAGATGTATTATGTTAATAACCATGTAAATGGTTAGTTTTTTTTGCTTTCCGAAATTTTATAAGAATATGTTTTACCATTTAAAGCTACTTTCATTGCTTCTTCTGCTTATCGCAATCAAAATTGTTTCATCGCAAGTAATCATTGAAATGTGTAGGAATATTCCGGATACAATTACGTTTATTAGATGGTAACACTAGGAATCACTCATGACGTTTTCACCATTCAGTTCATGGATTCATGAAAGTCTTGAAATTTACGATAATTTTACTTGAGCTGAGGTTTGCAAGGTTTAGCAATTTTAATCATTCATTTTTAGATCGGTTTGAAGGAAATATAAACAAAATCAAATCTTGATCGTTATGATTGGAAGCTTTCAGATAGAATCGTTTATATTCACGATAAGAGGTTAATTATGATTATGTACTCCGGTTGTTGACGGTTCAATTTCGTTAATTGTTGCTTTTAAAATTTCAACTGTAATTTTTCATGTTTAATGTTAGGTTTTATCATGAGTTTCCGTCTTTAAATTATACAACATCAAAATCTAGCTTTCATAATTTAAAATATTAATATCTTTAATACGATTTTTATCAATAACTTTAAATATATTGATAAATATTATGATAATTTAAAATAAAAACGTAAGTTTTAATGAATTTGTTTACAATTTTCTTGGTTTGAATTGAGCGCCATTTTCAATTGTAACTAAGGCTTACGTGTAGTATTGACACAGCTTCATTTGACATGTAATTGTGTTTGTGATTGAATGGTATTTCTAAGCATCAAGTTAACTAAATTATTATCAACAATTAATATTGTTAAAGTTATTTAATTTTTATCTTTAATTAGTTAAGGTCAATAGTATCTTTTTTATTTCAAAATGAACACTTTTCTAGCGCGTACTAATGCTGTCTTTGCATTTGCTTTGAGCATATTGGCTGCTTTAACATTTTTTTGTGCTATGTCAACTTCCTACAAAAAATATGGTGATGTTGTACCTGTTAAAATATCAACAGCCCGTGAATCTGTCCGTAATTTGCCTAATTATCAAGCTGGCCGAGAAACTTGTGATCTTGGTATGCTAAACTTTGATTTAGAAGCAGATTTTACTAAAGCTTTTGATTGGAATACCAAGCAACTCTTTTTATACCTAACTGCCCATTACAAGACACCGGCCAATGTTATTAATCAAGTTGTTCTCTGGGACCACATTTTATTGCGACAACCTGAAGCTAAATTAAGTCTCAAGAATCATAATGTGAAATACTACTTCTGGGACGATGGTCATGGTCTGAAAAATAATCCAAATGTCACCTTAACTCTCTCGATGAATGTTATCCCTAATGCGGGAATGTTACCAATATTCACTGTACCCACTACTCATACTTTCACTTTCCCAAATATTTATACTAATTAATATACTAAATAGTTATAATAAATAATTATACCGATAAATTCTTTTTATATCTCTTTGTGTTTCGTTCGGAATCGCACAACAAAGGAATCAACAATGAATTCCTTCACGTAATCATTCATTGTAAGCAACAACAAACTCGTCGGACATGATTTATAAAAAATTTATTCAATTCTACACAATTTTCATGGGGTAAGTATACAAGCACTATTAGAATTATTTATCTTTTTTTACGTGTATTTATCTAGTTCAGGTGCAAAATTGAGTTTAAATTCACTTTTATCAAAGTGTCTGCGTTTAACTTATTCTTTCACATCATAGCAGTCATATCAATGATTAAAACGATGAAAACTAATAAGCCTTTTTCTTATTTTTACAGATTTTTATCATCATTCATCATTATCATCAGATTTCCTTTTCTACGATTTCTTCCAAACTCTATCCGTGGTTGGAGGTTTACTGATGATTTTACTTGTTAGCCATTGAAAAGTTTGCAATTGAAACGTTGGTATTAATAGTTTGGGAGAAGCAGTAAAATAGCAAATTACTACCGAAAGGAAACGCCGAAGACTAATAAATATTGAATATTTTCAAGAACATAAAAATTGTCAAAACCATTCATATAAAATTTACCCATCAAGAATGGAATGCCAACAAAGTGAAAAATCTTTAGAATCAGGACTCCTCGCTAATCAAGAAAATATAAAATACAACAAAGTTGAATTCTATTCTTTTATAATGATAGATTTTTCCTCGAATTATATTTTGTTCATCTTTACTTCACTTCTGTATTTAGCTCATGTTGCTTCACTTACTCATGTAGTAACAATGTTAAATAATTTCCCAGCTCATCTTCATCCAATGTCTCAATTTGCTGCGGCTATTACTGCGGCTATTACTGCTTGTAATACTGAATCTGCTTTTGCTAAAGCATACTCTGAAGGTGTTCACAAATCAAAGTACTGGGAATACACTTTTGACGATGCAATGAGTTTAATCGCTAAACTGCCAACAATTGCTGCCACTATTTACCGAAATCTTTATAGAGATGGTTCATCAATAGGTGCTATTGATCCCAACAAGGATTGGTCAGCTAATTTCGTTGATATGTTAGGATTCAAGGATGAAAAACTTACTGATTTTATAAGATTATTCCTCACTTTTCTTAGTGAACTTTCATCTTATATCTGCTGTTTCGACATACAAAAGAGTTGAAAATACCGAAAGAGCTGACTGAGTAATTGACTGAGTTTGGGAAAGTTAAGGGCATCAGTCCTTAAATCCAGTAATTTAAACTTAATGAATCCATTTTTGTGCTCATAAAGTTATTTCATAGTCTACATCAAAATCAAAGTCACAATAAGCTTTATAAATTTATAATCAATATATCACTTTAATATTTAATAGCCTTCAAATAAACGTCTTCTGATGTATGCTTCAGATCTCAAGAAACTCATTTTCATGACTCTAAAAATAACAGTGATTTTGAATAAAAAATATGCAAGCTCGTTCTTAAAAGTTAAAAGCTCAATCAAAAAGATACCACAACCGGTTCCAATCAAGAAAAAGGTAACCACGAGTAAACTGAGATTAATGAGTAGCTTGGGAATACTTAATCCAATCAATTTGTGTCAAAATCTTGTCTTGATACTCTTGCATAGAAACAGTTTGCTTAAAGCTTGGACTTTATTTCAGCTAACAATCTTAATTGTCAGTGAAGCCTTGATTTGCGGATAGTCACAGTTTTTAAAATGAAGATCTTTTTCCTTCCTATGGACGGGTAAGAATATTACCGATCACTGATCAAAATGTAACCTTATAATAACCTTTTTTGTTTCCCTTGTAAGCCATGGGCATATTAATGCATGCATTGGATTGGCTCGAATGCTTCGCGATTATAACCATGAATGTACTTTTGCAGTTACCAAACCTTGGATTAATCTTATCAAAGACCATGAATTTGCGGTTGAAACACTACATGATCCAACAGTAGCTGATGATCAAGATTGTCTTAAAAAGTGGGGAACGTTTATGTTTAACTTAGCTTACACTTTTAGTAAGCCACCGAAGGAACAGATTCCTTTGCTCAGTGTTCCAGCATACAAGTCTTTTATTGATTACGTGAAAATAATTGACCATCAGTTGCCAGCTCTTTTTGAAAAACTTGCTCCTGATTTAATCATAATCGATTTCTATGTAACTGTTCCTTCAATCGTTAAATCAGGTCGTCCATGGATACTACTTTACTCATGTAACCCATTGAAAGCATATAGTGGGCCCAATGTGCCTCCATCCAACTTTGGCCTCAGCGTCAACACGGACCCAGCCACATCAGCTGAATTGAGAAGCTTTCTGGTCGATGCCATGAAAGATGTTAAAGCTGAATTTGATGAGTGGCTAAAAACCAAACAAATTGAACCACATCCAACTGCTTTGGCTGATATCTCACCGTATCTCAATTTATATTCATATCCAACAGATCTTGATTATTCCGAGTTTGGTCCTGTTCCTGATAAATGGTTTCGACTTGATCATATGATCCGAAAGGTTCAAGGAGATCCACTGGGATTTGATGAGGCCTTCTTTGACCGTCCAGGAAAAAAGATTTACTTCTCGTTAGGATCAATGGGAGGTGCAGATGTTGACCTGATGAAACGAATGGTAAACATTATGAGTAAATCCAAGCATCTATTCATTGTTTCCAAAGGACCATTTCATGACCATTTTGAATTGGCTGAAAATATGATTGGTTATAAATTTATCAATCAAATGGCTGTTCTATCCCGAGTTGATCTAGTTATTCATCATGGTGGTAATAATACTTTTGTCGAGACTCTTTATTTTGGTAAACCTTGTATTGTCCTGCCTTTATCTGGTGATCAACGAGACAATGGGAAACGAGTTGAAGAAAAAAAGATCGGTCGAAGTTTTCTTCCTCATTCAGTGGATGAAAATGAATTTTTGACTGCTATTGATCAGCTATTGGATGATCAAGAATTGATTGATCGTCTTAAAATGATTGGTGAAAATATCCGTTCCTCTAAAAGCATTGAGCTGCTCAACGAAAAAATCAAAGATTTGGTCTCAGCAAAGTAAATTTCATACTTGTAAGGCTTTGAGGTAAAAACAAAACAATCAAATGGTAATTTTTATGGCTAATAGTTAACTAATTGCTGTAAATGCTGAAATTTCAAACATTGCATTTGTAATACTAAAATGTACTAATTAATAAGATTTCATAGTTGGCGCATAAATTGAAAAGTTTGTTTTGTTTTCTTTATTTTATCTAACATTTGGACAAATGATTGAGTGAGTTTTGGGTCTTGATTAATAGACTTAGTTTTATGTATTGTGATAACATCTAATGTATGCTATAAAAATTTCTTGAAATAACAGTGATGATTGTTTCAAGAACTACTGGAACAGTTCTTAAAGCATTGGTAAGTTTACACAATCATTTGGCGTGAAGTTAGTCTCATAATTTATAGTTTATTATATTGTTTCAATGATTGTTTCTTTAACAAATACATAGTTTGATTCATATCGATTGGGTTACTCATCGCCACTTAAATAATTCAATTCATCATTATCTTGAAGCAAAGATGAAGTATAATGATTATCACCTCAATGCTACGATCTTTCCTTTTTCATTGAATTTTATTTATTAATTTTCAGCCAAGCTTACAGCGGTTAGATGTTTCATTTATAAGAAATTTGTCTTGTGTAAGTTTATAATTTTTTTGTTCATTAATTTACATAATTATTGATTAGATATCAATTTTCATGATTGATTTGCTTATTTTTTGCAATTAGGAGCTAAAAGATGTAACTGGCGCAAAGATCAGTGAACATGCCAAAAAAGTCAAAGAATTTCGAGGTTTTTATGGAAGTAAGGTTGTTGGTGAAGTTACTGTAGATATGATCTATGGTGGTATGAGAGGAATAAAAGCATTGGCTACTGAAACCTCTTATTTGGACCCTGAAGAAGGTATTAGGTTCAGAGGTTATTCAATTCCTGAATGTCGAGATCTTTTACCAAAAGCACCCGGTGGTCAAGAACCTTTACCAGAAGGATTATTCTGGCTTTTATTGACTGGTGAAGTGCCAACAGAAAACCAAGTAAAGAATCTATCAAAGGAATGGGCAGCTCATGCAGATTTACCTGCTCATGTAGTAACAATGTTAAATAATTTCCCAGCTCATCTTCATCCAATGTCTCAATTTGCTGCGGCTATTACTGCTTGTAATACTGAATCTGCTTTTGCTAAAGCATACTCTGAAGGTGTTCACAAATCAAAGTACTGGGAATACACTTTTGACGATGCAATGAGTTTAATCGCTAAACTGCCAACAATTGCTGCCACTATTTACCGAAATCTTTATAGAGATGGTTCATCAATAGGTGCTATTGATCCCAACAAGGATTGGTCAGCTAATTTCGTTGATATGTTAGGATTCAAGGATGAAAAACTTACTGATTTTATAAGATTATTCCTCACTATTCTTAGTGACCATGAAGGTGGAAATGTCTGTGCTCATGCCGTTCATCTAGTTGGTAGTGGTCTATCGAGTCCATACCTTTCATTTGCCGCGGGTATGTGTGGCTTAGCTGGACCACTTCATGGTCTTGCCAACCAAGAAGTTTTGGTTTTTATTACCAAAATGCAACAACAATTGGGTGATAACCCAACTGAAGCACAAATTTCCGATTTCTGTCGCAAAACTCTTAAATCGGGACAGGTTAGTCAAGACAATTATCATGATTGAAACTGAAATCATTCCTAGTGTCCAGAAATCTAACACTTTTTTGCTTGTTTTACAAACTTAGGTTATTCCTGGTTATGGTCACGCAGTTTTACGTAAAACTGATCCTCGGTACACAGCGCAGCGAGAATTCTGTTTAAAACATTTACCAGACTATCCAATGTTTAAATTAGTGTCTGAAATGTATAAAGTTGTTCCTCCTATTCTCATGGAGACTGGAAAAGTAAAAAACCCTTGGCCAAATGTTGACGCTCACAGTGGTGTTGTCCTTCAGGTAATCAATTAGCTGTAAATTTCCGCATAATTTGTTCGATCATGCATTCAGATCCACTTTTTATTCTGAGATTACTTACTATGTGATGTTTTTGATTTTTATTTCTGCATATTACAGTATTATGGATTAAGAGAGATGAATTTTTATCCCGTTATAATTGGCGTATCGCGAGCACTTGGGGTTATGGCATCACTTGTTTGGGATCGAGGTCTTTCTTTACCAATCGAGTATTGTAAATCAATGACAAGCTCAGTTTTGATGAAAATGTCTGGTGTATCCTAATTGAATTGCTTCATGTTCAATTCAGTTTATTCTGGCAGATGCAATTGTAAAGAAATGAAATTCAACTCAGTGTATTTTATACCCTTCAAGAGCTAATATTGAGCTGTAAAGTTCTATTTTCCTAATGAATCAGGCACTAATCATGTAGTTATCATGCACATAATTGTGAACTATAAAGCTTTATTCACGAAAATTAATAAAAATGTCGATTTTCATTTTTGTATAAATATTTCCTATCCGAGTCACGTGTTTCCAAGGTGAATTGTATCCATTAGTTGTATTAACACTTCCAGCTGACTTTTAAAAATTGTGTTAGCAGATTTATTTATTTTTGTGTATATTTATCGAACATGAATATCGAGTGATTACTTGAATATTTTCTTCCTTATTACATTGTAATTACAGAATCAATTAGTTAATTGGCTGGTAAATCAAGGAAGATCGATAGATTGGTCTGTAAAACAAAAAAAACAAAGTTAACATGTATAAACGTTATTTAGGTGGTAAAGCTTTTGATGATTTTACTTGTGAAATATCTAATGGATACGATGGTAATCACCCGGAAGCCTGGAAGGTAAGTTAATCCGTAAGATCAACCCTGATGAAAAAATTCAACTTTTTAATCTTTTTCTATCTTTTTTTCAAAACAAGGTTCGACCATGTGAATGGTATAAAGAGGAATTCAGCAATTGTTCCAATTTTTTTCAACGGTTTAATCAGAGATTTATTTATGGAAAAGGATTAGATTGTAGCCAATGGATTACGGATTACAAAAATTGTATGGTATTCCGTCACAGTGGTGATGAGCAATTTATGGTAAGTCTATGTGTTCAAATTTGTATTTAGTCAGAGTAGCTAATGTTATGATCAATTGACCCTGGTCTTTTTAATTTATTTTATTGATATTGACTATTTGATAACAAAATCTTAATCTAGAAATTAGTGGTTCGATCGAGAATAGTTAATATAATTAGTAATGGTGACACAATTGCTACCAGTCCCTTCCCTACACGAGGTCAACCTCGTTTTGAATATTTTTTCCTCTCAGCTGTCTACATCAAATTGAACATGAGCTTTCCATTCTAGGCTAATTGACTATTTATTTTCTATGGAACCAGGTTTAGGTGTGACAATTGAAAAGAACGAGTTTATCTGAATATTATATCAGTGAAATCTTTTTCATGTGAAAATTTTGTCTTGAATCATTTTAACAATTGTTTTCTTCTACTCCTATTTCAGCAAAAAGTCATCGACAGTGAAAATGAAAGATTGAAAAAATTTGTTGTTGGTGCCTCTGGTAATGATGTTTGGGAATATCGTAAAACTCCTGCACCTCATTGGAATAAACAACTTCCAGATTGGTGGTACCAAAAAGTTGAAAATACCTTTTTAAAACGACACATGGATTCTGAGCGAGAAGACTAAGAATAGAAAATTGAGCCTTAATCATTAAATTTAGAAATTAATTGTGATATTTGTAAAATTTTATAACGTATTGAATTAGATTAATTGAAATTGAAAACATTTGTCCAAATTAATCGCTTGAATTTGAAAGCTTTTGAAATTGAATTTGCTTAAAGATGACTCTCCGTCGAAGTGATAAATCTGCAATCAAGTTGAATAAGATTCGCGATCGAATGACAATTCATCATTCCTTGGCTCTCATCAGTGGAACCATTATTGGATCAGATAATGAATATGTTACGTTGACTCGAGAAGATGGACTCACTTTTACATGGCCCATAGTCGATTCTTTGTTTAAATGTTTTGCTCCATTAAAAGAGGGTTCTAATATGATAACAATAAGTGGTGAAACAATTCATCCGGTCTCAGTTGACTTTGAGCTTATTTACCGTCCCCAGATTGAGAATCAACGATGCCTGCGAGTCATTTATCTGATCTGCCGTGACGAATGGGGTGAAATATTTGAAAAGGGAAGTTTCCAATCAACTCCTGGTGATGATAATTCATTGAGATCAGCAAAGGAGAAAATTTCTCTAGCCGTTCTAATGATGCAAACTTTTTTCGGCGAAACAGTTCCTGCTCATCATACTTTCCAAGTTGAACTTGATGATGATGGTCAACCTTTGGTCTACACTTTCACCCTCGAACAAACTTATAAAGACCTTTGGGCGATGGATCAACAACAATTATGGGATCTTGTGGCTGATTGTATACTTTCATCTAAACTGTCTAATGTCAACTGTAAATATCTGGGCTTTTGCTCTTTCTCTCGTTATCTTTGCGAGCCCGGTACTGGTCGACTAAAGTCTAGTTTGACAGCTCTTGATATTCGCAAAATGACGCGTGGTTATGTAGCTCTTGGTGGAGGTGGACTTGCCCTTTTATCGACCTCTTGTCTTTACTCCTGGCCCAATCGAATCGACCAGATAAACGAATGTCTTACTGATTCCCGTTTGATAGATCGTACCATGTTAATGGATGACAGTGGAAATAGGTAAAGTATATTATCAACTGAATCCTCAGTTATGTAACGAAAAGCAGCTAAAGATATTGATTTAAGGTTACAATTTAAAACTAATTTTGTAATAACACATTTTTCACTTTTAATTATACAGAGGCACTTATTCTGGTTGCTATTCTACTACTCTAGGAGCTTGTATTCATGAATTGGGTCATATATTTGATCTAGGTCATAATTCAATGGGCATGATGTCATCTCACTATCCCGATATTGATAAATTTTTCCTGGTCAAGCCCGATGGAGGAAGTGACACACATAAATGGTGGGATCGCTCATCGGCTTTAATCTTAACCAGTCACAAGTGGTTTAATAACTTTCCAGAATCCAAAGACGCATTCAAGTTGAGTGATTCCACATTAAGATCACGTTATGGTGTCCAGGTTATTGAATACAGAGGATCCAATGGAGTAGTCAAACGATTCAGAGAGTTCTTCCTTGCAAGTAAGTGGGTTAAGCTTGAAATAATGCCCGATGATGCTTACGTTATTGCAATGGATATAAGAGGTAATATTTTCAAGAAAGAATTGCATCCGAATAATTGAATTTGAAAATAAATGTAAAAACTATTGGAGAACATGGAACTTCTCACATAGAAACTGAACATGTGGAAATCAAATTTTATCATCACACAAACATCGACTCTTAATACATTTTGCTAATCAAAATCTTGACTATCAAATAACACCAGAAAAATATGAGCACATTGAAATTCACCAGCAATAGAGTTACGGCTTTTCCTCTTCCTCCTTAAACAAATAAAAATTATACCGATAAATTCACTCGTTTTGTATCTCCACGTGTTTCTTTTCGGAATCGTATAACAATCCAAAGACATCAACCCGTAATCATTTATAAAAAATCACTGGACAAGAAATCGTATTTAGAAGTTCAAAACATTTTATTAATCAAAAATTTGATTATAAATACCAAATATTACTGGACTTCACCAGCAATAGTGTTACGAGTGTAGATGATTTGAGAGTGATGTTTGATCACTTGCTTTATCAGTCCTTTTTGAAGAAGTTCTTCCAAGGCTTTCCTTGCTAATGATCCACGGATCTTCAACCTTTCAGATACAACTGAAGGAGTTATAAGTTTGTAACTAGGTACTTCTTTTAATAATTTATCATAGGTAGCTTTGTCGAATAAGACTAAGTTGTTCAACTTATCTCGGACTTTTCCTTTTGACCACTTCTACAAAGGTTAAGAAGAGAAAGAAGATGGAGTATTAGTAAATTATTAAAACACTTGCCATTAGCGAATAGAGTTTTTGAAGATACTGAGATCAACAAAAATAGGGCATAAAGGGTCAACAGCTTTCAGATTGTATTAAATTAAATACAATGGCCAGCTAAATTAAATTACAAAACAGATAATCAAATCAACAAACCTTTTTCTTGGCCTTTCCTCCTCCTCCTTCCTTCTTCTTAGGAGCCTTGGTATCAGTTTTTTTCTTTGAATCTTGCTTGGGTGGCTAAATTGTTCACAAAGAAAAGACAAAATCAATCATTAAAACATAGAATAATTAAAATTGAATCAATTAATAAAAATTAAGATGACTTACCATGATGATAGAAAACAATTTATTGCTCAGAAAGAGTTGTTTTATACAAGTGTTGCCAACTTATCCGTTTCCGGAAAGTAGCTAGGGAGACGAAAGTTAGAGAACTAAAGCTCCCCCTGGAAAGGCATCACCGCCAAATTTGTTTTTTTACATAGTTGGTTTGTTTTTTACATATTTGGTTTGTTTTTGGGTATTACATATTTTACATAGTTTGACAATTTAAGTTTGTTATAATTCGGGTTGTTGGAGTTGATTTGGGATAGTTTTTCAAGGATATTTTCAAGGGATTTAATAATTTTACATTGATTTTGTTTGGAGCTGAAAACATTAAAGTTGTCTGTTTCGATTAGGTTTTCCATGGTTTTACAGTTGAAAATGTAATGATGAGTGTTTGGTTTTTCTTCGTTACAGCATTTCGCTCTGCTTCTTAGTCGAGTTATGTTCCTAATCAGTTCAATCAGGTATTTGGTTTTACGACCTCCAATGAATTCCAGCGTTTTTAATTCAAAGTTTGGGTTCAAGATTATTGCCGTGTTCTCTTCTTTTTTCATGTGGAAGATGAGCCATTGTTTAAGGTTTTTTTCAGCAGTTTTGTAAATGTCCAGTTCCCTTGTGATCGCTATCACCTCCTTTTGGCATATTACGATCTCCTTGTCCAACTCGCCCCAATCCCATGTCCAATTTGTGTTGTTGAGTTTAAAAAGTAATTTTCTAATTTCTTTGATTTGATTTTGTGATTTTAGAGTTGTAGGTATTATGATATGATTTGATGGTTTGTTTTCTGTGATTATTGTTTGTGTTACGATGTTGATGGCTGTGATCATTTTGTGTTGAATAGAGTTGTAGTTTTTAATCTGAAAGTTGTAAGTTTTGTGGTTCGTTTTTATCGCAATTGTATTCGAGTATCCATTTACTATTTTGTAAATGTTTCCGGTTTCTTGTTGTTTTTGTTTTTTGTAGAATTCAAGTTGTGAAACTTCTCTCCCATCAATGTTTAGTTCTGTTAAATGTAGATCTTTGATTATATCAAACTTATGTTGTTCATTATGTTTGATAATTTTTGTGATATAATTTGGTATTTCATGCAACCAAGGATTTTTGATACCAAGAATAAGGGTTGGGAACCAATGTCCAGCTTCTGCACAAAAGAAAGTTTTTGCAATCACTCTATTTGTCCTTTTGATGTATCTTTGTAGATTGCAGGTAAGATTGACTGTTGAGGTGTATTCTTTTATGGCTAGAAAAGCAAAGCTTCTGATGCTGGAGGAAATAAAAGCATTGCAGATTAAATTCCTAATCTTAGGTTTAAGTGTTGTTATGGTATTCAGATTTGGTCTGATCGTTTCCAGTGATTTGATCATTATATCTTCGATTAATGCTTCATTGATGTTGCCTTTAATCTTAATGCCTAGGAAGTCCATTTTCCCTTCAACTTTGATGTCTCTGTAAATGTATTCAAGGTTGAATCTTTCTTCCTCATTCATTGCTTGTATTATTGTCTTTTTTTCATTTATTTGAAGGTCTATGGTTGAGAAGGCTACTTTTATGTCATCAAGTATGAAATTTAGGTCAGTTAGAATTTTTTGATACTTTGCGATGATTGCAATATCATCTGCATAAGCGACAAAATTGTATCCTTTGAGTCTAAGTATGTCCAGTGCTTGTTCCATACCAATAATGTACATTAGAGGACCTAGGCTGGAACCCTGTGGTACACCAGTATCATCTCTTGAGTAGAAATTTTCATTTCTAAACCTTATCTTTGCCCATCTGTCTGTGCAAAAACTTTTGATAAGGTTTAATGTTTGTTCATCAACGATGTTTTCAAGTCTTTTATATATTATATCTTTGTTGATATTGTCAAAGGCCTTGGTTAGATCTACTTTGACAATTACATCTTCCTTTGATAACAATTTGTTTATTGTTATAACTGCATCCATGTAGCTCTTTTCAGGGGTATAAGCAAATTGATTGTTATTGATTAGAAGGTGTATGTATTTTTGTAGTCTTGTTGTGAGTATTTTGTCAATTACTTTCATTAGGTGTGATTGTAATCTAATTTGTCTTAATGAGATGCCGTCTGGTTTGACTAACATGGTTATCCCTGAGATTTTGCATCTGTTGGGAATTTGTTCCGTTTTGAATATTAGATCAATGATTTTGATAATATAGTATTTGTTGTCTCTCCAGACTTTATTCCATTGATGGATGCTGAAGTCATCAGCGATTCCAGAGGAAGTTTTCGCTTTGTATTTTTCCAGTTCTTTGATTTCGTCAAAGGTTATCCCATTGTGATTTATTTTCTTGATTGGTTCATCTTTTTTGATTTTTGGTGATTTATATTTATAACTCTTGATTGTGTCTGAGATGTTGTCCATCAGTTTGTCATTTTCCATTGCCATTTGTTCAATATCAATTCGATCTGTTTTTTGGATGATAAATTTGTTGATGATTTGCCAGCATTTTTTGCTGTCTTTGGTGTTGTTTAATATGTTTTTGATGGAGAAGTTGTTTATTTTATATTTGATGATTCTTGTAGCTTTTATGTCACCAGCTCTTTCTCTTGATCTTAGTATTTTCATTCTTCTAGTTTGATTGTTGTTTGCTTTTACCCATTTGCCATGGATGTTGGGGTGTTTTATGATGTTCAGTACTGCTCGGTCAATATGTTTTTCTTGGTTCTTTTCTCTGATTCTTACTTCATTGAGTTTGGTTCTCTTGAAAAGTATTCTTCTTCTTGGTATTGTTGTCTTTTTTGAGCTGTTGAGTCTAAATTTTGTGATTAGGGCCCTGTGATCAGACAGGGGCTGATCCATGAGTTTACAGTAAGTTAGTTCTGCTTTCTTGTTGTGAAGAACCGCATCAATATATGATGGGTTGCCATTATTGAATCTTGTATAGTTTTGTGGTTCTGGTTCAAAAGCTGATTCAAGTGGAAATTTCATGCTGTTTAACCATTTGTCTATGACTTTTCCACCGGACCATCTTTTCCCTCTTGATAATGCTGTTCTTTTTGTTAAATGTATTGGTGTCCATTTGATAGCTTCACTATTAAAGTCGCCAGCTATTATGATTGGTAGATTCTGATTGCAATTGATTTGTGAGGATATTTGTTCAAGCGCTTCTTTCATTCTGTTTGACATAAAAGGTTGAAGGTGGATATTGAAGATCATGAAGTCGAAATTTTTCATTTTGATTCTTACTGCAACTGAGTTTGTGGAGATTATGTATTTCTTGATAATCTTGTAGTTGTTTGGTGTTACTATGGCTGAGGTACCATTGATGATAATGTTGTTATTGCTGTTGGCGTTTTCAATTTGTTTGTGATTGATTTCTTGTAAATTTATGATAGTGTTGTTTAAGTTACCTGCAAGGTATTTCTTTGTCAATTCTGAGTTGATATGACAGTTGTGATTGATTAGTTTTATGGTTAATTTATCAACTTTAGGCAGGCTGTAGTTGTGGTCAAGGATGTAAGCAGGTGTACATTGTCTTTTTGTTTGTTTTGTTTCCTTCTATTGTTGTGGTTTTTGTGATTAGAGAGGAAGAAGAAAAAAAGATAAAAAGTAAATTAGTGAAATGTTCTGTTGTATTATCATGATTCTTTTATTGGAGTGAAATTAGAGAAAGTACAATTCAGGCAGTTTTGAGAGGTTTTGTAAAAGAGGATGAGGATTGTATTGTTGTTAGCAAAAAATGAAAAAAATTAGGAGAGTGAATTTATGAAAAAAGAAAGGAATTGTTTAAGTGATGCTCATTGTCCACATCTTGTACTTATGTTGTTTCATTGATTTGGTGGAGTCATGATTAACTCATAGTTCATGTTGATGAACTGAAGTTCATGTTTTAATCTCCATAGGAATTGTGGGCATTCAGGATGATTGAAAGCATGTCCTGAGTTTTTGCAAGCATGGCATTTAAAATTACTGGTTGATTTTACTTGACATTTAGTGTAATGTTGTTTAGCACAATATCGACACACAGGTTGTTGTCCACACTGATTAGTGGTGTGTCCATAACTTGAGCAATTATAACATGTATGTATATTAAATGTGTCGTAAACATCATATTTTTGAATACCTGAGAAGATTTTACCCTGTTTGGCTATTATTGCTTGTCTTATGTTTGGAGAGACCTCAAAAACAATGTTCCATTTGTTGTTTCTCTCGACTCTGAAATTAATCTTAAAGACAGAGTCTTGAGTTTTTGGAATCCATTTGTTTTTGTTAATAAGTTTCTCCAACCATTTGTCCCAGTTTATTTCTGAGTTTGGTTCTTTCTTGATGGACACACCATTAATTCTTATGCATGGATTTTTCAACCTGGGAATCTCACAATTCCAGTTTGAATGAGCATTTTTAACATATTTCATAAATTTATCACGATTTGCGATGTCATCAAAATGAATGATCACTACCTTTTGTGATTTAGTGATCTGTTCAATTTCACCATATTCATCTGTTTCTTCTACAAGTGTATTGGAGATGTCATTCTTTAATGCTGTTGCATCCTTGTATTGTTTACCATCTGGTTTAGCGATGACCACAGGTTTAGTTTCGATGTTGTTGATTCTATGCCATCCTGGCTGTAAGACATTTTCATCTCTAAGATAGTTTTTGCTGATGACTCTTTGACGCTTTGTGGGGTTGATATTGTCCAGATCAATGATCTCATTGAGTTTGCTTTCATCTATCATAGGTTCATTTATTTCTTCATTATTGCGTTCTTTTCTTTTTCTTTCAATCTTGTCTTGGTTCGAGTTGGTGTCATTTTGTTCCGTTGATACTATAACACAATCATTGTTGATGTTGTTGGCATTTGGATTTTCTTTGTTGTTTGGCTGTTGACCTTTGGCGATTACAATATCGTTATTGTTATTCTGGTTATTTTTGTCTGTGGCTTTGTCATTGGCTTTATTCTTGGTAAGCAAGCTTGCCTTTTGTGCTTTAATTATATCCGCATAAAATCTGGTAATTTGAACCGCTTGATTGATGATAGTAGCATTCCAGTCTTCTGGAATTTTGTCTTTTCTGAGATTATTGCAAATTTGAACGATGACCTTTTTTATGTCATCTTCTTTGTACTTGTGTTTGAATTCAACGTACTTCGTGGAGTTGTTGATGGTCTCATGAATGAATTCAACGGTTAGTTGTTTGTTACTTTCCCATTGTTCCATCAACGTGGTGTTGTTTGTTTTTGTCTGTATAAAAATTTTGAGAAGAAAAATGAATGAGTTTTTTGTTATATTTTTGTTTTGTAATTTGTTTACTTAGTTAATAGTTTTCTCGTTAATATTTTACTGATTGTGTGTGTTTGTTTATTCATAGACATAAGTCTTGATTGAGTGGTGAATGGTTTGTTTTACTTACCATGCTTGGATTGTTTACCATGCTTGGATTGTTTACCATGCTTGGATTGTTTACTACAGGTGTTGGTAAAGACATGATTTCGAGTACAAACAAGTAAAAAAGATAATTCTTTTGATCTCGTAAGGATTGTGTGACAAAGTGGTGATAATGTTGTGAAGATTAGATAAATTATTGATAAGAAATCAATGAGATAAGATAAAAATTATAGAGAGATAAAAATTTCAAACACAAACTTATTAAACTAAAACCGACTGTTATATGCAGAATAAAGCTTACTTTCCGTTTCCTAAAAGTAACCAAGGAGACATTGAAGCTCCCCCTGTACAAGCATCGCCGCTATTTTTAAAAAAGAGTGGGTCTTACAAGTTATGTTTTTGTTACATTACGATTATTGTTGGTTACAAATTTTACAAGTTTGTTATAATTGATATAAGGAATTGGGAATTAAAGATGGGAGATTATTTTAGATATTTTTTAGGTTTTCATGGTCTTTATTTAATCATAATGATTAGTATTTGTATTCATGTCCAAGATTTTAATTAGATTTGCAGTGTTTTGCAGTCGAAGATTATGTTATCTCAAAAAGCAGTGAATACAGTAGTTGAATTGAGTTTCATTGAAGATTAGCTAATCTGAAAGTCACTGAATACATTGTGGAAACCTTTCAACATCAATTAAAAATCAATAAAGACCTCCTATACTATGCAGCAATATTATAATCTCAATTACATGTATATTAGTTTAGTTGAGTGAAAAGATGGTTTATGTGAAAAGGTCATTCAATTTTCAATCATCAATTACTTTTCCTTGTAATAGGATTAAATAAGGATCATTCGGTAAGATGTTTGTGATATGTTTTCAACCGAAAATTAAAAGACAGGTATAAAGACAAGGAATTCATATTACATAGCTTTTTTAATAATCAATATGTAACATGTACACAAGCGTGAAAACATTGAATACAAATGTTTTGAATAAATAACAGTTTTCTATCGCACATCATCTGGACAAAGTCATAATGAAAGTGATTGTGATGGATGTAAATTTTGAAGATGTGTGAAAGAAAATAAAATTTTGCACATCAAATGCACACAGATCTTGACCGGTGAGATTAACAATAGAGAAATGGTGATCAATAAAATAGTTTAGGGGTGAGGACAGTAAAGCTGAAAAATAGACGATCTTGATTGAGATTCAGGAATGACAGATTCTTTGCTTGAATCGATTTTTTGTTGACATGGTTGTAGATCGATAGCAGCATTTCATTTTGTTCAATGATTGGACAGTGGTGACGAAAAAGAGATGACAGGTATAAAAAATCATCTTTCTAGAAGTTTGTCGTTTGTATAAAAGAATATAAAAAAAGGTGAGATTGAATGCTATGAATAGAGAAATTCCCTGAGAGGATAAGTTATTGTAAGCAAAATAGCTTTTTGGTGATACTTTTTGTCTTTTAGTGTGAGCAAACGATAAAAAAACAACTAAATAAGGCCATTCAGTTCCAATATTTGAGATCAATAAAGTGTTTCTTGTTGAAGCCATCCTCCTGGATTTTTACGAATAATTGCTTTTCTAGACTCGTCATAGATGAAAACAACAAAGGCAAAAGGTATTCCAATAAACCACACAGCGAAACTGGAAAATAATTAAAATGTATGATTAGATGTGCAAAAAAAATTAAGAAAGATATACTTACTTGACAGGATACATTCGGAAAATGATTTGCATGCCAGGGAAATAACACAGTAGAATAGCTAGAATAGTTTCAAATAGCAGCGAAAAGTTGAGAACATGATTTCTGGATGAAAATAAAAATTACAGAACATTAGTGGGACCAAAATCATATTGAGAAATTGATCACTTACCTCATTCCTTGTTGGAAAATTGAGTTTCTTTGAGTTTTACAAATTAATAAATTAGCCCATTGAACGACGACAATTGTAACAAAGAAAGCGGTGTGACAGGTATATTCTAATATTTTCCTTTGTTTATAAGTCTATCAACAATTAAAGAGAGTGAATTGTAATTAGAAAAAATAGAATTTTGATATTTCATTGCATTTTTCTTACCCATTCTTGATTATAAGAGTCCAAAAGATCATTGATTGCGTTTGAGTTCCACTCTCTTCGCAATCCAACTAGTGTGGTAAACCACCATCCATTTTCATACATGACTACAAAGTAAGCGAAAAAACCTGCAACAGCTTGAATAGCGCCGATTTGGAAATAGGACATTGTGATAAGACGAGAATTAATTAGCGTTTCAGTTTTAGGATCCCTCGGATGTCGTCTCATAATATCATGTTCAGGTTCTTCGTTAGCTAATGAAACTCCGGGAGCCAAGTCAGTAATCAAATCGATACAAAGAATTGTTATAATTCCTAATGGCAGTGGAATATCGAGGATTACGAACAGCAAGAAAGGGACAACTTCAGGCATGTTACTTGTGAGTAAGTATTTCATAGATTTTTTTAAATTTTCAAAAACTAAGCGACCTTCTTCAACTCCAGCAACAATGGTAGCGAAATTATCATCCAACAAAATCATGTCTGCAGCCTGCTTACTCACATCACTTCCAGTGACTCCCATTGCAATACCAATATCAGCCTGTTTCAACGCAGGTGAGTCATTAACTCCGTCCCCAGTGGCACCAACTACAGCTCCAATGCGTTGACATCCCTCAACTATGGCAAGCTTCTGTTGAGGAGATGTTCGAGCGAATACAATCTCATCGTATGTTGTCAGAATTGAGTCCAATTCTGATTTAATCATAGTCTTCAATTGAAATCCTTGGACAACAATAGCCTTAGCAAGTCGAGTATCAACTTCTTCGGGTCTAATTTTGAGACGTTGAGCAATGTCCTCTACGGTTTCATTATTTTTTGAGATAATTCCAACACTTTTAGCAATTGCTTTAGCTGTAGCTGGATGATCACCGGTAACCATGATAACTCTGATTCCTGCGGATCGACAGCGAGCGATTGCATCAGGAACAGCAGCTCTGGGAGGATCGATCATTGAAAGTAGGCCAAGGAATCGTAGATCTCTGTCGGGAAAATTTTTCAGGTCCGGATCAAATAGATATCCAATAGGATATCTATCTTTGGGTAAGGTTAAATCACAAAACCCGATTACACGCTCTCCATCGCTTGCCAAGTGTGCAAGTCTATCAATAACAGCTTCTTTTATTTCTGGAGTTAGAATCTTTTCTTTGCCTTTGAAATAAATAGTACGACATCTTTCTAAGACTTTTTCTGGAGCCCCTTTCATGCAAAGAAGGTGATGACCATTAATTCCATCCTCAATTTCATGAATAGTGATCTATGAGTAGAAATAAGGAATTAGAATTCGAAAAAACTATGATTTGTCACAAAACTCACATGAAATTTATCAGTTGGATTAAAAGGAATCTCGCAAACTTTTGCATGAGCTTGTCGATAAGAAATAACGTCACCAACAGAGAGTTCCATGAACTTGAGGATGGCTGTTTCAGTTGCGTCTCCAGTTGTTTCGCGTTTTAAAATTGGCACAAGATCTTGATTAGCTTTGAAATCGGCACGTGAACATAACATGGCACATCTAGACAAACTCTTCCATCCGGGAGCTTTTTTATCGAATAGAACTCCTGACAGAATTGAAAGTAGAAAGAAAGAGAAGATATGTTAGAAATGAAAAATAGAACGAAAAATGTTGCATGAACAAACCATTTTGTTCCTCTGTTGTATCAGCTTCTACCACTTGATTATCAAACCACATGTGAGATATAGTCATACGATTTTGTGTTAATGTTCCAGTTTTATCGGAACATATGATTGAAACTGAGCCAAGAGTTTCAACAGCCTCCAAATTTTTTATTAAACAATTTTTTGAAACCATTCGTTTGGCAGTCAGAGCAAGACAAATAGTAACAGTAATAAGTAAACCTTCTGGGACATTGGCAATGATGATACCGATCAAAAGTATAACAGCATCGATCCACAGATATCCTCTGAAGAAAGCAAAAACGAAAAAGACGCATCCAATAATGGCTGAGATTCCAGTCATTAACCTTATAAACCTATCAACTTCTTTGGCAATTGGAGTTTCAGTCAGTTCAAGTCCAGATGCAAGGGATGCGATGCGCCCCATGACAGTTCGGTCACCTGTATATATGACAAGACCACGAGCAATACCTTCAACACAATGAGTCGAGAAGAATGCAAGGTTAGCAGTAGCCAAGGGATTGTTTGATGTAAGTTCATAACTTCTCAGCTGTGGTTCTGATTCTCCAGTTAGATTTGAATTGTCAACTTTGCATCCTTGCGACGAAATAATTCTCAAATCAGCAGGGATTCGATCTCCACTGCGAATTTCTATCAAGTCACCTACAACCACTTCTTCAACAGGTATGTTGTATTTTTGCCCGTTGCGAATAACAGTTGCTGTTTGAGGTATCATTTTACGGAAAGCATCCATTAATTTTGCACTCTTGGTATCTTGGTAGAAAGATGTGAATCCAATCACAAGGACAACAACAATCAGTAATATGGCAATAATAAGATTGTCTTCAGGTGATTCCTGTCCAGCTCTGATTCTCAATAAATAGGCAAGCAGAGAAATGAATCCACCAACCCAAAGAAGTAAACAAAAGCCACCAAACAAATTACGAGTCAGCCGTGTTAATGTAGAGACAGTTTTAGTTGAAGTCAAGATATTTGGCCCTTCTCTCAGTAACATTTCATGAGCTTGTTCTGGTGTTAAACCAAGGTCTGGATCAGTTTGAAGTTGACCAATCAATATATCCAAAGGTAATAGATGTTCATCCAGCTGTATCTCTTGCTTTAACTCGGCTACATCAGGCTTCTCTGTCAAACGAGCGGAGTCAGTTTTCTTAAATCTTAAGGCTCTGGGTCGGCCTTCTGGAGTCAAACCATCGTCAGGTAAATCAGGACTCACAGCTAATCTGTAGCTGCCAGTTTCTTCAGCTAAATCTATACCCCTCATGGTCTTGAAACTTGATGAAAGTTTATAACACCGTCAAGTCAACCAGAGAGTAAAAGTGACAGAAAGGCTGAGAAACAGAGTGAGAAAAGAGTCACCGAACCAGGGAAGGGGAAATTAATTCAATTGATTTTTCTATTCCACAGGTCGTCCTAGTTGAATTGTAAACTAATTGAAAAGGAAAAATAAGGAAATAGATTAAAACCTGACATTGAGAAGAGAGAGAGAGGGGAGAAGGTAAAGAGAAAAAGGGTGAGGCTTCAAGAGTTAAAGTTTTCAAGTCATAGAATCAAGTTGATTTTAAACTAATGAAAAAAGCAATCTGAATATTTACTTACATTCTATCCAATGTTCATTAGTTTGACTCATCAGATGAGCCTTAGATTATGTAGTACGACGATTAATTAATTGTAATAAGGATGATTTTTAAAATTAACTTGGCGGGAGAGGTAAATGCAAGTGAAATAACAGGTAACAACAGTCAAAGCAAGAGAAAAGTTTACGGTTGCTATCAACAGAGACCAACAGGTATAAACAGATTACCTGCCACCTATAGGAATGTAAACTGATTTTTAGCAGCTTATTTGACAATTTGTTACATACTCATAGATTTATCATGAATTATGCGAAGTAAAATAAATTCTTTAGAGATGACAATAGTTTAAAAAATACAATTCGAATCAGTTTCAATTTTCCTTTGACAAGTAAAAGGCTTTTAAGGTTTAAATGGTTAAAGTAAGCCCAAAGCCGAGTCCTAATAGATCTTAATCATGGTGAGTCTGAATAAATTGCAAAGACAAAAAAATAAAGTAAATTAATAAACAAGACAAGGCTATTAACGCAGGGAGATATTCAAGTATTAATCGTCTGAACGAAAATTAAGCAGAAAAGTCAGGATTAAGACCAAAAATAAGATTTAGTCGAAGTTTGAAATATTAAATTGAATACTCACCTTCCATTGTATCCAAATTTGAAACAAATAAACCAATTTAATGTAACAATTACAAAGCTCAAATAACCAACAGCTTCAAACATGTTGTACTAACAGCTGACAAAATTGGTCTCATGATTGGTCTTGAAGTTGAGCTCACCAAAACTTTTATTCAGATAAGTCAAATTACAACTGTAAACCTAAGATTCCAGGAAATCTAATGGAATTATCAACTTAAAGTTAATTTTCGTAATTTATCCTTTATCTGTGTTTTAATTATGTATATAAGCTAATTAATAACAAAAATTAAAAACCGCCGTTGATTTGATAATACAGATAGCAGAAGCTTGTCACTAAAAAAGCAAAATAAATATCAATGCCATTTATTAATGTAATTGAGACCATAAAAAGTGACCAATACTTAGACCAGTTAATCAATTGTAAATTGACCTACTAATCTGATAATGTTCATCTACCATTTGATTTTAATTTGAATTTTCCTTCCTTATTTTTTCCAGTTCCCCACTTTTTCACTTTCTTCTTTCTCTTCTTTCTCATTTTTCTCTTTCTTTCCCTTCATTTCTTTCCCTCTCATATGTGACTGGTGACTGCGTGTCAAGAAACGGATTTTTCAGACGGCTTTCCTAATGCTGGTTTCAATTCATTTGTATATTTAATTATCTTTAGTCCATGTTTTTATTATTTTTAAATAATTTCGTACTCTACATCTCCTTTAAGCCTGACAATTAACAATTCAACTCGATTAAACCATTATCATCCTAGGTAGCTATTTAAATTTGTGTATACATTTTGTTTGATATTTTTCTCTGTTCTCTGTGTTTGCTCTGTTTAAATTATACAACGTTGACTATTTCCATTATTTTTGTGTTATCTTCTATCTTAATCTAATTTAATTTTTTGATCTGTTCATCTAATTTGATTAGCCATCCAACCTGTGAAAAGTGATTTAATCCAGATCAATCAATTCTATATTCAGGATGAATAATTTTGTTCAAAATGGGCTTCTACCCAAACTCGAGGATACAGTTGATAAGGTTTGTACCATTCATTTCGACTCGTTGGATGCCTTGTCATCTTTTTATCACCTTGTTACAATTTCACTTCACTAATACTTGGCAATAATTCTTTACACATCTCAACATTTTTTTTAATTCTTTTTCTTTTATCATCTCGGTTTCGTCTCTAGGTACTTCGCCATTCCAAACATATTTTACCAACACTAGCACGTCTATGTTTAATATCAACATTCATCGAGGATGGCTTCCGTATGTATCTTCAATGGTCGGAACAACGAGAATTTATGAACATGTCATGGGGCTGTGGTTATTTTCTAGCTACCATGTTTGTCCTTTTCAATCTTGTCGGCCAATTAGGAGGCTCAATCATGGTCCTCATTAGATATCAGGTCCCATATGCCTGTTTCTTATTATTCTCAATTATTGTTGTGCAGGTCAGTACACAAGTATTATCAGAGTTATTTCATCTTGATTACACGTATTTATCTTGTTGAGGTGGAATATTGACTTTAAATTAACTTGCGTGATACAATGTTTGCGTATAACTTTTTTAAATCATAGCAGTGTAAATACAATGATTAATGCAATGAAAACTAATAAGCATTTTTTCTTATTTTGCAGACAATTGGTTACAGCATTCTTTGGGATCTACCTTTTCTATTGAGAAATTTATCATTATGTGGTGCTGTTTTACTATTGTTAGCTGAATCTAAACAAGAAGGTCGAAGTTTATTTGCTGGTGTGCCAACTCTTGATGAAAATAAACCCAAAAACTATATGCAGCTATTGGGAAGAATTTTGCTCGTCTTCATGTTCATCACTGTTTTAAGATTCGAATTCAGTCTTCTCCAATTTATTCAGATTCCAGTTGCCTGTTCTCTCATGATTCTAGTAACTGTTGGCTTTAAAACTAAATTGAGTGCTTTTGTACTTGTTTTATGGCTAACCTGTCTCAACTTCTGGTTAAATGCTTGGTGGACATTAGACTTACATAAATCAGTTCGAGATTTCCTTAAATACGATTTCTTCCAAACTCTATCCGTGGTTGGAGGTTTACTGATGGTTGTTTATCTTGGTCCTGGAGGTGTTTCAATTGACGATTATAAGAAACGTTGGTAGTTTGGAAGAAGCAGTACAATAACTAATAAATGAAGAAAGGAGACAAAGAAGACTAATAAATATTGAATATTTTTAAAAGGAAAATAAATATTGTCAAGACCAATCATAGAAAAAAAATCTACTCATCAAGAGGATTCCAACAAAGAAAGAACTTTAAAATCAGGAATCCTCGCAGATCAACCAAATATAAAAATACAACAAAGTTATATTCTATTCTTTTATAATAACGGAATGTTCCTCAGATCATATTTTGTTCTTCTTTATTTCGCTTCTTTATTTACTTTTTATCGCTCTCTTCTGCTGCTCCTCTTTCAGGCTCATAACATTTTTTGTCTGTTGATTTTGGATTTTTGTTTAAGCCAAAAGAAATCATGGTCAATCGATTTCAACAAATAAATGAGTTAATTTTTATATATACACACAGATACATATAAACATTTAAACTGCCCCGATTCAATCATAAGTGCACTTTATTTATTTACGACAACGTTTCGCCAACATGAAGGAAGCAAATTGCTCAATGGCCTTTTAAAAATCCAATAAGAAACAATCAACATGTAGGAGAAATTAAATCAAATGTCAATTTTGATTCAACTCTCAATTATCAGATGCACATGGATGATATTTTACTTGATGGAGCAAAATTTAACCTAGAGTGTTCACCAATGTCATCATTTTACAAAAATAGTCAGCAAATCAACTTTGGTTTCAAATATACATTTATTGTATAATTTTATCTGTAGCGTCAAATACTTCACCCTCATCCTCTCTTTTCAAACTCTGGTCCATGAATTAAATATTTAATGTTATATCATTACAATCACATCATGCGCACCGACAATTAGTGAAGTGGATTACAATTATAATTTAAGTTAATTGAAAGATTGTCTCTTACTCTTTGTACTTTTCACATTATATTAACTGCCTCTAGATTATCATGATTCATGATCATTCTCACAATGAATTGCTCCCAACAGTCAGACGTAATCACCTGATGAACTGATTTGTTGGGAAATTATGGATTAATCATTTATTAATCACTATTCAACTCAGCGGAATATTCCGGTCATTATTTGTATGTTTCTCATTAAAGTATTTGATTAGTTGGTTAACTGATACGATATCTTCACCCTCAACCTCTTCAATATAAAGAAAATGCAATATTTGAAATGCACATAAGAACATCAGATTTTTAAATTTAGAAGTTAATTTTTTGCATTTGAATGAAGCAAATATTATGACATAATATTAATTAAACTGTTAAATTTTTCATTCAATCGATTAACTTAACCAAATAATCGATTAAGGAATCGTTGAAGCCGCAATTTGCCCATGCGTTAACAAACCTGCTTTTTTTATCATTTACAACTCATTTTATCATTCAAAGTCGATATCTCTATTGAATTTCTGTGAATTAAATTACTTGGTATTCTGTGATCGTTCTCGATAAAAATGATCCTCTCTCGTGTAGCCCGTACAACTTTTCAATTACAGGTACGAAAAAGTCACCTTTACCCGATCCATGGCCAGTTTACTTTTCCCTGTATTCTTCTCATCATAATCTTTTCTTCACTCGTTTCATTCCACTAACTCATTTTTGTTTTACCCTACTTTTTTATAGAAAAACCGACCGGTCATCAGTGTTTTGTCATCAAGGAATGCATCTTCATCCGTAAGTTGACCATTTCACTCTAAAAAGGATTTTCAATCAGTTTTACTCAGCTATTTTAACCTTTTCATGACCTTGTACTATTCATTTTTACTCGATAATTTTCATAATCTTTTAACCTTTTCAATCATTGAGCTTACAGATATATGTTAATTTTTGTGTTATTTTGCAATCTTTTGTAATCAGGAGCTAAAAGATGTAGTTGGTGCAAAGATTAGTGAACATGGCAAAAAAATCAAAGAATTTCGAGGTGTTTATGGAAGTAAGGTTGTTGGTGAAGTTACTGTAGATATGATCTATGGTGGTATGAGAGGAATAAAAGCATTGGCTACTGAAACCTCTTATTTGGACCCTGAAGAAGGTATTAGGTTCAGAGGTTATTCAATTCCTGAATGTCGAGATCTTTTACCCAAAGCACCCGGTGGTCAAGAACCTTTACCAGAAGGATTATTCTGGCTTTTATTGACTGGTGAAGTGCCAACAGAAAACCAAGTAAAGAATCTATCAAAGGAATGGGCAGCTCATGCAGATTTACCTGCTCATGTAGTAACAATGTTAAATAATTTCCCAGCTCATCTTCATCCAATGTCTCAATTTGCTGCGGCTATTACTGCTTGTAATACTGAATCTGCTTTTGCTAAAGCATACTCTGAAGGTGTTCACAAATCAAAGTACTGGGAATACACTTTTGACGATGCAATGAGTTTAATCGCTAAACTGCCAACAATTGCTGCCACTATTTACCGAAATCTTTATCGAGATGGTTCATCAATAGGTGCTATTGATCCCAACAAGGATTGGTCAGCTAATTTCGTTGATATGTTAGGATTCAAGGATGAAAAATTCACTGAATTAATGCGACTATATCTCACCATTCACAGGTAACTTAGCTCACAAATTTTGCTTATCACGTTTTTACTTTCCCTCTTTCCCTCTATTAATTTTCTCACCATGTTGTTATATACTCAATGATATAATTTTCCTCTTGTTTTCTGCTGTTTCAACATGTTAACAGTGATCACGAAGGAGGTAATGTAAGTGCTCATGCTACTCATCTTGTCGGAAGCGCTTTATCTGATCCATACCTCTCATTTGCTGCTGGTATGTGTGGCTTAGCTGGGCCACTTCACGGTCTTGCCAACCAAGAAGTTTTGGTTTTTATTACCAAAATGCAACAACAATTGGGTGATAACCCATCTGAAGCACAAATTTCCGATTTCTGTCGTAAAACTCTTGGATCAGGACAGGTTAGACAATTATCCAAATATAAACATGATTTTATAGTCTATTAATAGAAAATAAATGGTAATCTAATCCTCTTGTTGTTTTGTTTGCTTTGTAAATTTAGGTTATTCCTGGTTATGGTCACGCAGTTTTACGTAAAACTGATCCTCGATACACAGCGCAGCGAGAATTCTGTTTAAAACATTTACCAGACTATCCAATGTTTAAATTAGTGTCTACAATTTACAAAGTTGTTCCTCCTATTCTCATGGAGACTGGAAAAGTAAAAAACCCTTGGCCAAACGTTGACGCTCACAGTGGTGTGATCCTTCAGGTAATCAGGAAACTCAATAGCTATAATAAATGCACTTGTCATTTAGGTTTCTAGATTTTATTACTTTATACTTACTTTACCTTTTCTATCTCTTAATCAAATTGCAGTACTATGGTCTGAAAGAAATGACTTTCTATACCGTTCTTTTTGGCGTCTCTCGTGCTCTTGGAGTCACTGCCTCATTAGTCTGGGATCGAGGACTTGGATTACCCATTGAACGACCCAAATCAATGACGAGCGAAGGTTTAATGAAAATGGTCGGCGCATCATGAATAAAGTTATAGTTAATTGAAGAGATAACGTAATCCACCACATTTATCCACGATACAACAGCAAGAGAAGCATTCGAGTAATTTAGGAGCAATCAAGGATAAACTGTCGCAAAATCTATTTTCATTTCTCTCTCTCTACCTTTCTTTTCCTCTTTATTTTTACTCTCTTTATCTCTTTCTCTTACAATCTCACTTTCAACACAAATCACACACACACTCACGCATACACCTTGTCTCTTTTTCGTTTTTCCCCACCTCTCTTTTTCTGTTTCTGTCTCATCCTCTATTTAATAGCGAAAAATTTAAATTATAAAAATAAACCTCTTCCCATTATCCCATTACAACATGAAACCAAGAAGCTTGCTGCATAAAAATACCATCTCAATAAGAGTAATTTAAAATTATGAATTCTCCCATAAACATAATAGCAATATAAATAAATTAAAACAATGTTACAATTATTACTTGATTATTCTTTTATGATTGATGATAAAAATTCATCAATGGTTGAAATAAAAAAAGGCTCCGATGAGGATTGAACTCATGACCCCTGGTTTACAAGACCAGTGCTCTAACCACTGAGCTACGAAGCCGCTTTTTCTATATTGTTCTCTGTTATTATTCATACTTTTAATTGTTTTTCCTTATTTATTTTGTGACATTCTTATACATTAAAATCACACTTGACCGATATTTTGGAGATACTCCATCTATTGGAATAATTAAAACTTTTCTCTTATAATTCTCTTTCTAACTTTTCGTTTTAATTTTGTCTAATCAGAAAGACTCAGAAAAATACAAAAAGAAAGAGAAATACTATTCACCAAAGAAAAAAGTATTAAATATTCCAATAGATGGAGTATCTCCAAAATATCGGTTAAATGTAATTTTACTGTAGTTGAGAAACTAAGGAATCTATTAGCCTTGTATTTAAAAAACAAGTTAATATGGTACTGAAGTTGCTTGAACAACACTATGTTTAAGAAATAGGTTGCGCAATTGAGAAAAGTGATTATTTCTCCAAAATGGCAGTGAATCAGATTCGCGTGCCACAACATCAGATTCAAGAAAATGTATTAACCCACTAGATAAAGGGTTAGAAAGTCTATTAACACGACTATCATGAATCGCTCATGAACCTTGTTCGCAAGTTTGCATAATTGCACGTTTACTTAGTCCTATATCACCTAAGGATAACGATAGGTCAGTAATTTTTTGAGTGTAAGCTGACGTAGATTCAAAAACAAATTTTTTGACTCGTTGATTCAGTAAAGTTGCATAAGCAAAAAAATGTGCAATTAATTGATTGATGACAAACAATTGATGAACTGCTTTTAATCGTTGTTAATTACAATCTTAACCTCTTGTTATTATTATTGAATTGTAATTACTAAAATACGGCTATTTTTCTTTTCAATAAATTGCGCCATCTTATAAGAGTTAATTTACGTAATTTAACCTGTTTTCTGCAGTTTTTAATTAATTATTTTGTGATATTCTTATAGTTAAGATCACGGGAATCTAACGACAGTTAAATTGTTATAAAAAAGTGAAAAATTAATAAAGAAGTGTTTGAAAATTACACCCTTTCAACTCACCAACACGTGTTAACTGTTGCTCTCAAACATGGTCAAAGTGTTAAAGACTGGATTGGATACAATTTTAAAGACACAAATAAACTTCCTCGCTGCCATTATAGAAGCTGATCAAGACAAGGATTTCAAATTGAGCAATTTGAAGGCAATAGTGGTAATGACGACGACATCAGTTTTAAAACATGCAAAAGAAGCAGTAAGAAACGAACCAAATATTAAACAAATTGCTGAAAATATTATCAAACGAGTAGAACTTAAATTGGAAAAAATATTTTATTTACTTTTATTCTCACCATACATGACTCGGATACAGACAGCGGTTCGACTCGAACCCTGTACCACCAAACTATCATCCCACGAGGACCTTAAATTCAAAACTTTGACTTGTCCCCCGTGTGAATCAATGCATTACAGACATTACAGTTTGATGAAAAGTAGTTGACTTAGTTGAAGATCAAGCCAAGTCACTACCAGTGGTTAGTAAAATTTTTGTTTACTTACTATTTAAACCTAATTCTTCGACTTTTGTACATTAGTTGTTATCGTGAACTGTGATAGAACCGACTATTCACATGTTTTTCTGTTATCTTAACAGTCGCCAGTCATGATCAGTAAGCATGATATTTTTTCACGACTCACACCATTCTAATCCTTATGAAAGATAATCTCGTATCAAACATTTATCTTTAAACACAGACAATAATAATTAAAAAAGACTGACAATGATTGTGAACAGAATCATCGAAAATTGAAATGCAATTTACGCACAAATAACAGAAAACGGTAAAACATTTATTGTGCGAATGTGCGTCAAAGGAAAATGATCAAAGATAAGAAATGGTGATTAAAAGGAGCGAAAAGATCGAATAATTCTATCACTCAAACTTAATGAGAAACATTTAATTAAATCATAATTTCCTCGTTTACTCTTCAATAAACTTGACTAGTCAATTTTTATAGCTTGACGAAATCTCATTGACAAAGCTAGATGTTGAATGATATGAAAGAAATGCATTGACTTTTATTTTACATAAATTACAAAGTAACATTTTAATTTTTATTTCATCAAACTACCGTTAAATTGGGTCACAATTCATTTCCTCTTTCAATCAAGTTTATTAAATAGAATGCCTTTTTAGGGATCATTCAATTAATACCTAAATTGGCGCTCTTTTCAATCCATGGTTACATTAATCAACATTAAAATTACGCAGACGTAATAGTAAGTCTTCCCCACCAGGTTACACCAGTGTTTATTGTTGTATCAACATTGTAATAAACATCAAAACACCGTTTTTTCTTACGACTTGCTTATTGATATCTCGTTGATATATTGATATATTGTTACTGCTTTTTTGTACGTTCATTTGAGTATCTCAAAAAATTGAACATTTGGACAGTTTTTCGGGCTTCGCCAAGCAAATCTGTTTGCTTTTTCCAGTGTAATTACAATTTGATAGAACCAACAAGAACTCAGTGTTTCCTCGTCTTCTTTAATCACTTTTATTGCTACCTTGATTGCTACTGCAAATTTTGATCGCTGACACCACTATCGCCATCATCATTGTCACCATCCACGACCACCATCGTTTGTCTCTCCTGCTTCATCATCTTCTTGAATATGTGCAATAGTTTTTCTTTCTCTTTTTGCCTTTTGTTTTCTTCACCCTGTCTATTTGTCAACATTAAACAATTATCTTCATCATCATCATCGCCCATACCACCTTCATTGTCAATTTAATTTCTATCAATTCAATTCTCTGTCTTGCATAACCTGAGCTCATCTTTTTTTGCTATTCCTATCTTGTCTCCTCACACACTTTACTCAATTTGTGTGTGTTTTCCTCTTTTTTTTTAATTTTTTTTTTCCTCTCTCTTTCTCTGTCTCTCCCCCTGTTATCTATTGCCAACGTTAATCCAACTTCCACTTCCCCCTTCACCCTCCCATCGAGATCATCTCCAAACTGATCCTCTAAATTGAAGAGCTTTCCGCTCTTAAATGATTACCTCATCCAAGACATTAAATCCAACCCAAAAACCATTAAAATCAATGTCATTTCGTGGAGACAGTCACCGTCCAAATGACCTGACCGGTACAAATCATCGTCACAGATCACGCAGCAATTCACTCGATTCCAATCGATTGGGTGGCCAACTACACTGGCTACGTAAGGTAAATTTCATTTAATAATGTCTCTTCATCTTCTCTGTCAAACCATCAAACCTTCGACTACAAATCAGTTGCAAAAAAGACTCTAATCTTGCTTTTTTTATATCTGCTTTGCTGGTATTTTTTACATTTCAATTCTCATCATTTTCCTTCATTTCTCTTTTACATTGTTTCTTCCTCTTCTCTCTCATGTTCTCTTCATGTTCTCTCGATAAATGAATGAAAGACAGAGAGAAGGAAAATATCATCTTTTTGGTTTTGATCTCAAGGATTTCAAAACCTTGTTGCTGCAAATTTGCCTTAATTTGATTTATCCTTTGCCCACAAATGTTTATTACCTCGCAAATTAGATCCTGTCCTCTCCCTTGTGCTATTTATCAAGAATATCAGTTTACGAATTTGCGACTAAACAAAACCATTTCACCCTGGTTTTTCATTAAACATTAATTTCTCCATTCAGTCACAGTGTCTCCCATTTTGTTTTTGTTTACTTAATTCAATTTCAATGTTTACCATTTCTGTTGATACTATTTATAAATATATTTTTTTGCTCTTTGTTTTCATTCATTTATTCAGTAAACCAACATTAATTGTGGTATACAATTTCAAACTAACCGAAACCTTTTTCTGCCCTCAATTTTGCTGTTTATTCATTTTCCATCAGAATTATTTTCATCTTTTCAATTTCATTTTTTTACACAAATGAACCATCAAGAGGCTTTTCAATTCTGACCGTTATTCAATATCCTTTATTTTTAGCCATCTAAATCCATAAGAATCAATTTGAGAACAATTTATAAGTCTCAAAATGATCCTTGCTAATTGCCCATGTTAATTAGTTGCATAATTATAGTTTGATCCGTAATTATCTCATTTTTTCATGCATCAAAATCTGCAGCATTTTAGTCGATTCAGATTGTATGTGAAATTAATAGCTACAAGAGTAAGCATTATCAGTAAATATTGTTTGATGAGAAACAATCAATATGCTGAATAAATGATAATTCAACCGACACCAACTAATGACAATTGAAAGATTATAATGAATCCATTTTCAATAATTGATTAACCATTAGTAAATGACTTTTGGTAAATTATTTAACCAACTTTTGATCATTTTACCTCAATAACATGGAAAGTCATTTTTAGCCAGACAAATTGATGGATAGTATTGCACTTTCAATGAATGGGATAAAAATGATAGCTCTTATGATATAACAATTTCAGCTCAAAAATCAAGGTTCATTGTGAATGAGTTTAATGGGCAACTCAGGAATCATATTAACTCTCTGTAAACAAAAAGCATTACAATCAATGAAAGTAGTAATCAATTTCCTTCAACCTGATCATTACCAATTAACCATTTACCTAAACTACCTGTTTGCTTAAAGTTTCAATTTACAGTTTTTGTAATCATTTGCCAACACCAAACTTGAACAATTCAATGTTTTCTCATTCATTTCTTTATTATCTTTTGTTCACAGAAATTTGGAAGCGGTGGTGTAAATATACCTGCAGGTAAGTAAATTGACTTTCAATAATAAACTCAATTAATCCAATGTGGCTTCAACTATGCTCAAACTATCAATTTTCAAATTTCCCTTGACGTCATTCAAAATTTACTATTCAATCAATAACAAATTCTGTCAATGCTTTGCTCGAAAAATACTCCGCTTTTAATAATTTCCATCTTTTATACTGATTAATCAATTACCGTTTACATGAAATGCTGGAAAATTCAGTTTCATCAACTTTTCATTCAAAAGCTAAACTCTGATCGAGATTTTATCTTCATGTCCAATAGATGGCGTCCATGTACAAACTGTAAATTAAACAATAAATTGCAATCAAAAGCAATATTTTCAATGAATTAAATACAGAAGTACAATTAAAGCTCGTTAATTTGAATTTAAACTTACTAATCAATTGTTGAATTCACTGTAGTTAGCTAACTCAATTCATTCTGCTGTTTGTTCACCTTAACACAATTAATGAACCATTTTCAACTTAATTTTCATCAATATTTCCATCAACTTTTAATCCAAATTATTTGATTTGTTAGGATTATGATTTGTTATTAGATTCAAATCGGAATCAAAGGCTTCAAATGAAATGCATTTAACAAATAAGGATTTAATTGTAAGCTTTGAAGCCATTCAATTAAAATCTTTCATCAATCATTTTTGATGAAAATTATGGACAACCCATTTAGTTGCAATATGCTCCAACAGATGACACTACTGTTTTTTGGTTAAAACCAGATTTTCATTAAACCCATTTTTTGGGTTTGAATACTAATCAAGACTTTCAAGTGTTTCCTAATTTATAATGATTTTTATATTATTTTTTATTTCTAATTTTATTATGAATCTTTAAAGACTTGTTATTTACACTTTGATAATTTACGACCAGCAATTGATAGGTAATTATTATATTTTGATTTATTGAGCCATAAAGATCTTGATGTAATTTTCAATCTCTGACAATTGGAAGTCAATCAATATAAGAAAGTTTCCTCTAATGAATTAGAAAATTGATTGTTGAATCTATAATCAATAGCTTTTCTGATTGATCGCCAATGATTTATACTCATTATTACATGAATATGACAATAAGTTGAACCCAATGTTTACACATTGATCTAGCCGTAGGCTTGAGTTATCAATGTCTTGATTTCATGATTTCACATGATTTCAAGTCATTTGATTGCGATTTACTGATAAATCAGTTGTATCAATCAATGCATTAGTTGATTATATCTTGATCGTGTAGCAAGTAAACCTTAAATATATTGATTTAAGCTTAAAAGGTATCAAATAAAAGTTATTCAACATATGAAGGGTTAATTAGGTGATTCAGATTAACCTTAAACATCTTGATTGAATGGCTTGTTTTTTACATTCAATTTGATGTTCATTAATTCAAAGCAATCTGATTAAGACAAGTTTCTCCTTATATCATGATTGACTGTGAAAACGCTTATAAACTCCAATTAATCCAATTAATCTTTGAGCATTAAATTGTCTCAATGGTGGATCAAAATTGAGTAAAGATTATCAATGTGCAACATTTAATGGTCAACATTTATTTTCCGTGTTATCAATCAATATTTACATTTGCGATTACACTCAACCTTTATCCATTAACATTTAAACCCTTGATTGTCAAGCAACACATTTCAAACCCAATTAACAATCCGAGTTTGATTCAATTTTACAATCAGTTTCAATGAGTTTCATAATGAGTTAACTTTGAACCATCGTTTTGGGTTAATTTCAATGTAACCAGAAATGAAAAGTAACTCATTACATTTACTCATTCAGTGTTTAATTAAAAGCAAAGCCAAGTCTAAAAATTGACTTTCATTAAATAACCTTTTCATTTTGAAACAATCTAAACATTCACTTTAATTAAACTGATTAATTAATTTATACCAATTGCTTAATTTTACCATCTCATTATCATGAATAAAAGGCAAGAATTTGCTTCAATCCTTTAAATTTCAGCAAAAAAATGAATGTTTCAGTGATTCACTGAAGCTGAATATTAAAAGTTGGCTTATTGTTGATGTTTGGATAGTTTATTGTTAAAAACATTGACTTGAAACAATCTCTTATTAACTGTTGATTTAAATCTAATATTGACCTTAAATGGACTCTTTTGTTATCTTGATTATTGAATGTTAACTCTTCCTGCGGCTTTTTGATCAACTCTTTCTGTGCTATTTAAATAATCTGAATAATAATGTTCAGTTGTTTTGGATCGGCGATTAAATAAAATTACATCAACAGTGTTTACATTTATAAATTACATTGAATAAACAGCTTACAGGCTTTTCATTACATTTTTTGCATTCCACTTTCATCAGTTGATTCTGAGCATTCTGAGTATACTCAGTTTCATTGACACAAAGTAGCCAGAAAAGAGAGAGGAAGAGTGAAAGAGACTATTGAAAAAGTATTTTCATCATGAATATAACACAAGTAAAGTTGAATTTTTGCGCAACGATTCAGATGATAATGATGAAGATGAGGATGATACCAAAAGAGAGTTTATTTTCTGTTCTGGTGAAAGAGAAATGAACAGGGAAAATGTTGATTGAGAAGGTGAAAAAATAGGATGATCAAGATGATCCTTTTTTGTGTTGTTGTTGCTCATCTTGAAGGTTGAAGCTGTGCAAAAATGGCTACTGGTCATTGATGAGAGGAAAGATGATGATGATGGGTAAAATAAATGGACAAATAACGATCAGGATGAGATAAAGATTGATTAATGAGCTTGAAATTACATGTATGATTAAAATGTTTTCCGTTTTTCATCATGTTCAAGACATTTCTTTACCATTTGATTGATACAAAAAGACCATCTCTACTTTAAACCAATCAATGGTTAAAAATGAATTAAAAATGCTTTAAATTATGCGATCCATTTTCATGGTCAATCCATTAATTGATTAATGATTAAACCATTGAAACAGAGCTGCAAGAGTTGATCTTTTCAACCGATAATGTGATAGTGTTTTAGGTTGACCCAGTGGAGCCAAAAAGGGGTTGAAGACGAACGAAGACAGAGAGGAAAAATATGAAGGTGAAGAGGAAAGAGAGTGAAGATGAAGATGATGGATGAAAATTGAGAGACAGTAAAAAGACAGGAATGGCTGATATTCATGAGCAGAGCATCCCAAGATGAGATTGTGAAGGAAAGTGAAAGGATGATAAACAGGGAATAAAGAAAGGAGGGAAGAAGAGAAGAGGTTGAATGGGTGAGAAGAGATGATGAGAAGATGATGAGAGGGAGTAACGTGAGCATAAATCTTGGGTGAATCTGAGTTTGTGCCCTGAGAAGTGAATTGGGTTTTGTTGTTGAACACTCGCTTTACTTTAGTTATCGTCAACCGAGAAAAGAGCAACGACAAGAGAGAAGAAGAAGAAGAATCTTGTTTTTTTCTCATTTTCTTCTCATTTTTTATTTTCCTTTTTCATCTTCTTCATCTTTATCTTCATCATTCTCTTCCATTCGCTTTCTTTTTTCTTCCTCTCATTTTTACCCCGTTTTTACACCATTTCCAACCCTTAAACACTTATCATCAAGTTATCATCAGTTTATTTTTTTTAACTTATTTACATCTTCAACTATTTTTGCCTTATTTACATCCATAAAATGAGACAATCTTGCAGGTAAAGTTGAACACAAATGAGAAAGAAAGTGAGGAAAAAAAGAAGAAATCAAATTGACTTTGCAAATGTAAATTTCCACCTTGAAAAACCCACCAAAAACCAAAACTCATGATTAACCGATCAATTGAAACCTGTTAAATGTAAAGTGTTAACACAAATTGAACAAAAAAACTTAAAATTAGTGTGCGTCTTTTAAACCAATAATTAAACTTGTTTGAGTGTGAAATATTTCAAATTGAGCGCCTCTTCGAATGCTTTACCCAATTTTCATCTCAACATTAAATTGTTTCCAAACTTTCTCAACACTTTCTTATTTGCTTCAACAACCAAACTCAAATCAAGGTCCAACCTGAAAAACCCCCGAAGATGTAAAAGTTACATATTCTAGTTTCATTTCTCTTCTTTTCTCATTTTTACTTCTCTTTCTCTCTCTCTTGATCCATCTTCATCTTCACCTTATTTTCATCATTTTCTTGTAAATCTCATGTTGTTATTGTGTTATTGTGAGATATATTGTTTTGTGTGGCTTCCCTTTACAACATTGTAAGCTCAACATTGAAGTTGCCCCATTAAAATCGCCGCAACATGGCGTCATCATCATCAACTTTAATCATGTTTCGCCATTTTAACTTTCACTAACTTTCTAATGTGTATAAGACATTGTTTTTACCCATTTCAACCTTTAAATTCACTGTTATTCAACATTTTACATCACAGTCCAGTAAAATGTTGACTATGAAAGGATAACTATTTTTTGCAATTAGCTAATCAGTTGAAGTAAAAGTACAAAGTGTCTGTTTATTTTGGTGCTGTTAAAACATAATTACAGTCGCTAAGAATCATTTTGATACCAGTTTTGTCATTGCTTTCAATTTTTGTGCTCAACTTTTATCTTAACTCTGTGTGTTGACTTTTTTTTGTTCAACTTGGCTTTGAGTGATTTTTGTATTTAAACTTTAACTATTGATTCTGGTTGAACCAGCTTTGCATGGTAACAGCAGAATCAACGAGAGTTTCATTGTTTCTCAAAGGTGCTATCACACTTGAATGGCTTACGATCACAAATCGTCTATTGGCCGCTCAGAGGCAAGGTCAACTGGCTCAACAAATTCACCTTTGCTCCATCGATCTGCTTTACGAAACATTCGTTCAAACACTTTACCCCGATCCAATCGTATCCTAACTGGCACTGTAAGTGATCCAGCAGCAAGCTCATCAACACAAGGTTCACTTTCACCTTCAATGGTTACCACAAGTGGTTCAAATCAAGGGTCCCAGCGACCAACAAGCTCAACTGGATCAACTAGTTTAGCATCATATTCACCTTGCTCCATCATTTCGGAAAATGAGGTTAACGAGACTCGATCACAAGGGTCAAGTCCACTTCCCCTTACCGGCAACCCTAACAACATTTACACGGATAAAAATAATGTTGCCAATGATAATAACAACAACACCTCGAAAGCTTTCACACAGGTTACAGTATCAGTTTCAAGTGCACCCAAATCACCGGTTATGCCCTTCCGAGTCTCTTCCCTACATAAAGGATTAGCCAAGTTGAGTCTTCGTCGTCGACACACTTCAAGTCCAACTACACCTACCGATGGTCAACCTTCAACCGTTAACCATTCAGCCTCCTCTTCACGTTACCTTTCATCAACACCACCTCTTTCACGTTCATCAACTCGAGACAATTCACCAGTCAACTACTCGTTGCTTCAACGCAATCTCATCACATTGTCAAATATAGCAAACAAAAAAGGTACAAACAAACAAAACTCAACAATAAACTCAAAAGTAACTCAAAACCCAATCCTTGCTATCCTTGAAATTTGCGTAAAATTCAGTTGAAACCATTTCCAATTGATTAACTCGTAAATAACCGAATCAATTTCAGTTCAATATTTATTGGACAATGTAATGACAATTTATTTCACTTGATTACACGTCAACAAATTAGACAACCAAATCTTACCTTGCTTATCATTGTCATTTACATATTCATAATGGTCATTATAATTATCATGCCCATCATGTTCACCATATATTATCACATCTATCCAACTGTCAAATAATCCAAGTTATCCTTTTCACTTTCCTCGACTTATTTCTTCCTCTTTACCGAAAAAAACATTTAAATATAGCATCAACCCAACAGTCAAAACTCAAGCCAACAAGCATTCATCATCATTCATGATGAATATCAATTGTTAATATTTGCTCCCAATAACCTCAACTGAATCCTCGAGCTTCTTTCCCTGTTAATCCAAATTGATTAACAGAGAGACGAAAAAATTGATGATCAGATGCAAAAAAGGCATTTTTCTGTAAACAAAGCAATTACTTGAGGAATCATGAAAGTCAATAAATGTAAACTTGAAATATATTCATTACCAAGCTCAATGATGACGATAATTAAGACAATACTAAACAAATAAAACGCGATTCAAAAGCAACCTTGAATAATGATCCTGGTTTTTTATGTTTTATAATCAAGTTTACCTTTCCATTAACAATTTGTATTACTAATAATACATCACATTCCTAATATCATCATCATTATCCTTTTCCTCACTTGAATTATCACCAACAATAGTCAATCTATATTATAATATAAATTAACACTGTTAGTAATAATAATAATTTGAAGGGTAAAATAATGACGCTAATGGGACACAGAGTAAAATGTGGTGCAATTAAATAGCATTTACCCTCTAATATTGATTAATTTCATTGATTAACCTTTTCCCAATCAATGAGTTAAACCCAAAAAAGACAAAGGTTACAAAGGTTTTCATTGATCAGATTAAGGTTGAAAAAGTGATCAAGTTTCCTTGTTTCCAGCGCTCTTCAGTTGAAATGTCAAGTTCATCCGATTGGGTCAAGGTTGTGTTTAAAAATAACTTTTTACTCTTCAATTTCCCTTGGCTTCAAATGTTCATTACAATCATCTTTTTCATCATTTTTATTCAACTTCACTTTCATCTTTTCATTGATTTTGCTTCTCTATCAATGGCACATTTGATGCTTTTTGAGTCGCGCCAAGAGACTCAATTATCCAAGTTTTTTCATTGCAATTCATTGAACATTTTTCGATTTTTCCGTTTTCTCTTTTTTTCTTTTTCTCGTTTCAGGCCATTTTCGACTTTCCTTTTTCCGGTTCAATCTGCAAAATTGAACCTTTGACTTTTCGATTTTTCGTTTTTCTCTTCTCATAGAAACAGGGAAAAGAAGGGAAAACAAAGGAAAACACTTTCCTTTTCTTGTTTTACTTCAACATCAACTTGATTCCTTTTCCTTTACCAAACAACAACCTTTCTTACTTTGATGAAAAATTTTAGGAACCAAGAAAATTCCTAAAATGATGATGAGCTGAGGAAAGAACAGAAGCTTCCGTTTGTAGATGTTAACAAAAAGATCTTAGAATTTATTGAATAATGTTGATTGAAATCTGACTTTGCTTGTTCCGTTTTCATTCACATCCAAGCTTCATATAAATTTGGTTTTATGTACTTACATTAAATTAAACTGCAACAACTGAATCTCTCGATGAGCAAAAAGTGAAAGATTTAAGACCATTTTCCACCAATTAAAGTGTTAATTACATTTGGTAATAAACGTATTAATCGTTGCCTGATGTTACATTACATTGACTGTAAATCCAGTTGAATCAGTAAAGAGTGAAAGATTAATGTTGAAATGAAATTACTGATAAATCCAAAAAGCTCAAGTTATTTAGTATCATTTTTTGTTATAAATTTTACAATGAAAGGCAAAAAGCAATTGACTTGAAGATCCTTTTACCAACAACAAAAAGTATAACAAAAGAGACTCTGGAAAACAAACAGCAAAACATTGGAAAATATCGAGTAAATTGAGACTAAATATTCATTGATATCAAGTCGAGATTGACCTGATTCTGTTTCGATGTGAATGACGTAGAAACCAAAGAGATTGAAAAAAGCTAATAAATCAAAATGAATATGAGAACACTTGAAAAGAAGTAAAAAAGAGAAGCTGAAAATGTTGTTTTATCATCTTCTTTACTCCAATTTTGAATTATCATAAACATTTCATCAGCCATCATCATCAACTACTGACTCTTTTCACTATGGCTTGTTGACATTTTCATTTCACCAGCTTTTCTTGATCTCAATTTGTCCTTTTTTGTCTCAAGTCAAAGGCTTCTTGACATGGGCTAAGAGTTGACTGTTTATCATCAGAACAATGATCAGAACTTTCATCAAAACTATCCTCCAAATCGAGATGAAATTCCCTTTGAAGTTGACCATAAATTGCTGGTGATCACTTTGAGAGACCAATTACCATCATTTGTTATTCGCGTTACCCATTTGTATCATTGACATTTCCCTCGTATCTGAACATCATCTTCTTATCGTCATTATTATTGTGATTATTAATATTACTATTAATATTATAATGATAATATTGTTATTACTTTCCTTTCTTCATCATACGGTGAGCACTCTAGTAATAATCAAGCTAATAAAAGGTTCCCATTAGCTGTTTACTCGTTCATCACAATCAACTTTTCTTCCCCTGTTCCTTAGCTTATTACGTTTCCAGTTAATAAAATTAATATCATGCTACAACTGAAATAATGAATTTCAAGAGCTCTACGAATATAAACCTAGAAATGAGTTTCACTCGATTCTGAATATCAATTGTTCATCTCAAGGGAAATTGGTTTCATCTGAAAATCCATCGGCCATCTTTTCAAAATGTACCAATCCTTTCATGGTAACTCTAGTTATGGATGAAATTGAAGAGGAAAAATGTTATCATTTCAAATCAGTAGAGATTCAGTTGATGAGCGATTGAAAAGGTTGAGTAAAACTCTTTTTCCGTGGTTTCATAATTGAAGTTGAAAAACAAGAGAAAAGCTTTTTCGATGGAAAAAGTTCAACTTTGATTGTTGATTAAATTTGATCTTGTTTGTCTCTCAATTTTCCATGTAAAATTTGATTCCATTGAAGGTATCAAATCAAACAATTATGAAAACTGAGAATCAATGTGTGAGCATAATTTTCACTCCCAATTTAATAATCATTTTTCAACTTTAACTTTGTAACTATCAAAATGAAACAACAAATTTTTGCTTCAAAATTTTTTTCCAAAGCAAAAAGTTCTTCCACTCAAATGATCTAAACTCATCTTAATGATGCTTGAAACTATTTATCATTGAACTTTTGGTTAGCTCCTTTTTTTTGAACACTCAGTTATTACAGAAACTGGCAACGAAAAAGAAGAACAAAAAAAAAGCAGTAAAAAATATAATAAAAGTGAACAAAAGAGTGAACAGGTTTTGGTGAAATCAATAGTTGAAACAAAAAGAGTTTAGTTCAGCTTTTTGCTGCATCTTCATCATCGTCCTCATCGTCATCATGATCATCATTCTAATCCATTCGGTGTTTCCATAAATGTTAACAAAAATTCAACATTTGCAACCATTTAAAAACACACAAAGGAAAATGTTGAAAACATTTGTTTGCGTATTTAAATAATTACCAATGAATCCAAAGTAACAAACCTAAATGTTGATTCATCCAATTGATACATTTTGACTTTTCCAAGTAAACATTGAAACTTGTGATAATCAATCTGAATCATGACAAGTCAGGGAAGAAGAAAAAAAGTCTCACCTGATATTCCGATTCAGTAAAGAACCAAATGATTATTAGAATAGACGTTACATTTATTCACAATCCTTTTGGGATTTAACTTGGATCGATGAACCCCTTTTTTTAACATCACAAGACCTTCTGGTTCACTTTGCTGTTGCTGGAACCAGAATTTCTCATTTCAACTCAACTCCATGGTTGTGCCAACTTGTGAAAATACTCTGTATCTGATTTTATGAAATCTGAATCTGGAAAAACACTCAACCAATCAGAAAATAGCCATTTACTTCTTTTACTTCATCTTTTGCCTCTTCTTCATCCCTTAGCTTCATCCTTCACTCATCTTTGTAATTTTTTTTACTCCAAATCTTTCATTTGACAAACCTTGTTAATCAAGGAATAAATTCAATCTGTAAATCCTGAATTTTCTTCTTATTCCATGTGGTTCCTTATTTTATCTCATTTTGTTTATTGTTTTTTGTTGCTTAATTTTTTCTTCTTCTTCTTTTCATTTCTGGTTTTCTTGTTATTATTTGATATCCTTGTTGTTCCAATTCAATTTGTAACTTGTCTTGACTCTTTGATTATTCTGATTCCATTGAGGTTTTCATCCTTTCAACATTTATCATCTCATGATTTCCTATTTTTCCACTTCAATTTTAATCATACCCTCTGGTTATACATTATAAGATGTATTTTGTTTACTCTTTTCATTTTTGTTTACAACCTTGCTTTTGTTTTCTATTGCTTATGTTTTTTCAATGTCAAACCCAATTATGTACAATATTACGTTGAATCTTCTTTTCCTGTTAAAACTGGTAACATTCAATTTTGGTTTCCATTGTTGTTCATTTATCTGTGATTAGTTCAATTTCAACAATCAAAATTATACCTTTGATTAACCTTTTCCGTAGCATCTCGACACTTTGTTTACACTTTTTGGGTTTTATCTTTTTTTCGTCTCAATTTTCAAGTTTAATTTTCAATTTTGTTTCTTCTGTTTGTTCCCAAGTCAATTTACTTTATTGTCATTTGTTGATTTTTCACTGAATCAATTTCAATTCAATGTTCATTCAACCAGTTTATTAAAAGCTACTATTAATAGATTACTATTTGTTTTTCCTGGTCAAACTTGGGTACGCTTTTTGTTGTCTCTAGTCTCGCTATTTTATTGTAAATATCAAAGACGTGGATCAGGTTTTTCATGATTTATGGCTTAATCATTGTTGGACACTAAAATGAAGAGGTATCAAGAAATGGTTGAAACCGGCGTTTATTTGCAGATGATTACATTTACTGGTTGAAGCCTTGAATTTCTAATTAACTTATTATCGTCATTAGTTTAAGAAAAATGGTTAAGCATATAAATAACCAAATTGACAAGAAGGAAGAAAAAAGAAGATATTATTTAGTGTGAAAGTCCATTATGGTTTGAAGATACAAGAGTAATACTAATGATGGTGATGGTTATGATTCAGTTGGAATCCATTTTAGTTTATTGACGTCAAAAACACTCGGCTCAATTCAATAATACACATAGAAAGTGAACTTGCTTCATTAATGATGTATCTGTTTGCTTCTGCATTTGAACCTGTAAATAATACAGAAATAAAGATATTATTAGAAAGAGTGTTTCCCTGTAACATTCATGTATCATCATGGATTGGAAAATATAATTACAAACCTTTTTCTCTGTCCTCTTGTCCAATCGTTTTGTTTTTTGCACTCTCTTCAGAGCATCATTTATGATCATCTGGGTTCATAGCAATCATAATGGTTATGGAGGGTTGAACAAGAGATGAAATTGGGTTTCGCCTATTATCAGGTTACGTTAATTTTCTGATTGAAATGGGTTCCATCGTTGAGTTGAAACAAGTTAAACATTGAATTAACTATTTATAATGTATATCCAGTTAGAGCATTTGCAATCAAAATAACTTGCTTGTTAATAATCTTATTAACAGTTTGCTGAAAGGAACATAAACACACCAAATTGAATAGCTGTTTATCAAATTGTTACGCATTTTTTTCGAATCAACTGATTCGACCTGGCCAGGTGTTTAATCAGATGAACTGCAGTTTATATTGCATGGGCTGTTGATAAACCAAATCAACCAAGTAAAAAAGATAATTGATTCAATTCCAATTTATGTCAACAGGCATGAATGGTAATACATTGTGTAACAAGTTGAGCCCTTGAAATACTGTTAATGAATTGAAATGTTTCCAATCCGGGAAAATTCATTTTTCAATGTTGAACCAGTCAATTGCCAATCAACGTTCGTATCATCTTTTCACCTCTGGTTGATTTGTTGTGTAAATTTGGGCTTTAAGAGTCAGTTGATTGAATGATTTGATTTGTTCGAGTGTTTTAATCAATTTCCTTTGTCCAAGATTTAGAGTTTTGATCCATTAATTTGATGTAGTTTTATACTTGAATTAACTTGATTTCGGAAACTTTGAATACCTTTCTTCGAGTTTTCTCTTGATAAATCTTTTCTAGATTTTTCTTATCAACTTCCAATTCGATTATACCAATCGATAGTTCAAATGATTCCACTTGTTGACATCAATTTTCATTATGTTTGGATAATTGTCGTCAAATTTCTTTCATGTCTTTCAAAGTATGTCCATCTGTTGAAATTTTAGCTTCTGGTTAAAAGTGTTGACCTTTGTGATTTCCTCCATTGTTACTTGGGTTACATCATATGGAAAATGTATGAGATAGAAGTTCTTGCCAGTTCTTTGATTGAGCTCAGATGAAATGAAATTTGAACCAGATTTTTTGGTCGAGTTAGAAATATTAAACAGATTATTCTATCATTACACTTTCTTATCAAATTGTGACCAATATTTTTAACTAAGCCCGGCGGGTAACATCCAGTTTGATCAACGTAACTGACTTGCTTCTCACATAATATCCTGAACCACCTGAGGTTAAATAAAGTTAACCAATCAATTAACCATACCAATGTTAATAACAGAATGTATCGTATTTTACACTGAGCCTGATGTCGTTCGATCTGCACATAAATCATGAAAAAATTGTCAGAAAAGAGAAAAATAAAAATGAGTAAAAATGAGAAAAGAATTCGATAACAACTATGGGAAATATAAGTACTGACCTTTCATTTTCTTTTGTTCAATCGACTATTTTCACTTTCTTCAATGCATCATTCATGATCAACTGCACAATTATGTTGAAAAAGGTTGAAGCTGGAATTAGATTCCCTTGTCATTAGATGAACGCCATTCCTTTGAAATCTTAGAACGCCTAGTCCCGGTTTGCAGAATATACATCTTTTTCAAACTCCAGTCTATTCTGAATAATCAGCCATCTCATTAAATCCAGATTTTTCACCATTATAGCTTCTTTTGAATTATCTTTAGTTAATATGGACGATTCATGAGTGTTTACATCAAGAAGATAGTTTATCATTCTCAAAAGATTATTTTGATCATTTCACAGGAGATAGATTTCACTGCCATCACCATGATCATTCATCTTATTCACCATCCTAGTGTACCACAAATGATTTAAAATGAGCGCATTCCAAGATGATATCGATGCTTACTTGGCTCAATTTAGGTTTCCTCTCGAATGTTGATATACTTTAACGTTATGATTGAGAATCTCGTTTCTTCAAAAGAATTCCTTGAAAACATTCACCATTATCAGTTGAATAGAGTGAGTTTCAACCAGACCCTTGCTTTCTTGTCTCATGGTTAAGGATTGTTAAACATTATCTTGATTCATACGGTGAACTCTGTTTCTAGGGAAAAGGATTTAATCTTGTTAATCTTTTTTGTTTCAAATTGCAAAGTGTCAAAGATTAAGTAACCAGTGTTGAAACACTTACTTGAAAGTCGAACAGTCTTTTTCAATCAGGATCAATTTCGAATCTCATTTTTGTCCTTTCCCATTACTTTGACTCCATTACCAATTCATTAATCATCGAGAATAATCTTTTGTTTTGTTTGGATTCTTTCTGAACATCTCTGTTAATATTTTGATTTCCAAGCCAACACAGAAATTTTTGGCTATATTTCTGATCTTTTCACCTGAAACAAATGTTCAATCTTTGGGTAACCTTTGGGTTCCTTTTGGTTGAAGTAAGCGTATGTTTGAAGATTATTAATCGATCAGAAGATAGTTTACGATGTCTTCTGTCTCGACTAACACAAAAAAAGCAAGTGAACAAGCAACTTCAACACATTGTAAAACTGTAAAGATAAAACTATTCAATTTGTAAAACAATTTCCATGATATAATTACTTGGTCCGAAAATTAGTTCCTTTCTTGTTCCCACGTACATGTAATTGCTTCTTGTTAATCATCCATTTAAACATTCTCTTGATTCTAATGAATTGATTGATGGACATACAGCTATTGAGGCAATAATGTAAAACGATGTTGATGAGATAGACAATAATCCATTAGTTAGTTTGGTTGTTTAACCTAATGAAAGATTCACAGAAAACTGGTTAAGCCTACACATATTGATCACATTGGTGAACCAAGATTGTGTTGATAATCCAATTGAAATAAGTAATTATCTTTAATTCTTGCTTCTTAATTTTAATAACTCATGAGACAAGCAAAGAATAAAAACAAAGCAAAAAATAAAAATCTAACAATAAAAAAACACTGCCATCTAGATGTTACTAATTGCTTAATCAGGTGAGGGTTGCTCATCGGTTAAGATAATGAGAAAAATTACCTTTCACTCTTCTCTCATTACTACCTCGCATTAATTTCTTCTTTCATCGTTTGCATTTGTTAATTTGTCTTTCTCATTTCAATTGATATTTTTACCGTTATTTACTAATTGTCTTCCACTCTCTTTTGTTCATCATGTCTTTGTCAAGAAGTAATTGACCATTTGTTACATTAGTACTGCTTTTATTGATAAAATTACATTTGTGAACAAGTGAAACAACCGTTGCCATTGCTTTTAACCCAAAGCAAAGTGAAAGTTACATTCATATTTTTGTTTTCGTGTTAGTCTCCTGTTTCCTATTGATCATCACATTTGCCAATGATTAATCTCATCATTTCCGGATAATATTATAATGGCATCGTATCCGAAGTATATTTCGAGTAAAAATTAGCTTATTATTGTTCCTTTCTCAGTCGTCTTTTTCATTTTTTCCCTTAAGCTAAAGTCTGGTTGCTAGACTTGCCATTTTATTCTCCCGCCTAATTATTGACTAACATAGTTGAAGCCTTTCTATTACCTTTCTTTTCAATATCATTTTATCAAACATAATTTGTAACATTTTTTTAATTTTTGTTTTGATTCTTTAATAGGTGCACTTTTCAGACGTCATTCCACTGATCCAGAGTCCCGTCGTCGTGGTACTGTTGGTGCTCAAAGATCTTTGGATGGTTCCCTTGATTTGTCTCATCACAATCATCTTTACCTTTTCAGAGATACTCGTGATTCCAGAAGTGGAAGTATCTACGGAAGTAATGAGCCGATCTGTGATAGACTTGACTTCGAAGAACTTGAGGGCGATGAAAACCTCACTTACGTCAAATTTTTTAAGTTTTACCGTTGCTACGATTTAATTCCGATCAGTGCCAAATTAGTAGTTTTTGACACTCAATTATTGGTTAAGAAAGCATTTTTTGCTCTTGTCAGCAATGGAGTACGAGCAGCACCTCTCTGGGATAGTGCCAAACATCAATTTGTTGGGATGTTAACCATTACTGATTTTATTAATATCTTAAGAACCTACTACAAATCGCCGTTGGTAAAAATGGACGAACTCGAGGAGCAGAAATTGGAAACTTGGAGAAGTAAGACTCTTTAACTGTTATCTCCCATAAAATGAGTTGACAATTTCCAAATGCTAATGTTGTTTATCATTTAAATTTCCTTTGATTTTTTGCTAAGGTAAAGCAAAAGATTGAAGGTTGTGTACATTTTGCTAGTGTCTTTTCTTTTTTGGTGTCTCAACCAACATTCAAATATTCTTGAGTTTCACTTTTTAAACAAACACTCTTTCACTTTTAGCTGAAATCTTCACTTACTTTCACATCTATAATCACTCATCTCTCAGTACAGTACTGAATTGAGATCTACTCTGCCAAAAATACTTATACAACATTAGTATTTTCGTTTCATCATTCTCCATCAACAGAATTGATTAATCTTGCCTTTTTTTGTAAATCTAATCTATTTTCGTGATTATTTTTCCCAAACCTTTACTTTATTAGGCGTTTTAAAGGAGAATGCTCCATCCCTTGTCAGTATCAAGCCCGATGCAAGGTAAGAACTTATTTACTTAAAATGCCTATTGATTGTTGATAAAAAAAGCTGAAAATTCACAAGTCATCGAAGAAGATGAGATTCAAAAATGTTGTCAAAATCAACAAAATTATCATAAATATTGATTACATTATTTTTTTCTATTTTTCCCACAGTCTCTTTGATTGTATCAAAGCCTTAATCCACAACAAAGTTCATCGGTTACCAGTTATCGATCCAGATACTGGAAATGTTCTTTACATCGCAACCCATAAACGAATTCTTAGATTTCTTTTTCTTTACGTAAGTAAATATAATATCTAGTCTCTTGATCATCAAATTAGTCATGATAAAGTGTATTTTGGGCACTGATGTTGTACCTCCTCTGAATCAATTGTCTTCAAAATATTGCTACTATGAAAAGATCAACAAAAGGAGTTATAGTAAACCTCAAGACAACCCAAAATTATACTGTCAACAAACATGACATTCGTAACAATCAAATAAATACTATAGCTTTACTTCTTTTCCTCAAATACATTGGTCTTTCGACACAATCTCTATTCAAGTGTTTTGACTATTAATATCGATACAGATATCTGTGTATATGAATCATTAACATTTTGATTTTTTGTCACCCTACCATTACTTTTAGTCACTATGCTATCAAGGTCAACATCAATGTCATTACCATTACATGACATCAAAAAACATATACTTAACCATTCTCTGAAATTTCTCTTTGTTGCCATACCATTCTAATAATCTATTGTTTTGTTTTGCTTCTATATTTACAGTATTATGATCTACCACAGCCTAGTTACCTGCAAAAGCCACTTCGTGAACTCAAAATTGGAACCTACGAAAATATAGCTGTTACCACAATGAATACTCCACTGATAACAGTTTTGCACCAATTTATTGATAGAAGAGTTTCAGCACTGCCTATTGTCGATGAAAAAGGACGAGTTATTGACATCTATGCTAAATTTGATGTTTTCGTGAGTTTTCAGCATCCAATCTCACATTGTTTCTGCTCATTCATCTTTGTGCTATTTTGTTCTTGTTTTAGCCTTTTATTGTATCATTATCTTACCATGTACTAGATGTTACTCTATATTTATTTTTTCTCTTCTATTAATCTTTGCATTTCAGCTAACTTCAGATAACTCAAATTGCCAGATGAGCTATTTTTCAAGTTTCTGCTTTCTTAATATCTCAGCCTTGAACTAAGTTTCCTTGCTAAAATGATTGATACCTGCCACATAGTTTCATATTATTTCCACAAGAATGAAAAGGCTCACAATTCTCATTTTTCACCTATTTAACTCATTCTTTTTTCTTTTCCAATACTCAGAATCTTGCTGCCGAAAAGACATACAATAACCTTGATATTCCCGTAAAGAAAGCCTTGGAGCATCGTGCCCATTACTTTGAAGGAGTTGTTAAATGCACTCTTAATGAAACTTTTCATGCAATCCTGGAAAAAATAGTCAAAGCAGAGGTATGTATGGTTATGATGACATTTTTTCACATCTCCTTTACCACCTCCTCAAACTAGTTAAATGTTTACTAAATGTTCACCCTTCAAACTAAACAGCCATTAGATGAAAAACATTTTATGCAAATCAAAAAATGTTACTTCTAAATGACTTTTCAACTTTATGTAAATCTTTTCTACTCTTCTCAAATCTAATTATCAATTCATAATCTTAATCACTTGAGTGTTCACTCTTTTGGTACACTCTACTTTAAATATTATCTCAGATAATTTTAGAGAATCGTGGCAACTTTCCTCTTCTCACCTAATAATCCTAAATATGTTTTTTTCAGCATGATTTAATATACAATTTTTCTTCTTCATCTTTTTCCAGGTCCACAGGATTGTGGTTGTTGATGATAAGGACATGATTACAGGAATGATTTCACTGTCTGATATATTGAAATTCCTTGCTCTTCGTCCAGTTAATCAAGAGGTCACCATGGGCTTCAGTGATATCGATTCATACGTTTTAACAGAAGAGTTCGAGGAAGGCAGTGAGCTAAAAAGCGAAACATAAATGGAACACTTCACATGCAATGAAAATGAGATGAAAATAAGAATCAAGAAAAACGTTTATTTGTATCTAATATTAATGGTAATACGGGTTGTTGAAAGTCAATTCACTTCTTTTTTATGTTAACTAACTTTCTGAGTACTTTGCCAATTAATTGACTTTCTAATCCGTCTTATCCTTTTCATTTCAATTTTTTCTCGTCTTTATCAGTCCATTTCTTTACATTAAACATTTCAATATACGCAAAAATAGTTACTTTTAAGTAATTCTTTTAGATTTTTTGTCATTGTAAAGACAAAATTATTGAAGTATTCATATTAGTTTTTCTCATGTTTACCTTTTATATACTAAAGATTCGAGTAATTATCAGGTAAGAAAAACGAAACAAAGAAATGTGATGTAAAGCAAACAAAACCAATTACTGCTTGTAAATTTTAGCATCAAGTGTACCAAAAGTTCATTTATTCATTATTGCTTCAGATCAATGGATTTGATTAAATTTAATGTAAAATTGGATCCATTCTCTTCATGTAAACCAATCACTTTGAAACTTGAAATTTCACAAAAAATTGAGCAATTTAAATCACATTTTATCCACTTTGAATATTGGCAAGACATTAATTATAAATCGAATGCAAAAAAACTGAATTTTAATGTAAGATGTAAACTTTGTTTACTGAATATGGAAGATAAATAACGTTTGTACCTTCATTAATTACAATAAATGTAAACTAATAAAAAAATTAACACTAAATCGCATGAAAATATTTTCTCCTGAATTATTTTACTTGTTGAATTTCAAAAATTATCTGTTTTCAGTTATCCAAAGAAATATAAATAAATCCCGCAAATGAACACTTCTTTGATTAGGGATCGTTGAAAATAAACAATTTGATACAATTTATTGTTTACTGTTTTCTTAGGTTCAAATTGTGCGCTATTTCCATTTTTGAATCAAATTACGGTTGAGTTTTTAAATTAAGATTTCATTTTTAACAAAGAGTACAATAACTCATTGATTTTAAAATGTGCTTTTCCTAAGTATAAATTTAACTGGATTAATGTTGAGTAGTTTATTTTTAATTTCTGTTCATCAAGACCAGCTTCAAAATGGAAACCTATTCTGGTCGAGTTCACGCAGTATTGACTTTTGTTTCAATTGCGTTGTTTACTATAGCATTAATGTTCGCTCTTCCAACTTGCTTAAAAAATTATGGTGATCTTGTGTCTGTGAAGATATCAACATCTCGTGAACATGTCATTAATTTACCTAATATCAAAGTCGGAAAAGAAATTTGTGATCTTGGAATGCTTAAATTTGATTTACAAGCCGATTTTACCAAAGCTTTTGATTACAATACCAATGTAATATTTATATATCTAACTGCCCATTACCAGACAAAGGCCAATAAGTTTAATCAAGTTGTTCTTTGGGATTACATTTTACGTTACAAAGCTGAGCAGATAATAAATATTCGAGATCAAGATGTGAAATATTACTTTTGGGACGATGGCCGAGGATTGAAAAACAATCAAAATATCACTTTAACTCTCGACATGGCTGTTATGCCGATCTCTGGATTTTTACGTACATTTACTTTACCTACAAGTCATGTTTTCAGTTTTCCAGACATTTATGCGAATCATTAAAATTGTAAATGAATAACCATCAATAATGAAACATCAATAAAATTTAATTATTCAAATTTTACAACACTTGCATTCATTTGATCATTTAACAAACTTAAAGGCATTTAACCAGAACCTTGACTTTCAATGAAATGTCAAATTGAACAATCAGTAAATTGTGACAAATTCTGTTTGCTACCATCTCTTGGCAAGAAAAGATACTTTCATTTCACCCATTTTTCACTTTCAACACTAGATGGAGGTTAAACTGGTTCAAAGTTTTTCTTGAAAGCAAATTAAACTAAATTTAGATTAATTTAAGTTATTTCTTGATGAATTTCCAAAAAATGATTTAATTAGAAAATTCATTATCCATGAATCCAAAAATCCAAGGCGAGAATCTACAAACGCTACCTTAAACTGTTACTTTTGTATAATCACTCATCTTAATGAATGAGAATGAAATTAAACAGTTAAAATGGTAAAAATTAACCTCTTATATTACTGAAACCTGAGCAACTCATCATTAAAATGAATACAATCAAAGACTTATGCTCATCAATACTGTAACAGTTTATTATATAATATGATATTCATTCCAACTCATGTTCATTAGCCTTCACCTTTTATTTACATTTTTATCAATAACAATGTTACTCTAATGTTTACCAAAAGTCTCGATGATGATTAACACTGGAGACAATTCGCAATCGTATAACTTTCAATTGCAGGTACAAGGTAATCCAAGTAAAGTCCCAAGCTTAGTCATTCCTGAAAGGCTTGTTTTTTCATCTTAATTTGTAGTTAAATGAGGTAAATAAAGGTCGTAAAGATCAAGTAAAATAGATTCTTGTAGTCTCACAAAATAGACCCACGAGGGAAACCTGAATGGACAAAAACAAAACGAGCAAAAAAGGTAACTTGAAGTGAATTAAAATCAATGAAAATGATTCGACTCATTGCTAAAGGAACCTTTTTTTCCATATCAAAGTTTCATCAGTTTTATCTTGCTGTTCATTCGTAAATTTGAATGTGTTTATCTGTTACTAACTCATTGGGTTGTCTATATTGTTTGTGTACAAAGTGTTCACCAGTTCAAGGTAAAAAGTCTCTGGATTGCAGGATGAAAATCTGTATGTCAGGATAGCAAACAAGAAAACAAGTAAACAAAGTTACCAAAAAAAACAGTGGTTTACTTAGCAAAAAAAAGAAGGGAAAATGGTTTAAACCAGGAAACCAGAATATTGTTTCTTAGCCATTGTCCTGTCTTACCAGTATTACAATGTGAATTATATCTGGTCAGTAAACCAATTGAAGTGACTGGTGAAAAGTAGAAGGAAAGAAATCAAAATAGTCCAATTGTAACATCTAGACATTGAACATCTTGAAATGTTTTCCCTTTGTATATCAAACGAGAAAAAGTTTAACCATTCCACCAAAGGAACCCTAACTGTTGTTCCGGTTTACGTTGAATTTGGTTCAATATATTCGCTTAAATCATCATCCAACTCTGATGCTAATCAAAAGATTGAAAGTGTAAGTTGCCTTCATTCACTTGTCCAATCTCATTGTCATCATTCCCAAACATTTTCATCCAATCTTTACCTCATTGTTACACGATTCTTGAGCCATTTGCTACATTTGTTGAACGACAAAATATCACAAATAATATTGTTAACCTTATTTGCATCATTGAATTAGATTGTTCAATTGAATTAGTCGACCAATTTCATAACCATTGAACATAAAATCAACAGTAAACTTAAATCAACAAGAAATGTACAATCGATTATCGATCAAATTTTCAATCTACTTTCAGGGATCGATTGATAATGGTCATTAGCAACATTATCGTCTAAATCAGTTGTTTACCTAAAAATGACTGAACAGTTTCTCACCATTGAATACAACAAAATGTCCAATGACATTGAATATTTGATTGGTAAAACAATTGTTAAATCAATAATTGGTTCCTGAGAGGTAACAAAGACTAAATTGTCGACAAGTGTTGAGTTGCAAAGCTGAATTTAAAGTTGAGAATAATTTAGCAAGATTAATGCATTTTTGACAATCTTTTTGCTTCCCATGTAAACACAAGTGTTTCAACATTTTCAGCATTTTAATGTAATGCTTACCAATTCATCATATTCAAGTTGATTCAAGTGCTTTCAAAATAGTGAACCAGTGATCTCGATTAAAATCAGATTAACTTTCCAACTCTCATCTCAATCTGCCATCTTGATGCAACCAAAGTGCATTATAAGAAATATCTTTAAGGTTAACATATTATTACAATAATAAACAGATCAGTTAATATCATAATAATATCTGATCAAAGTTGACTCATCATCATCAATCTCTTTTTTTTTGCATTTCTGTTCAATCTTATAGCATGGGAAAGGAATAGCAAGAATAAATCCATGAAAAAATCTTCTAAAGCTTTTTGAATGAATAACAATTGCTTTGGAGAAAAAAATGAGATAAAAACTGATCAATTCTGAATAAAGATTTATGCTGATTCAAGAGTAGTCAAGACTATCAAAAGCTTTAGTTAATCTTGAAAATTTCCAAGTTCAATCCAATCTTTTATCAAAAGCTTCAATCGAGACAGTTGCGTCAATCGTTATCATTAACAAAGTAAATCAATCCCAGAAGCAACCAAATCTAGAGTTTGAATGAAAGTCATTTTTATGATTGAATGTTTTCCCAACAATTTAATTTCAACTTCACTTAAGGCTCATTGTTGGTCATTTTCAATTTTTAATCATTCAATTATTCCAATGTTTTCCATTGATCAATGAATGTAACGGTCGAACCTAAAGTGTTTCATTTTTCTTGTTTTACATTTGATGAATGATGAAAATGGGTTTCACTCAACAGGGAACTACAATAATTAACTTTACTCTGATTATTTTCTGATTAATTTCAAGTTCACTGTTTGGGAAACATTCAACTTGAAAGTGTTGCTACCTTTGTAACCCATTTTACAATGTTACATATTCATATTGAGTATGAAGTTTGAATGAAAAGAGATTTGCTTGGTTAAATATAAATAGCAATTTATGGCCAACAATACCCATTAAAATGTTGCTTCCATTTACCTTTTAAACAATCAAACTGATCAACAAACATCATGAATTTTGAAACGTTGCTGATTCCTATTATTAAAACATTATTTGTTTAATGACGCTCCAGAACAAAAATGTTACAAATTAATGTTTAATGGCAACATTTGGTTAACATTCAAATGTTATTTCAACTCTAAATTTGATTTTGGTTTTTTGTTTTTTCAAATTGCATTGATTCATTACCTTTGACCATTCAATTGCTGATCAATCTTACGAGGTGAATTAGATTAACTATTAACTAGATGAAGTTACATTCAAGTCAAGGTTGTATTTTAATTAGTAAATTATGATTTTCACTGAACAGGGTTTGTTTATGATTCAGGGAAAAACATAATTAAGAGTTTGCTATTAACATTATTAACCTATTCGTGGGTTTGTTTGGGTTAACAAACAGTATTGATCGTTAAGAGGTAAAAATGATTATCATAGTTAATGAAAATTAACAGTTTTTACAATTCAAATCACAATTCTCTTGCCGAATACAATTCAATCTTATTCCGAAATTAATTAAACGTTGACCAGCTCATGATTAATGTTTGAAGTTGATTCTTTCAATTATTTCATTTCAATGTTTGAAAGTTGAATTTTGTGTCAATTTTTGTTTCCTTTTCAAGTAATTTGGCTTATTAAATGAACTTTTTTCAGCATAACATTGGAAACTTATTGGAAATGAAAACATGTTTCATGTGAATGATTATTTCCAATTGTATTCTTCATTCCATTTGAGTTATTTTCATAAAGAAAACTCCAATTCAACAGCAAATAGAAAAGCAAAATTGAAATGAAATTGGTTAATTCAATTTCATTTTATGCCAAACTATCAATAATTAATTAGATTAACGTTTGAATTTGCTGTAAACAAATTGAATTATTAAAAAAAATGTTACATTTTCCTTGGATCATTCAAATTGTAATCAAATGTATCGCGAATAGAAACTGGTTGCAATTCTGGTTAAGTTACCAGTTTTGTAAAGGTTTTCCCATTAGAAGGCTGGTAAAAGGTTTAACCAAAAGCAACCAGTAATGATAATTACCAATACTGATTGTCTGATAATTAATTATTCAACTGTTAAGTTCATTTTCATTAAATATTGTCATTGACATTCCCTTCCAGACATAAGATGAAGTTGTGAGTTGATTGGCATTTTGCTTTGTATTTACTGGAGTCACTTTTTCTGGCTAATCAAGTTATCGATTAAATATTGTGATGCTAATCATGAAGACTGAACAAAATGAAGAACCAAATAGTCATGAAAAAAGATGTAATCATCTATTCTGTGTCAAGGATTTTTTTCCTCTCCACTCAACATCCAATGTAATATTAAAAAATAATGGCTTTTCTTGCCTTCAATTGTATTAATATTTTACTTTCATTTTTTCCTCCCAAAGACATCTTCTTTGTTTATCACCATCATTATCATCATTATTTTTGTTTCAAAGGAAAGATTCATAACAGTATTATTCCTGCTCGTCTGCATGATAATTATACTTGAAAGATTATCTCAATTCCAGGTTCATTTAAATAACCAAACAAAGAGTCAGTTTTGAACCAGAAAATATAAAGGCTCGCAATCAATTTCAATTAGAGAATGCTGAATTGCTATTTACTCTTTTAATTAAAAATACCTGGAAATGGAACAAAAGAGAATTGATTTTTATCCTTTCAAAGGTTCACTTAATTTTCATTTCAACAACAAGGTTAACACTCAATCAGTTTAACCAGAATTAAGATTCTGATATTGCTCTCAAGGAAACAAAAATTCAATATTAAAAAGTATAGTTGAGTTGAATTGTGAAAATAACCTCAACTCTGACAAAATAGAAATTAAATTGTGATTAAATTTACTCCACCTTACTGTCGATTGTATTGAAAATTAAATTGAATTTTATGTTAACACCAACTAATGATTTGATAACATGTATATCATCATTAGGGTAATAGAAATATTTCCATCCATTGTTCAGAGCTGATATTCACTTGATTAATGACTTTTATTTTCATGCAATTTTGGCACATTTTTACCTGACTCAAGCAACACCTTCAATGAGCAAAATGTCATCAAATTTTGTTTTATTATTCAGTCTTTCATGATGATTGAATTGCAAGTTTTCCTCTGACAAATTAAATGTTTCCATTATTCTCAAGAGAAGCTTATTCACATTGAAAATGAAATTATTAATCTTGCCTCCAAATCCTATCAGATTCATTATTTTCTTAATGTTACATGAGCTTTGAGTGGAAAAATTAATAACTTTAAAAATGAAATTTCAAGCAGAAAAAAAGAGAAAAATTGAAACACTTTTATTCCAAAATTCAATATTCACCAAAGAAAATATTATTTTTGCTATTTTGGAAACAAACCATTTCTTCAAGTGTAAATAACGACTTGGAGGTAAGATTATCAAATATTTATTCACAGCATTTGGTTAACTTTTGCATTGTGCTTTCATTGATTATTCCTCATCATTTCATCGCAAATCCAACAATGACCTGAAACATTTCTGACAGTTGAATGGAAGCTTCTTTTCCTATTTTTAAACATTCTAAGCGCATTTTCATTTGAAACTTGAATCATCAATCCGAGAATAAAGATGTTTACTTTTGATGAAACGAAAAAATATCAACATTTCCATGATAATATCGCAACATCTTTCAACTTGCCATTTGAGTTTCCAATTTGAATGGCCAGAATATCCAGTTGTTACTTTCTTTAGACTAATGATATTACCAGGAGAAATGCTTGTGATTCCCAAAAAATGCATTTATTCATTCACCTCATGCATGGTTGAACCGATTTCCAATTTATATTATCATCATGTATTATCATTTCTCTTTTCAAATGAATTATATCATTATTAAATGATTATCATTGTGGACTTCTTTACCGCAGAGTTTAATGTAAAAATATTCAAACATTTTCTTTAAACTATTTTTTCGATTTTCTTCTCTTGTTGGTTTCAGAATTGATGCGAATTTGAGTTTACAAGTTTTTGTCGATTGATCTCATTGATTCAGATTAATTTATCAATAAAGTTTCAGAGAAACTAGGAAATCTTTAAATGTTTTCATGTTTCTTCATTTTTAATGTCAATTGCGTTTTTTGTAAACTTTGTTTGACTTCGCATTCAATCTGATTTATTATTTGTTTACTTTTCTATTGAATTGATTTTGTTTTTTCATCGTAATAACAGAGAATTTATTAATCGAAATGAAGTTTTTTGGTTTATTATTTTTGAGATTATATTTTGAACTTTTCACCTCGCTTCCTGAACTTCAAGATTTAATAAAAAAATCAGTGAAAAGAAGAAAATGAAACCAAATCAATAGCAATTTAATATTAAATAGACAGCATTCTTCCAACAGAAAATATTGATTTTGTGAAATTCATCTTTAAATGAAAATAGCACAAAATAAATTACTTGACTGGAGTAATGATTGGGACTTGATTAATTTAGAGAGATTCATTGAAAAGGTAAACCCGAGTCTATTTGATGAAATAATTAATGGATTATCCTTTGACAAACAAATCAACTGAATAGGGAATTGAAAATGAGACTTTAGCTTGATGCAGTTGACAGGATTGAATTGAATTACCAAATGAAAGAAATGAAACATTTAAGTTCAATGTCTATTCAACTAACGACAAGAGCTGTCAGTGTTTATTTCATTCGTTTTTTGGTGCTCATCAACTCGAACCAAATGGTTGTAAAAGAGTGATTTAAATACTTTATTGATTTGGAGTTAATAGTTGTAACCAGAAATTGAAACATAACCAGACTGGTTAATAGCAGCTATTTGTTTCGGGTGAAAGCTGGTATTAACTTGATTCTGTTGATTGTTTTCCTTATAAATATAATGAGTAGTTTAGATTTGAAGGATTTGATTGGGACTAACTTTCGAGTGTTGGTGTCATTGATTGATGAAAACTCGGAATATTTCGAATCTTTGTTTTCCTTTTTATTGAATAAGATTGAAGGATAAATAGATTACTATTGGCTTATTGGTGGACCATTTTACCAGGTTAACTGAATAGTTGATTATTAGAGGGAAGGTGAAGAGATATTGAAGTAAAGTTTCAAGACGTCAGAATATGGTTTGATTTCACTTGCGCAAGTTTCGATTGATTTTTCGTCATTTTTTCTTGGACAAACTATCGTTTCATCATGAATTATATCAATGTGAATACATCAATAATTGTCTAGAAGTGAATTCATATTGACAGTCAATATTTTCATTCCTTCTGTTCAACACTTGTGATGTTATTGGAGGCTTTCTTGTTACAATCAGGAATCAAGTGCAGTTATAACACTTGAAGGTGTATAATTCAATCACTGAGATTGACAAGTGGCTGTAGATACAATACTATGGCCATAAAATACGGAAAATCAATTTTAGTATCTTTCTATTCTGTTAACGAAATAAACAGTTTATTCATCAGATTTTCATTGACAGTTTCAGGCTTAAAGTCATATTTAACGGGAAATGAAAACTTTAAAATCCAATTGCATTTCTTGTAAATATACTGATCATTTCAACAATTTCATCATAACACTGAAAACAGAATAAAGATTTTAACAAAAGATCATTTTATTGAAACTAAAAAGCCAAAGGCAACAAACAAACAAAGATTTCTTAACATTTACTTTAAATTTTAAAATAAAATGCCACAAAAAGTACCAAATGAAGCATTAAAATCGTCAATTTAAGGTTTCAATATAACTGCTGATTAGAAATAACTTGTTCAGTGGTTCTTTCAACCAAAAAATGGCGAATTTGCAAGAACAAACATTTACTTTGCAAAAGACTCAATACTAATGCATTTCTCCTCAAAATTGTTTCTTACAATTACAATTTTCAACTCTGTCTGAAAAGTGATGCCAAAAACTTGAGCTTTCGAGTTGCGAGTTTTTTACATTGTGGGTTCGTAGTCCCATAAAACCTGAGTACATTAATGCTAGCGAGAGGTTTCTCCGATCGACAGTTTCCGAGAAAATCGAGTCCAAAGCTGAAACTTCGATCGTCTTTTGTGCAATTATGGAAACAAATTTTTTATCTTGAACTTCGTTCTCCTAATTCCCTTCTAATGGGTAACCAGAAAATGCAATTACTTTGAGAAATGAAGTTTTCTGCTTCTGCACAAAGATCAAGTTTGATTTTCATTCAAATCGACCGTTCTCCGTGGTTGTAAAAGTTAGAAAGATGAAACTTATTCTTGGTCTACAAAAATTGTATGCGTACATTATGGATTCGTTATTTTTTCTAATTCATCAACAGTTCTCTTGCTTTTGGCCATTAACCCAAAAACTTTGAGCCTCCGTAGTTCGAGAATGGCATCACTTACAGTCATCATTCTTTCACCAATTTAATTGTTTACTTATTGCTAATTCATTTCAATATAAAAACTTTCCATTAGCGCATTCTGGTTATGATTTTGGGGCTGTAGATGCATGAACAACAGCTTATTCAACAAAATAAGCTAATATTAACCTCTATCTTGGCAAATAAACCAATTTTCTGGTTAAAGTTGCAAATGCAATGAAAAGAGTGCTGCTAAAGTCACGAAAAATTGAGCAAAGAGTTCAAACTTAAGTGAGTTTGTAAGCTTATAAAAACTGATTCCATTGGTGCCATTAAAAAGTGCATACAATTGATAGTTTTCGAGAAAATCGATGTCAAAGTTGAAACTTCGAACGCCTTTTGTGCCATTATGGAAGCAGTTTTTTCCGTAAAACTTCATTTTCCTTACGCAAATTTTAATGATTAACCTAAAAATGGACTAATTTTTAGAAATAAAGTTTTGGTTTCTGCACAAAAGATCGAATTCGCATTTTCATTTAAATCGACCGTTCTTCGTGATCTTAATAGTTAAAGACATGAAACTTATTCTTGGTCCATAAAAGTTGTATGCACTCATCATGGATTGGTTATTTTTTCCGATTCATAGAAAGTTCTCTTGCTTTTGACCATTAACCCAAAAACTTTGAGCCACAATATTTCGAGAATGGCATCACCTACAATGTTCATTTTTTGAACAAGCATTAAATTTTTTTCTGAGTTATAATGTATTAAAATTTCAGTTGATTCAAAATCCCACAAAAAAAGTTATAGCATTGCATTTCTTATGCTATCAGATTTGATACTTTATTTATGAAGGTAAATCTAAATCTAATGATGTGTTAGAAGGATATTCATTATTCAACGAATCAGCTCAAACTTTTGTTGATTATTCAATCATAGTATCTTATAGTCGATAATAAAGTGCATTAATGGTAAGAAATTGTCTCAATCGACGAATGCAGACCTTCAGTCAACAATTCGAACTCAGTTTTTAAACCTTTTTATGATTCCAATGGAAGGAAATCGAGTTTAGTTGATGATGACAAGAGATTGAAGCTGTTGACCCTGTGAACATGATAAATAACTTTTGAATCTCCATTTGCAGGCTGACGCTGGTATTGAGCTATTACACACTGTGGCTGGCTTGTATTACAAGAATCTTCCCAATATACCTTTAAACATAATCTATGAAAGTCTTTGCAAGGAAGGTGTTAAGACGTTGCTTCTTCTCCGTCATGGTGAAGGTAAGCTATAATAACCTGAACCAATCCATATTTTCATCAACATCCAACTTTATCTTTAACCGTTCAAGATATTGATTATGATGAAAGGATTATTTCATGATCATGTTTCAATTTTCTCTTTTCTTCTTCTTTTTCCTCTGTCTACATGATATCCATTGTAAAGAAATTCTGAAGGAATGGAAAGATGAGTTGAAAAGCAGGAAAAATGTTACAACAGAAGAGCAATTTCTGGATAAAAAAGGTAATTATTATTAAAGTTCACATTTCATCGTTAATCAATCCATTAGTAATCGAATAAATTTTTACATTAAACTCATCATCACTTTTTCATATTTATATTCCTGGAATAGCCGAGGATTAATCAAATAATTAATCTTGAACTTCCATTAAGAACCATTATTACCTTGATATTTACAAAATTGACCTTTTTCCTCATTTTGATAGTCTTTTGTAGCATTTCATCGATATGATTTTAATCATTACGGTTATTAATGATGATAATTTAACCTTTCATTATTCCTTTAGATTCAACAATTTGTTCATTTTTAGGATAGATTGTCAACCTTTTATTGTTATTGTTAACCAGTGTTTGATCACTTCTATTATTTCCCTTCTGTCGTCTTTTTACCTAGAAATATTGGGTGAATCTGGTTAAGCATAAAGTCATTTTCTGGTATCTTTTTGATCATCACTGGTTTTCTGGTTTAACCATTTATTTGATCGATTAGACAACAACAATTGAACCATTTTAATGTGTTAAAAGAACCAGATTTAGGTGTTAGATAAGAGATTGGGTTGAATCTGGTTGTCTAATAATTGGGTTTGCACACTTTGAAAGCAAGTAATACTTTCTTACAACATGAAAGGGGCATCAATATTTCATATCTTTCTCAATATTCTTGTCATGCAATAGCTGATAAATTCATGGAAATACTTACATGAGTGTACAGTTGATTGATAAATAAAAATAACTGAATTTAGAATAAAACATTTTCTTTTGAAACATTTGGAATTTCAAATCGATAGAAGAGAAATTTTTTCCAATTTATTTTCTGTTTTATTTTCTGTTTTAAAGTTCAATGTTGAAGGGAATCAATTGAAGCCAAATTGGTTTGAAAATCAAACAATATATTGATTAGTATTGTACAGAGTTGGTAAATATAGAATGGCAATCAAAGTTGAAAGATACAATCAGTAGATGACTACAGATTTTTCACTATTTACTGGTTAAATATTAAATTACTGATCAATATTGTGAAAAATTTTCTCGTTTCTTTTTCGAGATTGAAGTTGAAACTAAAATCCCAACCATTTCAATAAATAACACGCAGTTGTTAAATCATCTGTTATTTTGCTTCCTTCAAATGACTGTAATCATCCAAAATGAACAATAAAGCAAACAAAATGAACTCATTAAACTGGATTGAGCCAGAGATTAGTCGAGTTTTCCCCAGCAAAAATAACCATTAAAACGTTTCTTCAGAAAATTGAAAATCTTTCCAACTCTTCAACTCTTTAACCTTTAAACAAAAAAATGCCATTTCAAGTCAACATTTGATGGTTATTTGTTTTTATATTGCTGACAATAATAACACTCTTCATGTTTGATTGAAGCATCTTATTGCAGTCTCAATTTACAATATCTCATTTCAACCTTCATGATACATGAAACATACTTTACCAATAAACAAGTAAACATTTACAACTCGCAACCAATTTTATGCATTATTTATGTTTTACAATGAAACACTTGAACCAGTTTCATGTTCATACAATCTCATTGATTTTACTTGTTCTGTTCATTTTCACATTTGTCAATTAACAGAATCAATTGGAACTGATTTTTGCAGTCAAAGTAAATTGGCAAGTCCAGATGAGTTGACATGTTCATCAATAAGCAGCGGATTTCCGAGCAAGGAAACTTGGTCACCATCAATTGAAGAGATTTCAATATTAACAAGTAGCTGTTCGAAAACATTTTCATCTGGAATCATTTCGGATTTGGAAGATGAATGTGAAAAGATGTCCCTTGAAACGGAACAAATGACAAGCAATAACCTTTACCATGAAAATAACAGTGAGAGTAAATTATCGAGCAATATTAGTATATTGTGAGTATTTTTGGGTAAAATATTGTTTCCAATCCAATGATTGATTGTTACTGTTATTCAAACTTATCTTTTCTCATTATTTCGTTGGAATCACATTTCCTTAATACATTTTGTTTTCACAATAATCTAATAAAATTTCATTCCCTCTTTACCTGCTGGGCTTTCAACCTGTATATCAATCTTGGATTCATCTGTTTTCCATCCAAAGTTCAAAAGATTCCGAGGCAAGGTTACCAAAGGAAAATGTTGCTTCATGGAGTCAAACACCAACCTACAGAGATCTGGAAGCAAAGATTGAACGATGTTTTGATGATGATTACGATGATAAGTCAACCAGGTAAGTACATGGACTTGTTATGTAAACAATTAATTATGTTTAAGAGCAGCAAAGTCACCATTAGAAATGCTTTTACTTTTCCCTGTTTTTAACCTGAAATTTGATTTCCTTTGGGTTGATGTTTAGTGTTGCACCCAATGAACCGTGTTAGTGTTATTGTTCATTAATTTCAAATTATTTCACTTCAATGATCAGTCACCAGAATCCAATGTATATTTAAACAAGAGTCAAGGCTGGTTCCATTTAGGATTCAGGTATCATCATACAGATGGCAAGATTTGTACGGAAAATTGATCATTTTGGGAATGTCTTTGTGACTCGCTTATATCTGATTGTATCAAATGTCAAGAGTGAACCAAATGACTCAAATGGTTAATGTTGAATGAACATTATGAATTTGATTAGCGTTATATGATAACAGTTGAACGTGATCATAGTTAATTGATAAATCTAATAAGAACAATCAGAGGAAAAACAATTCATTTAATGAATATCTCAACAGAAATTGCTTTTAATCACGTTTAATAATCGATAGATTCTAATTTTCTTTTCCATTCCTTGTTTCATCCTTCCTTGTTCATTCCACAGTGATGATGGTAACTGGAGTAAGACGACTGAAACTAGATTAACAGAACTGCTGAAGAGTGGCGAAAAATTTTTAAACTCAGTAAATGAGAGAAAAAATAAACGCATTTCTCTTCGATCTCCAGAACAGTTGGATTTAAGTCATGTTGCAATTGAACATCGAGTCATTGGAGCCATTTCATTTCATAAAGATTACAGGTAATGAATTATACAAGACAAAGCTTTTATCAATCGTTTTCATTTTATTCAGAAAAGGAAAGCAAAACATTTACATGGTTGAAATTTTAAAAGTTAGTTAGTTAAGGTTGTTAATGAAAACACTTATTAACACAACTGTCACACAAATTGATTTCTTTGAAATATAGACTCTGTGTGTTGTAAGGGACATAATAGCAAAGTTCATTAATGCTAGCGAAAGGTTTCTCCGATCGACAGTTGACGAGAAAATCGAGTCCAAAGTTGAAACTTCGATCGTCCTTTGTGCAATTATGGAACCAAATTTTTTATATTGAACTTCGTTCTTCTAATTCCCTTCTAATGGGCAACCAGAAAATGCAATTACTTTGAGAAATAAAGTTTTCTACTTCTGCACAAAAGATCAAGTTCGATATTCATTCAAATCGACCGTTCTCCGTGATCGTAATAGCTAGAGAGATGAAACGCATTCTCAGTCAATAAAAGTTGTATGCAAACATTATGGATCGAATATTTTTTCCAGCTCATAGAAAGTTCTCTTGCTTTTTGCCATTAACGCAAAAACTTTGAACCTCCATAGTTCAAGAATGGCATCACTTAGAGTCATCATTCTTTCACCAATTTAATTGTTTACTAATTGCTAATTCATTTCAATATAAAAACTTTCCATTATCGCATTCGAGTAATCGCATAATTTTGGGGCTGTAGATGCATGATCAACAACTTATTGAAAAAAAATAAACTCATATTACCCATTTCTTTGCAAGTAAACCAATTTCTGGTTAAAGTTGTAAATGCAATGCAAAGAGTGCTGCTAATGTCACGAAAAATTGAAAAAATGAGTTGAGACTTAACCAGGTTTGTAAGGACATAAAACTGAGTCTAGTGATACCATTGTATAATTCATCCGATAGATAGTTTTCGAGAAAATCGATGTCAAAGTTGAAACTTCGATTGTCTTTAGTTCAGCTATGGAAGCAGTTTTTTCCGTAAAACTTCATTTCCCTTACGTAAATTTTGATGATAAACCTGAAAATAAATTAATTTTGAGAAACAAAGTTTTGGTTTCTGCACAAAAGATCGAATTCGCATTTTCATTTAAATCGACCGTTCTTCGTGATCTTAATAGCTAAAGACGTGAAACTTATTCTTGGTCCATAAAAGTTGTATGCACACATCATGGATCGGTTATTTTTTCTAATTCATCGACAGTTCTCATGCTTTTGGCCATTAACCCAAAAACTTTAAGCCTTCATAGTTCGAGAATGGCATCACTTAGAGTCATCATTCTTTCACCAATTTAATTGTTTACTGATTGCTAATTCATTTAAACATAAAAACCTTCCATTAGCGCATTCGGGTTATGATTTTCGGGCTGTAGATGCATGAACAACAGTTTATTAAACAAAGTAAACTCATATTAACACCTATCTTGGCCAATAAACCAATTTTCTGGTTAAAGTTGCAAATGCAATGCAAAGAGTGCTGCTAAAGTCATGAAAATTTGAACAAAGAGTTGATGCTTAACCGAGTTTGTAAGCCCATAAAAACTGATTCCATTGGTGCCATTAAAAAGTGCATACAATTGATAGTTTTCCAGAAAATCGAGTTCGAAGTTGAAACTTCGATAGCCTTTTGTGCCATTATGGAAGCAGATTTTTTCAAGAAACTTATTTCCCTGATTTAACGTTCAATCAGCAACCAGAAAATCAAATTATTTTAAGAAATAACCTTTTCTTTTCAAAATGCAACAGATAAGTTCAATTTTCGCTTAAACCGGCCACATTCTATGACCGTGAGAGTTAGCGATCTGCAACTTAATATTTGTCCGCAAAATATGCTCCTTCACATTGTGAATGTTGAACCTGTTGAAAAATCTGCTTCCATAATGGCACAAAAGGCTATCGAAGTTTCAACTTCGAACTCGATTTTCTCGGAGACTGTCGATCGGAGAAACGTTTTGCTAACATTAATGGACTCTGCTCTTATGTCCCTAACAACCCACAGAGTATACATTCCAAAGAAATTAAGTTTTACCCGTTTTTCGCCCATTTGTGTCGATGTGTGTTGCAAACTTGTTCATAAATGTTAAAATTGTTTTAATCGTTTCTTTTTGGTAATAATTGTTCGTTTGCAATAGACAATTAAATATACAGAACAAGAATTTTCTTAGCAAATATTAGGCTGAATTCAATGAAGTTTATTTTCAATGATGTTTGTGTTTCATTGCAAAAGGTAACTGCTTAGCAGTTTATATTAAATCAGATTATCCCCCATGAAAGCTCTCAAACAACGATAAAAGAGTCGAATGGATCAACAGGTTCTACTTTTAAGAGTGTTAATGATTTTTGTGGCTAATTGTTGTATTTATTTAATTCAATTTTGCTTTAATTTTCTCTGGTTTTTAAGAAGATTATCATAATGCGATTTGATGCAACTGTTTACTAATTGTAATTGTGTGTTTTCTCATTTACCAGACTTCCCTCGATGCCAATTATTTTCATCGATTGGTTAATTGTCCGAGATTCTTATCGTCACTCTAAAATAGGATCATACCTTGTGAAGGTAATTATTATCAAGTTAATGAACAATCTCATTCTGCCTAATTTGCATTTCATTAAACCTCTTCTTTATTTATACAGAAAATCAAAAGCTCATCACTTGTAGGAAGTTACCATTTAATGTGTGTAAACTCATTATCAACTGAAGCAACTAGATTTTTCCGGGCTCTAGGCTTTATCCAGGATGATATTTCTGAATGCCGTCTAAGGCCTTTACTATCCAGAAAAATGGTCTCACCAGTTGAGACTTCCCTATCAACATTACTATTTTATTATCCATCTTACCGGGTTAATTCAGTTTCAATGTTTTCTAATGATTCTCTGTGGTTTGATGTTTCACTTAAATCAATAAGTGATGAGATTGATTTTTGGAGGGAAAGATCAGTTGAATCCTATCATGACCAGATAACATTGGTCTTGCGTCTTAAATCAGAGATTGTTAAACTGCATAATCAACTGAGACAACGGGATAAACAGTTGAAGGAAATTAAACAAGAAAATAAAGAGCTTCGACATATTGTTACTCAGAGTAAGTCAATTTAACACTTTGACCCAAAATTGGAAAAAAGTCTTTTACTAAATTCAATTTTTCATGCATTCAATCATTTCACAGGCAATGCAATGGCTGCTATAAGCACAATTGATGAACTTGGAAGTTTGTTTGAAAGCATCAAAGATCTATGCAGTGTTGTACGTTAACTTTGACTTCTGGTTGAAACAAATATTCAGACATGTAATCTAAAATTCATTGGTTATTGGAGACACTTTTGACACTGTTAACCTGATGAGCCGAAAGCATCATCGCAACCATAAATTATCTATCAATAGATATTGACGAAGCACAATTAGATTAAATACTAAAACAATAAATGATCTTTACCTTCCTTATTTTCCCGAAAACTTAAAAACAACGATTCTGTCAAATTTGTTTACCTCTTCATTTCACTGTACAATTATATGATTAAAACATGACCCTAACTAATTGGAATCTATTCATGGATTATCAAATTATCATCTTATTATAATCTTGCTTAATATGGGCTTCTTTTGACAAGTATAAGAAATGGATCTTTACGGAGTCATTTGTAAATACAATGTAATCTCTGGCTAAGGATATGATTCAATGATCGGTGAAAAATTTAGAGGAATTAACATTTTTTATTTTTATTTTTATCTTCACCGGTTGACCTGCATTGAAAGTTCACTGTCCATCGATTTATTCATTAAGGAAGCTTTAACAATTTGCTTGAAATGGCCAGTTGCTTTATTCAGCGTATTATGAATATGTTTATATTGATAGTGTCAAAATAGAGGATTTGTTTTGGGTACAAAAATAAACTGTTTCAATCTATAACTAACCGATTCAGGAGAGAAATGGCTGAAAATCTATTGAAGTGAGGATGATTAGGAACTCTTGAAGAGACAACAAATTAAGCTAGGTCAAGAGATGCAATTGAAATGTACAGATAAACAGGATTAATCTTTAATTTTCATGAGCCATTCATTTGAACAATATTTAAACATTTTTAATTCTTGACACACAAACAAAACCAATTTAAATACGGTTAAAGCCTTTACTAATTCCAAGCCAGATTATTAGGTCCAATGGTTAATTTGAGGACTCCCTTGGAGTTTTTGTGTCAACACTTGTAAACAGATTAAAGTTGATCAGTTGATTTCGGAAGTCATTACAATAACATCAAGCAATTGATTGAAAGGGTTTGATTCAATAAAATAAACTCTTGGTTCATTTTTGATTCAACTGCTGGGGCCATTTCAAGTCAATAATAAAGCCTTTATGAACCAAGACGAAGATCATCTTAATTTTTCGCTTATTTAGCTGATGATGACTAAAACTAAAATTAAATTCATATTGAATAGCCATGTCAAACTACATAAATGTTGACCAATTTATTAATAAACCATGATCACAAGTAAGTGTGAAGATGAGGTTAAAAGAGTTGAAGTGAGAGTGATTCAATCAGTTGAGTAGATTGCTTAAACGCGTTTATTGGTGTTAAACTGTGAGGCCGGAATTTTAACCAGAATCATTGATCTTTCTGCTGTTTCAACAACTCGCCACTTCTAACGTTTTTAACTTTAAAAATAAAACTACTCAAAGAAAGAAGGTATAACTATGATTTGAAAATGAACGTTTCTTTTTAATCCATCAGCAGTTCTGGTCAGATCTCCATTTCATCGTTAATCTTTTCTTGAGCTGATTTGTCTGCATATTTTTTGGTGCACAAAATTTGGAATCCCTTTGGATCCATTTAACAAGTTAAAAAGCTTTAAACTCTTTTGACTCCTTCAAAGCCTCGAGCTTTTTTGGCCATTTTTGTGAGTTTGGTCAACGTTGCCAGTCCATCTGGATATCCTTTCATTTTGAAAAACATTTTTCCAAATATTTCTGTTTGTGTTATCACCAAAAAGACACGAAATTTATATTCAAATATGTACAACCGTGATTTTTTACTTTACTTAATTGTCATTACAATTGCCATAACTGTTGTTTCCACCATTCCTAGTGCTCAAAATTCAAGATCTATCCTTGAACGGTCATCACAAACAGCTTCGCAGATGGATCCACAAGTTATCCAAAGGACTGTTAGATCATCAAATAATCAACATCAGTTTGAACCGACATCATTTCAATCAGATGGAGAAAGGTAAGTTTAATTAATATGAGTAAATCCGATTATTCGATTCTCCATTTTTCTGATGTTAATCTTGTCCTTTGATCTCAACCCTTGAAGTGAACCGTCAGCACCAGAAGAAATCTTGGATATTTACTTTGATTTTATCAGGAACAACGATGAAAACAACTGCTTGATGAGAATCGTTTGTCAAATTGGTTATAATAAAACTGCCTTTGGTAACTTTGGTGAACAAATTGCTGGTTTCTTTACGTAAGTTGTTGCTAACCAAATTAATAATTTTCATGTTTGTTGTCAAGAATCCAATGGTTATACAACCAGCAGTCTATTATATTAATATAATCATCCTTTTTTCAGTGAAATTGATTCAAATACTGGAAGTGCTGCTCAATATCGAGCTGCTTTTCAAACTTATCTAACAGAACCAAATGTGGATAAATGTGTTGAAAAGTACCCGGAATGTCAATATGCAACAAATGATATGGTCGAGGTTGGTAACGATTTGATGACCAAGAATCTAACAGGTATGCAACTGGATGATGCTAATAAAGGACCAACTTGGATTTATCCAGCTAATTGAAATGGTTCAGTGTTGCTTGAGGTTTTTGATAAATAAACATCGCCTTTTCATAATTTCGTCGATTGTTTCATTGTTTCTGGACGATTCCAAATGGCATCCAATATCAACATAACTTTCTCAAATTGAAACAGGATCCAGCTTTTGAATTAAATTTCAATCCATTGAGCAAATCCTAAGGTTACATTAGGTGAGGTGCTTATGTGGATAACCTGTAGGAATAGATTGTCCGTGAATACAAATGAACGGTTTTGTCTCAGAATAATTGAAAGACCATCCTGTAAATTTGGGAAGCAATGACAGAAAGACAAAAACACTAGAGTTTTCGGTTTGTGCATTGATTATTATTACATTACTATCATTGAATATGATTACAGATAGTTGATAAATTAGTCAATCATTTTCATAAATTGATTCTGCACTTTGCTTATTTCCGATTCAAACCCGCACTTATAATGAATTATTCTTTGCTTCATCAACTCAACTAATTATGCAGACTAGATTGTGGTTGTTCTTTCACGATTGAATACATGTGTAATGGCAGTGGATTTCAAGATTGAAATTTAATAGGTATACCGTGGGTAAATATTTCAATAAAAAACTCAAAAAAGAAAGATGGAAATTGAATCCAAAATCTCGATTATTTTGACCATAGTCCTAATAAAGACATTTGCACTCGTAAATATCAGAACAGGAATGATTTCTGGAGTAATGATAACTCGGAAAATATTGAAAAGATGCTTTTGCACTTTCAACATAGCAAGTGAAAAGTAAACTCAGATAAAACACATACAAACACAATAACCACAAAATAATCACTAGATAGTTGACTAATCACCACCAAGAACTCCTCTTGCCCTTCTCATTATTGAATCCTTAGATGGATCATAAGGATTATCTTTAGATGGTATTTCGAGAACAGCAGGAATAGGATCTTTATGAACATCAATCACATGACGAACTCTTTCGGCTATATTTTGGTTGATTAAGATAATATCGATATCCCCTCGTTTTAGAAAAGCTCGGAAAGTGTCCTCAATCTCCGAGGTAACTGTGTTCCGATCTACAACCAAAAAATTTAAGTTTGGATTCTTAGCACGATTAACTTCACCAATTCCTCCAAGGAGAAAACCAACACAAGTATCCTAAGGTCAAATAAGACAGTAAGAGTCAGGTAGCAGTAAAGGGATTTAAAATACATTATATACACTAAATTCGTTACTCACCTCATCTCCGATCACTGCAATTAATTTTCCTTTACCCGGAATATTACCAGTTAACGCCATTTTGTTATTTATATTGATTAATAAATTAAAGAATGATCAAACAATAAACCTAATTTCATAAAAAAAGAGGAGTTTACTTTGTTTACATACAATTTCCATGGAGATTCATTTTTAAAAGAGGGATTTTCAACTGATTATTTTCCGATTCTGAATCAAAAATCAATTTGATCGGTGGATATTTTTTGAAAATTATTTATTTGGGCATAGATTTGCAATAGTTAACACCAGATACATTAAAAATAACAAATTAATGAACAAGATTTCGACTACATATGGTTCAATGATTTAGTTTCTATTTTACAATGAAGTAGCTACAAAATTGATAGAGTTAATGAAAGTCTGATATTAGAAACTGCTCGGAATTATCACGATTAACAATATTTATTAAGATACAAATGTAGCTAATTGTATCGCAATGAGAACAGCAAACAGTTTTCACAGAAACTCTATATTTACATAAAGAATTTTGTGAATAATGAAACAGTCAATGTAATTTCTTTTTATCAAATAAAAGTTTAATAACAAGAAAATGTCACATAAGCATCTTTGTTGGACAAGCATTGTACAATATTGTAGCAATTAATTTATAGTTAAATAAGCAAATGGACGGTTTAGTTCAATATTTGTGTGTAGTTGTATGTGTGAGATTGAGGCGATTGTCAATAGGAATGGACAATTTCATAATTTAAGATTTCCAGCACTTTTTAGTCAAAGATTGTTTTGAGATAGGCAACTTGAGAGATGTGTTAACATAGTTAACATATTATGAGATTCTTTTATGAGATTGGATGGATTCAATTCCGTTGTAAACATGGAATGTTGTATTTGTAGCTTTCTTAAACGTAGTTTTCTGATGCCTGATGAAATATTTTGAATGATAGTTGTAGCATGAATGTGAAATGCAATTCAGATCAATAGTCGAATTTTTGAAGGTATAAAAAATATGATCAATGTATTTGATCAATGTTTGACTGACGTTGGCTCCAAAGTAAACGAATTAGAGTGCTTTTTGGCTTCCTTTTTGATTAGAATACGATTTTCAACCCAAAATAAGATTGAAGATACCCATTGGAAGAAGCATCCAACAACTGCTAAAGCAAATGACCAAGATAAATAATTATGTTCTGGATCGGGCATCCAATCTCTATCATCTCCTTTTATACCAAAAATTATACAAGCGGTGGTACAGAATAGAGCTGTGAAAATAAATTAAGATCAAAATTTAGTAACTAAATTTTATACAATTTATAATTATCTTACCTGAGAGAAACATAATTATAGATAAAGCTTTCATGGCATACATCTCTTTGTCTATCACAAAGCATAATTGAATCGCTAAAACACCAATAGCTGCCAACAACAGGAATACAAAACCAAGAGTGTACAATGTTTGGGTGGCGACGAAAAAAGCTGTATTGATGAGACAAGTTTGAAAAATAATTAAAATTGTATGTAACTCACAATAGATACAAGTTAATTTAGTATTTCAGGTCAAATTGAAAAGGCAACGAAAGTTGCAGCTCAAGCAATCAAAATTACCAGGTAATAGGAAATCTCGTAAGTCATTTTCACCATCGGCATATTCATATGAGAAAACCCATCGACAACCAACATAATATTTGTAATTTTGAAAATCATTGGGATGCTTAAAACTACGAAGGCATGTTTTCCAAAGACCTAACTTATCAAATTCATCACCATAATAACGACGATCAGAAGCAAGCCAATAAGGAGTACAGAGAGCCACCACGCTTGCAATAAAACCAAGAGCAAGTGTAGCTATTGCTATAAACCGAGTGGATGACATTTATACTATTTCGTATTGAAGATGAACTATAGCAACAAGTTGACTCATTAAACTATGGAATATACACAGAATTATGTAAGTATTGGTGTATGTTTGATTCTAATTGTCAAGACTATTAAAATCAACCTGCTAACATCTAATTTGCAACTGCTTACACACAAATAAATTCATCGTTAGAGACGACAAATACAACTCATACCGATATGTTTGTTTAGAAGAAAGTAAACAGAGGGAAAATTCATAGAATAACGTATCATGCTTTACATAACGCTTCAGTGAATATGATGAATAAAAAAACGGTTGAGGTTATATGTACACAAAGATACTATCCGATATCTGTATCTGATACCACCAATAATAACTAAAAATTGTAAATTTTCGTTTAATGAATAGAAAAGCCTTAATCTGAAGTTAGCTTAAGAATTTTTGAGCATTTTAATGATGATGATCAATTGAAAAAAGGATTTAAATAATAATTTAATAATGGATTGAACTGATCTCAAATCAGTCTAACAGATATCTGTTTCAAATGTTGCGGTAAAAAAATTGCACTCGTCTAAGTTTCTAGAAACAAAAAATTTGTCAAAACTAGACTCGAACCCTAATCATAACCTTTACTCTCATTACACTCTAACCACTGAGCTAGCAATTTATTTTCAAATCCTACTTTAAATTTAGCAACTCATTTGTTCAAGCAGGCATTGTTAAATGAAATCAATACGTTAAACACAAAAACGCATCACTCTGGCTTTAATGTATGCATTCTTTGACTGGGATTTAATAAAAATTGATCAAAAATTAACTTTTAATCCACTATTAAACTATTAATTGAATCCTTGCCATTCAACATCATTATGTGTACGGTTAACTTCATTGTTAAAGATACACAGATTTGTGTACATATAACCTGTTCCTAAAAAAACAAAGATACTTACGAGGCTTCAGGAAATAGGAAAGGAGGTAGAAGTCTTTATCAAAAATCCAACGGCAGCCACTCTGGATTTAACTCATTTAATGGTTGAAGAAAAGAACCTCTCAATCGATATGGCTGGATATGAAACTGCCAAAGCTAAAGCTCGAACTTCATCTCGAGTTTCGCGAAACAACCGCAGTTAATATCTTTATGCATCAGGACATACTTTAACTACATTTTCCTATCTGTAGTTATTTATAAATTACCGAAATAAACATCATTTTGTGCTTGATATGTTTCTTTGGTTTTAGCTGTGTGAGTTTCAAAGTAGAAGTAAAAAAGATATGCAGGTAAATGTGGGTAAAAAGAGAGACTGGTTTCTGGTTAACATGCATAAACATGTATAGACAGATCTAAGGGCGGCGTCCATACCTTTTCAACTGTTTCTCTCTTCTTCCTTTTCTTCCTATTTCTCTATTATTTTGCCTCTCTCTCTCTCTCTCTCTCTCTCTCTATTTTAAGTTACTAAGGTAACCTCAGTTTATTAGGAATTTTCAATTTACAATTCATCTTATGTAAATCAGTTTATCGTGAAATTTAATCATCTACAATTATACATTTACATCATCTTCTGTTCAAGGGAATATTTCTTAATTAAGTTTGGTTATTGATATGTTTCAATGAATCAAATGTTTTTGTATTACAAGTCACCTGTGTGTTTGCATTTTTTCACATCACAAACCTGTGAATAGCATCTGTGAGTTGTGTATGTTATCATGAATAACAACAGTTCTTAATGTGACAAAAAGTATATTATTGTGTCTCTATCTTTCAATTTTGTGCCATCAAATAAATCGAAGCTGGAAAGATATCAACACTAATTCAATCTAACCCTTAAAGCAACTCATACCACTTGTTGCCAAAGTTCATTGCTCACAAGAGTTCAAATCAAAATGGTTTACATGTCAGATGCTCGGCTTTCAGCATTCGCTTCACTTGCTCTTGGTTTTATCACTAGTTTAATAGCTTTCTGTACACCTTATTGGCTTGCTTCTGATCGTCGTTATTATGGTGATGAATTTGATAAGTTAGGTCTTTGGGAGACCTGTTTTCGGAGTATTAAAAATCCCACTGATTTCCAGCATTTCAAGTATTATTCGGGATGTCGATGGGTATTCTCATATGAATATGTCGATGGTCAAACTAATTTGCGTGATTTTCTATTACCTGGTAATTTTGAATGCTTTAACTTATATAAAATTACTAATATACTCATACTAATATATTTTCATTATTTTTCTTACAGCCTTTTTCGTCGCCACCCAAACATTATACACTTTTGGTTTTGTATTCCTGTTGTTAGCAGCCATTGGTGTTTTAGCGATTCAATTATGCTTTGTGATAGACAAAGAAATGCATGCCATGAAAGCTTTATCTATAATTATGTTTCTCTCAGGTAATTAAAAGAATAAATAGTGTTAATGTAATCATATTTTGGAACTCAAACTAATCTAAAGTCGGTTTTTTAATTTATTTTCACAGCTCTATTCTGTACCACCGCTTGTATAATTTTTGGTATAAAAGGAGATGATAGAGATTGGATGCCCGATCCTGAACACAATTATTTATCTTGGTCATTTGCTTTAGCGGTTGTTGGATGCTTCTTCCAATGGGTATCTTCAATCTTATTTTGGGTTGAAAATCGTATTCTAATCAAAAAGGAAGCCAAAAAGCACTCTAATTCTTATACTTTGGAGTCAACATCAATCAAATATTGATCAAATACATTGATCATATTTTTTTCAAAGTATTCATCAGGCATCAGAAAACTACGTTTAAGAAAGCTACAAATACAACATTCCATGTTTACAACGGAATTGAATCCATCCAATCTCATAAAAGAATCTCATAATATGTTAACTATAGTTAACACATCTCTCAAGTTGCCTATCTTAAAACAATCTTTGACTAAAAAGTGCTGGAAATCTTAAATTCTGAAATCGTCCATTCCTATTGACAATCGCCTCAATCTCACACATACAACTACACACAAATATTTGCCTAACTACTAAACCGTCCATTTGCTTATTTAACTATAAATTAATTGCTACAATATTGTACAATGCTTGTCCAACAAAGATGCTTATGTGACATTTTCTTGTTATTAAACTTTTATTTGATAAAAAGAAATTACATTGAATGTTTTTTTTATTCACAAAATTCTTTATGTAAATATAGAGTTTCTGTGACAACTGTTTGTTGTTCTCATTGCGATACAATCAGCTACATTTTTATCTTAAGAAATATTGTTAATCATGATAATTGCGAGGTTCTGTACCTTTTTAGCTAAAACTCTTATAGCTAAGCTTGTTTTAGATAAACCTTAAGAGCTAAAGGCAAAACAGCTAAAGTCAAATGCGCGCGCGCGCGTCGCGTTTTCTACAGTTCAGTTCGATATTCTCTATGTTCATAATTTTCCAAATCTAAATGATTAGCACCTTTTTTGATGTAATAGAAGTTAAATTATCACTCAGTATGATTGAATGGATGGTCAAATTGTAACAAAAGGTTCAAGAGAAAAAGAAAAAAACTGATAAAATGCTTCTCAATACGGTCGAGTCCCTGAAATTGTCGGTTCCTGAAACTGTCCATTCGATATCAGTAACATCTTTTATAAATAAAAAAAACATAGTATGAATTTAATTGTGTTTTGATTAGTAATTTTTATTGGTGTCTTTTGAATGTTGCGCCTTATTTGGCCTCAAACAATTGATGGACAATTTCAGGGACTCGACTTGCTTTATTTAGACTTCGGGTTATACTCATTAAGTTTGATTTTAACTTCTTAAAAAATTTAGCTTTAATAGGTTTTATCCATGGTGAAATTATCCGTTTTGCCCTTATCTGTTCAGAATTAGCTCAAAAGAGTCTTTACCAATTGCGAGCCATTTACAATAACAGGCTTCGGTTTTACTCTATCAATTTCGTAGCTATTTCATTGTAAAATAGAAACTAAATCATTGAATCATATGTAGTCGAAATCTTCATTAATTTGTTATTTTTAATGTACCTGGTGTTAACTATTGCAAATCTATGCCCAAATAAATAATTTTCAAAAAATATCCACCGATCAAATTGATTTTTGATTCAGAATCGGCAAATAATCAGTTGAAAATCCCTCTTGTAAAAATGAATCTCCATGGAAATTGTATGTAAGCAAATTAAACTCCTCTTTTTTATGAAATTAGGTTTATTCAATAAACTTTATTGTTTGATCATTCTTTAATTTATTAATCAATATAAATAACAAAATGGCTTTAACTGGTAATATTCCGGGTAAAGGAAAATTAATTGCAGTGATCGGAGATGAGGTGAGTAACGAATTTAGTGTATATAATGTATTTTAAATCCCTTTACTGCTACCTGACTCTTACTGTCTTATTTGACCTTAGGATACTTGTGTTGGTTTTCTCCTTGGAGAATTGGTGAAGTTAATCGTGCTAAGAATCCAAACTTAAATTTTTTGGTTGTAGATCGGAACACAGTTACCTCGGAGATTGAGGACACTTTCCGAGCTTTTCTAAAACGAGGGGATATCGATATTATCTTAATCAACCAAAATATAGCCGAAAGAGTTCGTCATGTGATTGATGTTCATAAAGATCCTATTCCTGCTGTTCTCGAAATACCATCTAAAGATAATCCTTATGATCCATCTAAGGATTCAATCATGAGAAGGGCAAGAGGAGTTCTTGGTGGTGATTAGTCTACTTTTATTATTCAAAAAATTCTTTATGTAAATATAGAGTTTCTGTGAAAACTGTTTGTTGTTCTCATAGCGGTACAAGCAGCTACATTTGTATTTGTAAGAAATATGATATTACTTTCGTTTATCATGATAATGTGTGATTACTTCTAATGTAATATTTGAGACTTATCACTGGTTTATCACAAAAATTCAAAAGTTTTCTATAATATTGTTAATTCTGAAACTAAATGGCTCCTCATCTTCGTCTTCATCTTCATTTTCATCTTCGTAACCATCGTCATCGTCGTCTTGGTTGAACATGTGTTCTTCTTTCTGGTCAATTTTAGCTACTTTGGTCTCTTTTTTAATCGGTTTCATAAATCCAGTGAGTTCCCACCAAATTGGTTTTTTGCTGGTCGTCATCTTGCATTCTTTAACTCTCTTGAGCTTGAAAGGAGTAGTCTTGTGTTTGTAAACTTTGTCTAGAATTGTCAATCTTTTCACATCCTGACTCGCAAAAGCTTCATTGTCAGCTTTAAAGAATGGGACACCTCTTCGTTCCATATCTGCTTTCTCTTTGATTCGCTAATCAGAGAAACAAAAAAAAACAAAATGAGCCATAAGATAATCAATGTGGTCAAATTTTAAAATCAATAAATAATTTAAACTCACCTTGTTGATATAATCCACGATTTGACGTCCATCATTCGTATTTAATTTTCTATTGATTCCACTCATGTGATTCATTTTGAATCCGAAATTTAATTGTCAATATTACAGACAGTTTTCAAGATCGTATTTAATTTGCAATGCTCACTTTTATTGCCTCATGAAAATTGAATAAGAAAATTGGTAAAACATTCGATTCGAATAAAGAAATAATAGAAGAGGGTGGCAAAATCATCGCTAGATGGCAGAGTTTAGAGAAAATAAGAAACCGAAAAGCAAATGTTTAAAATACTGTATAACGTGGTTTGTTTCTATCTGACAATCTGTTTATCGAAGTCTGTGATTAACCTTCAATATTTTCATCGTAGGTAAGTCGATTTCTGTTTGTTTTGATATACTTTTGTAAAACCAGGGGACAAGCAGTTGTTTTAGGACTAAATCTGAGTCAATTTATGAACTGGTTATGGGCTGTCACTATGTTTTCACCCATTTCTTTACATTAATCTTTTTCAATTGTATGAGTTATCTTGGTTCTGACCAGTTGAACAAGCAAAATTTTTGATGACCTCGATCGAAGGCCACATTTCTCTTTTCCAATCTCCTTACTCAGCCCATTTCCTGACCTATTTAAAGTACACTTCGATCACTGAAACAACCGTTTGTTTCCTGTTTTGCTAGAATAAAGAGATTGAAATAGTTACTCAACTTGTAAGCTTGATTTCTTAGCTGCTCTCTTTCATTATTATGTTTCAGTTATACATTTCTTTTACTCTTCTACCTCACCATTTCCTTTAAATTTACTATTTCAACTAATTGCCACGAATCTTATCGAAATTTACGTTTTCTCCTATTCTTTACCAATTTGTTTTGTAGCTTATTGAACCAGTGGTTCTTAATCTGTATTAATAACAATGGATTGTAATCAAGTCAGACAAAAGTTTATAGACTTTTTCATGAAAAAATATAATCATGAATTCGTTCCATCTTCATCAGTTATTCCCTTAGATGACCCAACTTTATTATTTGCTAATGCTGGTATGAATCAGGTAAGAACTTTATTAAGATCTTATTTTAAACTGGCTTTAAACTTGAACCATAATTCATAGCTTTTCTTAACTTTAACATAACATATCTTTTTTGTTTCTATTCATCACATAGTATAAACCAATTTTTCTGGGAACTGTTGATCCTAATAGTGACCAAGCCAAATATAAAAGGACATGTAACTCGCAAAAGTGTATCCGTGCCGGTGGCAAGCACAACGATTTGGATGATGTTGGTAAAGATGTTTACCATCACACTTTCTTCGAAATGTTGGGTAACTGGTCTTTCGGAGATTATTTCAAAAAAGAAATCTGCAAATGGGCTTGGGAACTTTTAACCGAAGAGTATGGTTTGGATAAAGATAGACTTTATGTAACTTATTTTGGTGGAGCACCTCAACTAGGTTTAGATCCTGATGAAGAGTGTCGATCTATTTGGGTTGATGATGTTGGTGTTGATCCATCTAAAGTTATTCCTGGAAGTATGAAAGACAATTTTTGGGAAATGGGTGATACAGGTCCTTGTGGTCCATGTAGTGAAATTCATTTTGACAGGATTGGTGGTCGTAATGCATCAGATCTGGTCAACATGGACGATCCTGATGTGCTGGAGATTTGGAATCTAGTTTTTATTCAATACAACCGAGAACAAGATTCTTCTCTTAAACCCTTGCCTAAACAGCATGTCGATACTGGTATGGGTTTCGAAAGAATTACTTCTGTAATTCAAAATAAACGTTCCAATTATGACACCGATATTTTTGTACCAATTTTCGAGACTGTTTCCCAAATGACAGGATGCCGTCCTTACACTGGAAAGGTTGGACCTGAAGATACTGATGGTATTGACATGGCTTATCGTGTTATAGCCGATCATGCACGTACATTAACAGTCGCTTTATCTGATGGAGGAAGACCAGACAACGTTGGTCGTGGTTATGTACTCCGGCGTATATTGCGTCGAGCTGTTCGTTATGGTACAGAAAAGCTTGGTGCTAAGCCAGGAATGTTTGCTTCTCTTGTACCAGTTGTTGTGCAAATTTTAGGTGACTTTTTCCCAGAGATGAAAAAAGACCCGCAAACTGTGATGGACATAATTAATGAAGAAGAGACACAATTTCTCAAAACATTGTCAAGAGGTCGACGTTTGCTTGAGCGAACCATTGCAAAACTCGGTGATTCTAAAATCCTTCCTGGAGATATTGCATGGAGATTGTATGATACTTACGGTTTCCCTCTGGATTTAACTCATTTAATGGTGGAAGAAAAGAACCTCTCAATCGATATGGCTGGATATGAAGCTGCCAAAGCTAAAGCTCAAGCTTCATCTCATTCAAAGACATCAAGTCAACAGTCACCCATTGAATTAAATGTTCATTCCATTGCTGAGCTCAAAGATCAGCTGAAAGTTCCCTTGACCAATGATGAACCTAAATATGATTACAAAGCCAATAGTGATGAGCCAAATGCTGATTATATTTTCACCCCATGCTCAGGACGTATTTTAGCTTTACGTAAAGATAATGCATTTGTGGATTCCGTTGATTCTGGCATTGAATGCGGTGTTATTTTGGATAAAACAAGTTTTTATGCTGAAGCTGGTGGCCAAATTTTTGACACTGGATTCATGACCAAAGAAAGTTTAGGTGGAGATGAAGAAGATAGCGAGTTTGAAGTGAGGGATGTCAAATGTCAAGGAGGTTATATCGTTCACTTGGGTAATGTAGCATCTGGAGTTTTAAAAGTTGGAGATGTTATGAAACTACAGATTGATCAACAAAGAAGGAAATATATTATGAGCAATCATACCGGTACTCATGTCCTCAACTATGCATTGAGATCTGTTTTAAAAGCAGAAAGTGATCAACGAGGCTCTTTGGTTGCTCCAGATCGATTAAGATTTGACTTTACTAATAAAGGTCCAATGAGTCCAAGTCAAGTTAAAGAAACTGAACAGGTATCACAGAAAGTTATTGCCAAAAATGAAATTGTTTATGCTGCAGATGCATCGCTTCCCAAAGCCAAGGAAATTAAAGGATTGAGAGCTGTTTTTGATGAAGCATATCCTGATCCCGTTAGAGTTGTTTCAATCGGTGTTCCTATTGATACTTTGTTAAATAATCCAGATAGTGACAGTGGCTTAGAAACATCTGTTGAATTCTGCGGAGGTACTCATCTCAAAAGAAGTGGACACATCGGTGATTTTGTGATCTCAAGTGAAGAAGCCATATCCAAAGGTATTCGTCGGATAATAGCTCTAACAGGTCCAGAAGCTAGTAGAGCAATCAAGAAGTCGGCTCTTTTCCAGAATGAGGCTGAAATTATTGCTGAAAAAGTCAATTCCGTAACCAACAACGCAAATGAACAGAAAAAAATCGTTAAGCGTATTGTTGAGCTAATTGAAGAAGTTTCCCAATCCAATATCTCTTATTGGAAAAAAGATGAACTTCGAAATTATCTTAATGCTTCTAAAAAGAAACTTGATGATGCAGATCGTGCCTCGAAAGCTGCTAATCTTAACCAAGTTACTGAACAAGTAAAAATTCTTGCTGAAAGTTTGAAAGATGCTCCATTTGTAGTTAAAGCTTTGGAAGCTGGAAGTAATGCAAAAGCTCTCGATGCAGCTGTTAAACAAATTAAATCAATTTCACCTAAGACTGCAGCTATGTTCATCAGTTGTGATGATAAGAAAATAATTTGTTTAGCTTCAGTTCCATCTGAAACAGTCTCTACATCAGGATTGAAAGCCAATGAATGGGTGCAACAAGTTAGTCCAATTATAAACGGTAAAGGTGGTGGTAAACCAGAGTCTGCTCAAGCTTCGGGAACCAATGTAAATGCCATTGATGCTGCTGTAGAAGCTGCTGAAAAATTCGCAAAAATGAAACTCAATTAATTTAATTGAAAGAAGATAGAAGAATAAATATAAAATAAATAAAATTTTAAACATTTAAAATGATTTTAAATTATGAGATTTGAGATTATTTCGTGAAAAAAACCTGTGAAAACAATTTCAACCAATTGCTTATTGAAATTTGCGTTTACTCATATCCTTTACAAATTTGTTTTGTAGCTTATCCATCCAGTTTTTAGGTTACTTTTTCCCTGAATTACGGATGGAGGAAGAAATGACAACGTTGGTCGTGGTTATGTACTCAGGAGTTTATTGCGTCGAGCTGTTCGTTATGGTACAGAAAAGCTTGGTGCTAAGCCAGAAATGTTTGCTTCTCTTGTACCAGTTGTCGCGAAAATTTTAGGTGACTTTTTCCCGGAGATGAAAAAAGACCCACAAACCGTGATGGACATAATTAATGAAGAAGAGACACAATTTCTCAAAACATTGTCAAGAGGTCGACGTTTGCTTGAGCGAACCATTGCAAAGCTCGGTGATTCTAAAATTCTTCCTGGAGATATTGCATGGAAGTTGTATGATACTTTCGGGATCCCTCTGGATTTAACTCATTTAATGGTAGAAGAAAAGAACCTCTCAATCGATATGGCTGGATATGAAACTGCCAAAGCTAAAGCTCGAACTTCATCTCGAGTTTCGCGAAACAACCTTTGATAATGTCTTTATTCATAAGGACATACTTTAACTACAATTTCCTATCTGGAGTAATTTATAAATTACCAGAATAAATATCATTTTGTGCTTGATATGTTTCTTTGGTTTTAGCTGTGTGAGTTTCAAAGTAGAAGTAAAAAAGATATGCAGGTAAATGTGGGTAAAAAGAGAGACTGGTTTCTGGTTAACATGTATAGACAGATCTAAGGGCGGCGTCCATACCTTTTCAACTGTTTCTCTCTTCTTCCTTTTCTTCCTATTTCTCTATTATTTTGTCGCTCTCTCTCTCTCTCTCTCTATTTTAAGTTACTAAGGTAACCTCAGTTTATTAGGAATTTCAATTTTGTACCATTTCGCAGTTGATCAAACTGCAACAGGTTGGACATTCAGGCAACATAAGGTGTTAACTGACCCAAACTCATTTATCTACAGCCCCTTCGAGATTTGATGAAGGTAATGAAAAATCACTTCATGATTCCATTGAGTTAACAAAATTGGTCCAACGGTAATTATTAGGCAAGACAAAAGGATATCCAGAGAATAGTCCTGCTAAAGTTGCTTGAGAGAATAGATGTTGATGATTTTGGCTGAATTCGGTTTGGGTGTTATTGTGTGATTCAGGTTCGGTGTAGAGTTGAGAAATTGAGAATATTGTGGTATTGAGAAAAATTATCAACCGAATAATACCGAAACCGTGAAAAAATTATCGATACTCAAAAAAATGCCGATTATTTAGATTATCGAAATCGAAATTTATTAACGTTTAACGAAAGAAATTAGGGAATGAGCTCAAGAAACATTCAGCTAAACAGGTTTCGTCTTAAGCCTAGTGACTACTTAAAAACTCTCTGGGATCAGTCGAGTAAAGAATTTCCAGAGTTTTTTATCGATCAAATAATCTCGAAAAGTAGAATTGATAGTCTTTCTGACAGTCCCCAGTTTATGATCAGAAAAAAATTTTTGCGTAAATTTTTGTAATTCTATCTTAAAATTTGTGAAACATTCGATGTAACTTTTACATGCCGAATAAACTTTACCTCGATATAATGAATGTATTGTGATCATTTTTGTCTTTTTTTGTATCTTATAGGTGCTCTACGTTGTTGTCACCTCCTCGTGGTGTAGAGTGAGTATTTTCAGAAATGAAAATAGCTGAAAGCAACCATCTCCAAGATAAATTCTAGCCTTAACTCAAAAATACATGGAAATGATAAATAGCGCAAGTAACTACGTTAATAACGCTCCGATTTCGGCGAGTGATCCTCTGACCTAGTAGTAATAAGCGATTTCACATTGTATTCGTCAGCTATTTAGCCAGCTCTAAACTTCTGAAAAGGGTCGCTTGTTTGAAATTTAGCGATTCATTTCAAGTTTATTATCTAATTTGTAAAATTCAATATCCAAAAAAGCAATGGGTCTTTCTGTAGCTGTTGTCCTTCTACGCAATTTTTATAAAAGTCCAATGATGTCATATTCCTTTTCCTTAACTAAATCAAAGTTTAACGTTTATATTAATATTGTTGCATATTTCGGTAATTACAATAACGTTAATAAGAAATGTTTCAACACAGTTAATGTGGAAATTCAGTTTTCGTAAATAAAACAATATTTTAGCGAAATGTATCAGTTGTTTCACTTGGTACACGAATAATTATTTTTACTTGTATTATTTGATATATTAATAATACAAGTAATGATTGAATGGTTTGAAGCAGAAAATACATAAACAATAATTACAGCAGTGTTCTAATCGAAATTTTCAATGTATAATTCATCTCTGAATAACATACAATCAATTGACCATATTTTTTTATCCCAAAAAGATATTTTATACTAATTGAAAAAGGTATCGATAATTTAAGACCTTTCAAAGTTGCTAATTTTTCTCATTTTTTGTGCAACATTGCATTATGGTATATCTGTATCAGCAGCTCGTCTAAAGCCAATGGATGGCATAATGCTATATTTTGGAGTTCATTAACTGAATGTCCATTCAGTAATCGTATTCAGTTATTTCTGCTTTTCTAGTTTTCGGACATCCAAATTGTTCACGAGAAAATTGTAAATAAGCATCATTGATGAACTTCAAATGAGCAAAAACATTAACAAAGACATCAGTGTGAAACTTATTACAGGGCGACTGTTCACTACTCAGCACACCATAAAGATAACTTATATTAGTACGTGCATCTTGCCAAATTGCAGGACCACCTGCGTCACCATAACATCCACCTGCACCAACGTTATTCTGAGTACAGAAATTGTAAATTGGAGCATACTCAAATCCTGTCTTTTCATCCAGGCACTTTTTGTCGTCTTTGATGGTTACAGTTGCTTCTAGCAGTGCATCTGATAGGTAGTCTCTTATTTCGATCCCAAAACCTATTAACTTAACCTTTGTATTAACAGGAAGACGTCTGAAGGCCAGTTGAAGCGTAGCTTTAGGTCGTGTATCAGGTTTGTCCAATAGTACAACAGCGATGTCATGCATACTGTATGGTCGTTGTTTTAAAAAATCTGGATGTATCACATAATTTTTAACTTTGATAATGGGATCGCTCTTTTGGATTACCCGTCGATTTCGATAGTTGGGTAAAATGCGCAATTTTGAAATAAGTGAGGTACTAAAAAGATACATTAGTATTATGTGATGATTAGTGTTTTCAAGCTAAATTTGGATAATTATTTAAAGCTTACTTGGTAAGACAATGTGCTGCTGTTAGCATGACATTTCTTTCCACCAATACTCCTCCACAGTAGTGAATATATGGATACCGATCATTTGGTATTTGGATGGAACAAAAGTAAGGATAAACACCTTTTCGGAGAACATCTTTACCCTTATAAATTTTTTCTTGGAACTCTGTTGAATCTTCTACGTCTGTCGATGATACAAAATTTGAATATAAAAACATCATCAAAATTGCACTGTTGAGCATTTCTTTGGTGAAATTTTGCACAATCGACTTTTAAAACTCAATTGTCGACAATGAAAGCAGCAAATGATCTGACTCTTAATCAAAGTTAAACTAATATCAAACCAATGCAACACTCGGCAAAACAGATTGGTTCATTAATTAATGTTAGTTAAGTTAAATTCAATAAGTATCAAATAACTATCCATGTTGATTGAAGGTGTTTATAAAAAGTGAATATTCAGACGATATTTTTGTTTCACAATATCATAAACAAGCTGTGACACAATTCATACAATAAAATATTAGGTAGACTCAAATTTTTTTGTTTAATCTCAAAGTAATCAGTTTAATAAAGGATGAAGACCAAAAGAATAGGGAAAACTGCCTAGCATGGGATTTTTTTCTTATGAACATATATCATGTAAAAAGAGGAAGGCCAGAACTTCCTAAAAATGAATTTTCTTGCGAAGAACACACAAGCTAGAAAAATTCATGAATTCATTACTTTGATTTTTCGAATTACCATTTTGTTTTCGAGATATCATGGAAAATCGTTGAAAATTCATGGGGAAGAGTGAAGCAGTAACCAAAGGTGAAACCACTTTCTAATGATTTTCATAGATGTAAAATTCAATTCCGATTTCATTAGTGTGATTTATTTTGAACTAAAATTATCCAAAACTGGCCATTTGCCGATTATTCAATGACGGATAGCTATTACATTTATCGAAAAAGTGGCCAGTTTTGAGTCATTTTAGTTTAAAATAAATCACTTAATTGAAACCAGAATTGAATTTTACATCTAAAAAATCATTTAGAAAGTGATTTCACCTTTGGTTATTTTGGCATTCGTCCCATGCATTTTCAACTTCATTTCATGATATCTCGAAAACGAAAAGTTATTCCGAAAAATGGATTAAAGTAATGAATTGAACATAAAATTTTACATCATATATGTTCATAAGAAAAATATTCCATGTTAGGCAGTTTTCCCTATTCCCAGTTGGTTCAGCCATATTGATTCAATTTTGATTCAAAACATTTGACACGAGTTTCAATCAAAAATGAAAGCTTTTGACTCAACACTGAAAAAATTTTTACAATTTATTCTAAGAGTTATCATAAATATTGAATTAAGCCAGGAAAGTGTCCAAAGTGATTGAAATGAGATTGATTGACCAAATAACCAGCTTAACCCGTCGCCTCATCTTCATATAGCAAAGGGAGAAAATTATAAATTAATAAAAATCGATAACAAATCGCGTTATTCATCTATTATTACTTTTAATTCTGTATATTTTACAAACAAAAATCACGGAAAATTAAATAAAATCAACTGATTATTCAATCACCAAAGTCATCGGAATTTCAATGTTCAATTGATAAAATAAATCAATCCAATTTGGTTATTTCATTGGTTACATTTGAATAATTTCGTATCCATTGAAGGTTAAATATATTCAATTTGATCAGATCTCAATTCATCGCGCTTTAATTGATAGATAGCTGACGAAAGGAAATCCTTATGCTTGGAAACATCAACAAAGATAGTTTCGGGATTCCGATGACAGGGATGACCACGTCCGGCACTTACAACTCCAAAAAGATAGGTTTTATTATTTTTTGGATTTTCCCAAACTAAAGGACCACCTGAGTCACCAACACATCCAGCTGAGCCTTGAATATTAATCGTACAAAAATTGTTTCCCGGAGAGTACTCATACTTTGACAATAACATTGAGCACTCTCTATCTGTGAGTGTTAATACAGTCGCCTCTTTCATTCTATCTGGATCCCCACTGTATTCATCTATACCAAAGCCCATCAACTTGGTCTCTGTACAAATGGCAGGTGATTTGGCGGGTATCGTAAGAGTTACACCAGGATAAGGTTGGTCCATCAGTATAACAGCGATGTCATGTGCACTAAATGGCTGTACTTTGAAATCGAAATCTGGATGCACCACATACCTTGAAATTTTGAAGAACAGATCATTTTTTTCAATGAATGGAGTGTTTCGATAGTTGGGAAAAATTCGATATAACTTGTTAGCTGAGGGACTAAAAGATACAATGGATTAGTATTTCTTGAAATACATTTCAATTTTACATTGGCATTATTTGAAGCTTACTTCATGAGGCAATGAGCTGCTGTTACCACCATTCTGCTTTCTACCAACGACCCACCACAGTTGGCAATATATTTATTCTGATCTTCGCGATCTGGTAATAGAAGTGACATATAGTAAGGATATGCACCTGCTGTGTAAACATATTGGCCCCAAACAATTCTTTCTTGGAACTCTGTTTGGTTATCGATGTCTGTCGATGATACATAATTTAGAAATAAAATTATCATCAAAATTTCACTGTTAATCATTTTTGATTGGCTTAATGAAATTTTAAAACTCAATAATTAAATGTGCAAATGATCCGAGTCTTGATTCAAGTTAAAATTAAACTAAACCAATACAACCGAGAAAACAGATTGATCAAAATTGATGTTAGATAAGTTAACTTTGAAAAGTCTTGAATAGCTATCCAGATTGATTCAAGGTGGTAATTCAATATTTAAATATTACATTATTATACAATACAAAAAACTACTGAAATAAGAAGATATTTTCTTGTTATCAAACTACATGATGTACTTACTGTATTTACAATCTGTTCAGTACTGGTAGCTGCACTTAACGCCATCTTTGGTATTTCATTGCTTTAGAGACTTTAATATGCAAGTAATGCTCGATTACAATCTGAGCACAATTGAGCGAAAAAATTGTGAACGCTAGTTGAAATCTAGGGCTTTATTGAGGGCAGCTTCAAAAACGAAAAATTGAGAGCAAGGAAATTTACCTATCAAAAGTCATATTATATCAAAACCGTATTGCCAACAGAAACTCAAAGACTATTGATCTACAGAAATCGCGCATTTAAATAAAACTTATTTGCTTCGTTGTCCAATCTTCATAAAAAAATGGGCAAAATCATTTGTGAATCAATCCATTCTAAGGATTAAGGTAATCATAGATTTATAAATTTCAAATTGTACTTGTACCGTTGTAGTAGTTACTTTCAACTTTGTATTATATTTTTAGAAACAAAAAGCACTTAATTGACAAATTGAATCCTCAAAAAATAACAAAAAATTTTAATATTGAAATGATAAAATGAATCTATTCAAGTTGTTTAGCCCATTCCTCATATCTCAATTGTCCTGGTTTAGGTGGCCTAGGACATCGCAATTCTTCACGAGAAAATTGTAAATAAGCATCATTGATGAACTTCAAACTAGCAAAAACACTAACAAAAACATCAGTGTGAAACGTAGCACAGGGAGATTGTTCACTACTCAGCACACCATAAAGATAAGTCGTATTAGTAGGTGGATAAAACCAAACTGCAGGACTACCTGCGTCACGATAACATCCACCTGCACCATCGCTATTCTGAGTACAGAAATTGTAAAATGCAGAGTACTCAAATCCTGTCTTTCTATCCAAGCACTTTTTATCGTTTTGTATGACAACGGTCGCCTCTTTCAATGTATATGGTTGATCACCAAATTCAGTGATCCCATAACCCATCATCGTAACCGATGTATGAAATGGAAGATTTCTGAAGGGCAGTTCAAGCCTAGCATTTTTTCGAGTATCAGCTTTGTCCAATAGTATAATACCGATGTCATGCATAGTCGTTGGTCGTTGTTTTGCAAAATATGGATGCAACAAATATCTTTTAATTTTGAAGACTCGATCGTTAGGATGCTTAAACGGTGAATTTCGATAGTTGGGTAAAATAAGAAAGTCGTTAATAAGTGAGGCACTAAAAAAATACAATGGATTAGTATTTATTGAAAGCTATTTTCGTAATTATTTAAAGCTTACTTGTTAAGACAATGAGCTGCTGTTATCACGATTCTTTTTTCCACCAATGCTCCACCACAGAAGTGACGATATCCCGATTGGTAATTACGATCTGGTAACTGGATTGAACAAAAGTAAGGATATTTACCCCATTGTTTAACATCTTGACCCCAATAAATTTTCTCCTGAAGCTCTGTTGGATCCTCGACCTCTGTCGATGATACGAAATTTGAATATAAAATAATCATCAAAACTGCACTTTGGATCATTTCTGTACTTTCTTGATTGAATCGTAAACAATAGACGATTAAACTCAAATGTTACCAATGAAATCTGAAAATGATCTGTCAAATTAGTTTTAGTCTAACTTGAAACTAAACTAACTAAACCAATACAAAACAGATTGATCATGAATTAATGATGATTAAATTAATTTAAAAAAGTATCAAATATCTATCCAGGTTGATTTAAGGTGGTAAGTAAAATTCAAATTTAAAACCACTCTTAGAAGATACTTTCTTTCTCAACTATAATATTATAAAGAGTTTAAAAAATTTCCCCGATCGACAGTTTTCGAGAAAATTGAGATCAAAGTTTAACTTCAATCGCCTTTAGTAACTTTCAATGGCCAACCATAAAATGCACTCATTTCGTGAAATTAGATTTTTGTTTTCTGTGTGAAAGATCGCTTCGATTTGAAGTTAAACATGGCTCATGCTGTGACCGTAATAGAGATCTTAAACTCATTTTTTACCAACTAAATTGGTCTAAATGGTTGATACACTTTTTTGCAATGTATCAACCTTATAGTACATCCTCTCTTGTTAATTATTTTCAATTATTTTAAGCAAACTAGTGAATTGATGACCAGCTAATAAGATCAAGAAATTAGATTATAATTTAATTCTATGATTATTTTATATTGTCTAAATTAAGGTCACGGTTGGTTCAACTAAAAATCATTTGTGAATCGATCCATTCTAAGTGTTAAGAGTAATCATAAATTTATAAATTACAAATTGTAATTACTTTTAATTTTGTATATTTTTAGAAAAAAAGCACAAAAAATTAAATAGATGAAAAATTCAATCTCAAGGCAACAAACAATTTTAAAATTAAAATGGTTTAACGAATCTATTCGATTTGTTCATTTCATTGCTCATATCTGAATCCCTTCCAATCCATAGGAGATACTTGTTTTATCACAAAAAATATCGTCTTTAAACTGAAAAGGCAATTTAAGACCTTTCAAAGGTCCTAATTTTTCTCATTTTTGTGTAAAATTACAACTTTAGATCAATATGCCGCCCATTTCAGATCAGACGATATACTTTACGACATTTAAAAGCTTGTTTAAAGCCAATGGATGGCATAATGCTATATTTTGGAGTTCATTAACTGAATTTCCATTCAGTAATCGTATATTTCTGCTTTTCTAGTTTTCGGACATCCCAATTCATTACGAGTAAAACGTACAATAGCATCATTTATGAACTCCAAATGAGCAAAAACATCAACAAAGACATCAGTGTGAAACTTATCACAGGGTGACTGTTCGCTGCTTAGCACACCATGAAGAAAACTCCTTTTAGTATTTGGATCTTCCCAAACTGCGGGACCACCTGCGTCCTGATAACATCCACCCGCACCCTCGCTATTCTGTGTACAGAAATTGTAAACTGGAGCATACTCAAATCCTGTCTTTTCGTCCAGGCACTTTCTATCGTTTTTTATGGAAGTAGTCGCTTCTCTCAAAAGAAATGATGGACGTTCGTTTTCAACGAGCCCAAAGCCCAACATCCTAACCTCTGTGTCAACTGGAAGACGTTTGAAGGGCAGTTCAAGCCAAGTAACAGGTCGAGTATCAGCTTCGTGCAATAGTACAACAGCGATGTCATGCATACTGTATGGTCGTTGTTTCAAAAAATCTGGATGCAGCTCATAATTTTTAATTTTGAAAACGGAATCTTTATGGTCGAAATACGGTAAATTTTGACTGTTGAGTAGAATGCGAAGTTGTGGAACAAGTGAGGCACTAAAAAATACACAAGTATCATGTAATGAGCAGTATTTTTTAAGCTTCAAATTTAGTATAAATATTCAAAGCTTACTTTCTAAGACATTGAGCTGTTGTTATCATGATTCTCCTTTGCACCAATGTTCCACCACAGAAGTGACGGTATCCCGATGGCCCGGCTTCATGATCTGGATATTGGATAGAGCAAAAGTAAGGATATGCGCCGTGATCGTGCACCTGGTTGCCCCAAGCAATTTTCTCGTGGACCTCTGTCAATGATACAAAATTTGTATATAAAAACATCATCAAAATTGCACTGTTGAGCATTTCTGTTTTCTTTGATTAAATTTTAAACAATCGACTTTCAAAACTTAATGATTAATAATGGAATCTGTTAATGATTCTTGTAGATGAGTCTTGATTCAAGTTAAAACAAAATGAAACCAATGAAACACTCGCCAAAACAGATTGATTCATTAATTAATGTTGGCTAAGTTGACTTTGAAAAGTCTCAAATATCTATCCAGATTGATTAAAGGTGGTAATATAAATTTATTATAATATTCTTGTGGCACAATAATATTTCAAGCTGTTTCACAACTTGTACATTAAAATATAATTATTTAATTAGTCTTAGCGCTGCAAAGACTTATCTCCGAAGCCTTCGAGAGTAGTATTATAAGGTCCTCTTCGAGGATGACTTGGTTTTTCCAGGACAACTCTGTTTTTCCAGGAAAGTCCGCTTCTGGGACAAACGAACTATCCGCTTCTGAACCAATGATATCGTACTACAGTGTTAGTTTTTTGCCGGGAAAAAATGAAAAAATGAAAATGAAAATGAAAATTAATACAGAATTAGAGGCCTCGGCTTGAGTCTCTCAACTCAAGCTCGCGAACTCTGTGTTCGACCCAATCCAGGTACCGGTCCTGGAACTCCTCTCGAGGGAACCCAAAAGCTCTTTGGCATCGGTGGTCGATGTATGTTATGAACTGGTCCTTCTCGGCCAGTTCAATCCTTCCTTCGGCTACCTCAGCTCGTAGCTCCTGGTTCCTGATTTGGAGGCGCTGTTTTGGACCCGCAGCCTCTCGATCCGCGCCTCTTGGTCCTCCTAAGGCCGGATTTTTTCAATGGCCTGCCTGATGGTGCGGCGTACAAAGGCAGGAACGGCGATCAGAGCTGACTCCAAATGAGTTGGCATAATTAATCAAATTAATGTTAATTTTAAACAAAAAAAAATAAATAAACTAAATTAAACAATTAAAGATGAAGATGAAGGCACATTGATGGTGATGGAGACTAGAGATTACGTCAGTTTTCATCGATTCGGTACATCAGACCTTATATAACTACTTTCGAGCCTTTGATAAGTATTCAAAATAATAACAATAAATAATATTTTAGAGAAATATAATATAATAAACACGACGCTTATTCAAGTATCATGTTTACATAAAAAATGAAATTTTAATGCGATTCATCAAAAATAGCTTGATTGTGAATTTTTATGCTAAAACATAATTTTGTGGATTTTGTATTTGCAAAATACATTCTGCATTTTTCATCATTCAATATCTCGTTATTTTATGTATTGGTTGAAGATAGTTTAATGCTATGAATGAGAAAGATATTTTTGAAGTGAAGAGAGTTATGGGAAAAGTCCCAACGAATCGCAAATAAATTAAAGTTAGATTTAGGTCAAGATTCAGTGAACATTAATTGGAGGAACAGTGGAAAACGGTTGGCATTTCTATTATACAAATGTATAACACGAACTCAATTGAATTTAGTTGTCAGATTTGCTATGATTGCTCAGTCTTACCATGGATAATGCAGTAACTAGAAATCAGTAAAAAAGAGAAAATATCAAGATTTCCTTATACAGTACTCATGAGAAAGTACGAAAAGAGCATCACAAGTCCTGATACGTCTTTATTCATTCGAGAAAAATAGGATTAACGATATCTCAAAGTTTAGTACGATATTGCAACGAAATTAATTCTAACTTGCATGATGAATCAGAATCTGTTCTACAAGTAGATGCATGCCATGTTTATCATATGCCTAGGAGTCGTGGTGTTCCTGCTGAAATTATAATTCATATAATGCCTGATGATATTGCCAATAACCCTTCCCAGGTACTCAATGGTACTGATTTATATGCTGGATATGGTAAAGACTGAACTGGCAATGCAGTTAATCTAGCAAATTTCATGAAAATTTTGAAAAGAGACAAGGAACTTGCCAAGAAGGGCAAAAAAGTACTAACAGCAGGACCAGAAGATCATGTACTAGTCTAATTCAATAATCATGGGGATACTGGAATAATTGGCTTTCCACGTTCAATATTAACTTCCGATTATCTCAATAAAACCATAACATATATGCACGGGCACCAATTGTATGGTAAACTCACTTTTTACTTAACAACTCGTAATTCTGGCTCAATGTTTGAAAACATTTTATCTCCCAATATTAACGTATACGGAGTATCATCGGCTAAACCAGATGAACCAACATGGGAAAGTTTTTGTGATAAACCAGATTTTCCTCTCTGTCTTAGTGATGAATTTGCATATGCTTGGTTCAAGGATACTGAACATCATGACCCGACTAAAGAAACACTTGAAACTCAGTATGAAGACCTCGTTAAAAAAGTAGAAGGATCAGCTCCACAACAATATGGTGCTAAGGATATAGCAAACGAGGTAATTGGCGAGTTTAAAGGTGATTCTAAATCAGGTCAAGCCTCAATATTAGGTTGGACTAAACCGCAAGTAACTGAACTTGTCAGTATACGAGGTTCTCCTTTGCACTATTGGGGTCGTCGACTGGAGATGGCCAAAGACAATGAAGTGATCAAGTTAAATCTAAACTATCAACCATTGTTGAAGGAAGACGATTCTATGACAGAGCAATTAGAAATGTTATCAATGAACTTTGCAGAGCTGGATTCTGTTCAAATGCTAACAATGTTTTGTCAAAACGTTTAAGCCTTTGCAATCATAAAGGATACTCTTTGGTGGTCAAGAGCTTGTGCTCATCACATTAGTAATCAATGCAATTAATGCAATCAATGTTTCGATGCAATTGTCTGATGTAAACTCAAAATTTAAAATCTTTGAAGTAAATGAAATTGCCTTGCTTTCGTTATGAATAATAAAGGATTAAATTCAGTTAATTAATGTAACATTTGAATAACAGTGAATAAAAAATTTTGCTTGAACAATATCTTATTGAAATATTTTCAATTTTGTACTCAATAAATGTAAACTCAGATGGCAGCAATCATCTTTCTACTCATGTCATGTAAATTCATTTTATTAACCTCTAACTTTTAACTTCTTTTATTGTACTTTGTAATAAACGTTTTTACATTGTATTCGTCAGCTATTTAACCAGCTTTAAATTTCTAACAAGAATCGATTGTTAATTGTTAAAATTAATTTCAAGTTTATTATCTAATTTGTAAAATTCAATATCCAAAAAAGCAATGGGTCTTTCTGTAGCTGTTGTCTTTCTATGTGATTATGATAAAGTTCACTCATGAAATATTCCTTTACCTTAACTAAATCAAATTTTAATGTTTATGTTGCCGCATATTTAGGTAATTACAGTTTGAAACAAAAAAACATTAACAATAATAATTGCAGCAAATTCGAAATTTTCAATGCATAATTCATCTCTGAATAACATACAATCAACTGACCATATTTGTTTTATCACAAAAAAATATTGTATACAAATTGAAAAAGGTATCGATAATTTAAGACCTTTCAAAGTTGCTAATTTTTCTCATTTTTTGTGCAACATTGCATTATGTTATCTGTATTAGCAATCTTTTCTCAGTAAGCTGTTTTGGTCAGATCAGACGATATAATTTACGATATTTAAAAGCTCGTCTAAAGCCAATGGATGGCATAATGCTATATTTTGGAGTTCATTAACTGAATGTCCATTCAGTAATTGAATGGTTTAGGGCATCCAAATTGATCACGAGAAAATTGTATAAAAACATCATTTAAGAACTTGAAATGAGCAAAAATATTAACAAAGACATCAGTGTGGAACTTTCTACAGGGTGTCTGTTCGCTACTCAGCACACCATAAAGATAACTTATATTAGAACGTGAATCTTCCCATATTGCAGGATCACCTGCGTCACGATAACATCCACCTGCACCCACGCTATTCTGAGTACAGAAATTATAAATTGGAGCATACTCAAATCCTGTCTTTTCATCCAGGCACTTTTTGTCATCTTTTATGATTACAGTTGCTTCTTTCAGTACTTCTGATAGGTACGTGTTTTCAGTGATCCCAAAGCCTATTATCTTAACCTTTGTATCAACAGGAAGACGTCTGGAGGCCAGTTGAAGCCTAGCATTAGTTCGAGTATCAGGTCTGTCCAATTGTACAACAGCGATGTCATACATACTCATTGGTCGTTGTTTTAAAAAATCTGGATGTATCACATAATTTTTAACTTTGAAAATGGGATCGTTCTTGCCGATTAACCGTGAATGTCGATAGTTGGGTAAAATGTGAAATTGTGAAACAAGTGAGGCACTGAAAATACAACAGTATTATGTGATGATTAGTGTTTTCAAGCTAAATTTGGATAATTATTTAAAGCTTACTTGATAAGACAATGAGCTGCTGTTAGCATGATATTTCTTTCCACCAATACTCCACCACAGTAGTGTTCATATGGACGCACATCAGAGTCATTTGGTATTTGGATGGAACAAAAGTAAGGGTATGCACCTTTTCGGGTAACATCTTTACCCTTATAAATTTTTTCTTGAAACTCTGTTGAATCTTCTACGTCTGTCAATGATACAAAATTTGAATATAAAAACATCATCAAAATTGCACTGTTCAGCATTTCTTTGATGAAATTTTGCACAATCGACTTTTGAAACTCAATTGTCGATAATGAAAGCTGCAAATGATCTGTCTCTTAATCCAAGTTAAACTAAAATCAAACCAATGCAACACTCGGCAAAACAGATTGGTTCATTAATTAATGTTGGTTAAGTTAAACTCGCTAAGTATCAAATAACTATCCATGTTGATTGAAGGTGTTTATAAAAATTGAATATTCAGACGATTTTGTTTGACAATATCATCAACAAGCTGTGATACAATTCATATTATACAATAAAATATTTAGGTAAAATCAAGTTTTTTTCGGTGATTAATTAAATTTGTAATCAGCTTAGTAAAAACATGCAATTGTTGTGATTTCTATAAAAATATTGCATAAATATTTTTTCTTTTTTGTATCATATTTCACAATTAAAAACATTGATTAACATACTTTTTATTTTTTTCCATATTTCACTGCAATATAACATTGAAAAATGATTAACAGACCGAAACTATTGTTCATTTTGTAAAAAATGTAGAACAGAATTGAAAACGAGTGAACACGAGATAGCAGTGCCTCGACGTCATTTCCTTTCCTTAATCAAATTTTAACTTTGTGGCATTTTCGGTATGTACAATAATGGCAGCCTTGTTAATGAATTGAAATTATTTTTGTTATTCTCTTTCGGTAGATACTCTGAAGTATCCGAGGTAATTGTTGAAAATCCTACGATCGAGATATTCAATTTTACTCAATGCTTAGGATATTAATGACGAGAAAAGTTATACTATCGATTTCTGGTTGGATTCAGTCTGTGTTATAATGGGTAAAGGTCCTCTCAAAACTTTTTATTAATGCATGTTGGAGCCATGTTCAAGTAACCTGACAATGCAAAATTGCTAAGCAAAGTTAAAGACAATTGCGGGTAAAGTGTTGCAAGTTTTTTGGATCAAGTAATCGATAGCGACATTAAACATTTTACTTGGTGCCATGATCTAGTAGACGAAGTCAAGAGGTTTTAAACGTTAACAAAGCTGATGTTTTGACCAATGATAATGAAGAAAAGTAATGGATTCCAAATGTGTTCAATTTAGTCAAATCAAAAGGTGTATTCAAAACTATCTTTATGGGGACTTCGGTCTCAGTTGTTGCTTTACATAATAAAGGGAAAAATCATTTATGGAATCAAACCTTTCTAATGAATAATAGATTTACACAAATTAGTTATTTATATTATATTTTGTTAGGGCTTTTAATTTTGTTAAATAAAAAAACGAGAAAAAAACAATGAAACTCAATTGATTCAAGTTATAATAAAATCTCCAAATAGTGACCGAAAATCAATTTGGTCCTTCCATTGAATTTTTTTGAATGATTTCGTTGAAAGTTGAAAATATTCACTCGAGACCGGATCTCAATTCGTCAAGAATTGTTAATCTGAAGATAGCAATATCAATCCAATCATTATATGATAAGACATCAACAAAGATTGTAAAAGGTGCAAAGCGACAATCCCACCTTCCGATAGCTAGCACGCCGTAAATAAAGGTTCTATTATTTTGTGGATTTTCCCAAATCAAAGGTCCACCTGAGTCACCTTGACATCCAGCTGAGCCCACGCCATTAGAAACGCAAAGACTGTAACCTGGCGCGTAATTCCACGGCATTTCATCGAGGCAATCTTCATCATCAAGCCTGAGTACAGTCGCTTCTCTTAATCTATATGGAAGATCGCCACTTTCAGTGAAACCAAAGCCCATCATCTTAACGGGAAAGCAAATATGTAGTGGTAAGAAGGGCCGTAAAATTATTGCACCAGGTCGAGGATCAGGTTTGTCCAAAAGTACAACAGCAATGTCATCTTTAGCATTTGACCATGGGATAGTTCCATAATGTGGATGCTTCTCGTAGGCTTCAATTTTGAATGTTTAGTAGTTAATAAATGTCCTTTTCTGGACCGACTTGTCCACTCTGGACAGACTTGTCCACTCTGGACCAACTTGTCCACTTTGGACCAACTTGTCCACTTTGGACTTACTTGTCCACTCTGGACAGACTTGTCCACTCTGGACCAACTTGTCCACTCTGGACTGACTTGTGCACTTTGGACTTACTTGTCCACTCTGGACCGACTTGTGCACTCTGGACCAATTGACATTGTTTGACCTTGTCTAACTCCTATTTGACATTGTTTGACCTTGTCTAACTCAGTTTTGACATTGTTTGACCTTGTCTAACTCCTATTTGACATTGTTTGACCTTGTCTAACTCAGTTTTGACATTGTTTGACCTTGTCTAACTCAGTTTTGACATTGTTTGACCTTGTCTAACTCCTATTTGACATTGTTTGACCTTGTCTAACTCCTATTTGACATTGTTTGACCTTGTCTAACTCCTATTTGACATTGTTTGACCTTGTCTAACTCCTATTTGACATTGTTTGACCTTGTCTAACTCCTATTTGACATTGTTTGACCTTGTCTAACTCCTATTTGACATTGTTTGACCTTGCCTAACTACTTTTGAGTTATAATTATATGATTTCAGAATCAATTAGTCACTCTTTATTGTCATAAAGTATGCGTATTCGCGGCTGGGAAATTTTCATGCGATAACCGCTAGATGGCAGCACTTTTGAGTTTTTTACTGATTAACTTCAGAATTCCATTTTATCTTTAATCTACAATGAATTTACGTAAAATCACGCTCAATGATCAATAATTAGCATTAATATTTATTAAAAAACCTCAGCATTCATGAAAAAATTGAAAAAACGAATTGCATTGTTAACGAACTGTAAATTTGGTCTCGCAAGCTTAGACGGAGAAAAAATCAATAGATGGCGCCACTTTTTAGTCTTTCTTTACTTTCTTTTCTATAATGAATTTTAATGATTTATTCAGTAAATATCATGCTGAAAACTACCACAACAGCGTGTATCTAACTTTCATGATCAATATCTAAACCATGAAGTTCACAGAAACAATTTAATTTTCGAGTCAAAATCTTCACCTCTCGTTCTCAGTATAAATATACTTATTGATCTCTATTCAAGTCAATACATTCCAAAACTTTGAGTTGGATCGATAAGGTCATCAAACGTTTAGCGAACTGTTCACTTCCAATACTACTCTTGTATTAATCCTAAGTGGATTTTAACCTTCCTGATAGGAGATATTAACAAACCTGATTTTCATAATGTCTTCTGATGTAAGTATTTTTCTTAATCATTTAAGCTCGAAAGAATCACCAAAAGAATCTCTTGTTTTTTCTTTTCATTTCTTTAGGCCACCAAAGAAATTCCAATGGAAGCTGATGAGGATTTGCTTGATCCTAGATCATTTCCAACACCCAGAATAGATGAGCCTATGGATCTCCCAATGCCGTCATTTGCTTGTCTAGATCCTAGAAGTAAACCATTTGATCTTGCAGAACCAATGGACCTGCCGCTTCCACCATTTGCTGAGGCAATGGAAATTGATAAAGTATTAACTGGAAGACAGAGAAGAAACCAGGCAGCTAAAAGGAGGAGAAAAGAAAGATTGGCAAATCTAAACGAATTACCTGACGATCATCCAGATAAATTACTGTTTTATATTCGTAGTGGACGTAAATGGAGGAACAGATGGGTTCATTTTATTAATAAGTATCGATGGTGGTTGCAACGCTCAATGGAAAACAAAGAATACGGTAAAGGTCCCTATTTTGAGCAATACCTCAAAGTTAGAGCGAAAGCAGATAATGCAAAAAGAATTTGGAAGAATTTTGATAAATTAGGAGGATTGAAATATAGTTGAACCCAATTTAATGTAAAACTAAATTCAATTTACTGTAACTCTTGAAATTCAATTACTGTACTCATTCAACTTAATTATTTCAATAATACTTTTTTATGCAATTGATTACTTTTGGTGATTCTTAATTTATTTTTTTAATAGTATTAACTAACGATTTTTGAACATTAACTAACGATTTTTTCTCACATTTAAGATATTCGAATGTCCGTGTTGCAAATATATATCATCATCTTTAGCAACATATTTGTGTCATATTTGTACGGTAAACTGCACTGATGAAAGTTGTACAAGGATGGATGTTTTTGATTTGCCGCCCCCAAAACGATCTCGTACTGATCCTGCAATAACTCCTGATTGCCGTGATATTTGTCTAACCTCATCGAATTGTAATCGTGGTCAAAGATGTTTATTCTTAAGGTCGAGGGATCAGGAGCAAATAAATTTGTTTCCTAACCCTCCACAACAAATCCCTCGTCAAGCTGATATAGGGATAATTGAGCTTTCTTGGCATCATCTCCGCTGGATTTATCAGTTTCACCTTTAAATTCACGAGTATCAGTTATTCAATATGCTCAGGTCCGCTGGATTTATCAGTTTCACCTTTAAATTCACGAGTATCAGTTATTCAATATGCTCAGGTAGATCGTTTGCCATCAATCAACGATCGAGGTAATTCACTGAATAGAACAGCTGATCAATGGGGTAATGGGAATTCTTCAACTAGACAACTCGAAGATCAAGGTAGCTCTTCAACTGGACAACTCGAAGATCAAGGTAGCTCTTCAACTGGACAACTCGAAGATCAAGGTAGCTCTTCAACTGGACAACTCGAAGATCAAGGTCATTCTTCTGCTGTACAAGTCGTCCCTATAAAGAGAAAAAAAGACTATAGCTGTGGTATTTGCGGTAAAAATTATGTTTTGAAAAGTTGTGCAGATCGTCATGAAGCTTTTTGTGGAAAGAAAATGTGTCTATCTAATCCAGCTAATGTTCCTGATGAATACTGTGGTTTTAAACTTATGGCGAAAGCGTTTGCAAAATACTACTTGATTTATCGACTAATCAACAATCATCAATGTGATTTATCATCATTCTTTGATTTAATTAATCAACCTACGATAGATTTAATATCTCTTATAACGAAAGAATTCGAAGCAGTCAAATACTATTTCAACTTGGAGGTACTTTTTCACGAAGAGATTTCCGATCGGACATGTAAAATTAATTTTGCATCTGGTATGTTTTCTGGTTTGATTGCTGATAGAAACGAAAATGCATTAATATCAGCAAAATTGGAATTTGAGGATCGCATCGATCAATTCACTCAAAGAGGATCTGGATGGATCTTATCTAATATCAACCATATCGATTTGCTGATTGGAAAATATATTCCGCATGCAGGAGGTTGTAATTCATCGAAACTTCCTCCTAGACTCAAAAACAAAAAATGCCTAATTTCTCCTGATTGTTCAACTGATTGTTTCATGTATAGTATACTGATTGGCTTACATAAAACGGAAACTCACTGTGGAAAAATCAGCAATTATACTCAATTCATAAAATATTACGACTTTTCAATGGTCCGAGGAATGGTATCTTTAAATCAAATCCCAAAATTTGAAAGAGCTAATCACGTTTCTGTCAATGTTTATACTTATGCATTTGAAACCGAAAGAGTTTGCCCATTAAAAGTGTCAAAGATAAAAGAAGCAAAACATGTAAATCTATTTCTACATGGTGAACACTATTACTTTATAAGCGACCTATCTCGTCTCGCAAACTCAAAAAAAACCAGAAGTAGGTTTATATGCGAAAATTGTCTCAACTCATATAGACTGAAAGAACAATTGGAGAAACACAAATCTGATTGTGGAAAAAATCTGCCTCAAGCTATAAAAATGCCTGATCTTCCACATGCCATCTGCAAAAGGAGCAATTTCAGAAAAGAAGTTGAGTTTCCTTTTTGCATTTATGCAGATTTTGAAACTTTGTCTGTTAAAAGAGATGATTACAGCCATGTCTTAACTGATTTAGTTCCCTGTAGCTATGGGTATGTGGTTGTAGACTGGTGTGGAAAAATCATTCATAGTGATTTTTACTTAGGCGAGGATGCAGGTAAAAAGTTTCTTATTAGTTTAAAAAGTTTGGAGACATTTCTAGATCAAGAACTGGCAAGACGACGAATCTATGATCATAACTTATCTGCTGTAGAAGAAGAAGATTTCAACGATGCAATAAATTGTCACATTTGTCATAAAATCTTGCAAGAAAATCGAGTTAGAGACCACAATCATTTGACGGGTGAATATAGAGGTGCAGCTCATCAGCAATGTAACTTGGAGTACAGAGTCCCTAATAAATATCCAGTTGTTTTTCATAATTTGAAAAACTTTGATGGGCATATAATAATCTCTGCTCTCGATATCAATTTTAGTGAATCTGTTAAATGGAAAAGTACATTGGATTTTTCCTTGGCAAATTCAAATTCGTGGATAGTTTTGCTTTTCTACCTTCAAGCCTTGATAACTTATCATCAAACATTCCTACAGAAAGCAAGAATCAATATTTAAAACAAGTCTTCGGAGATATTGATACCTCCTTATTGCTGAAGAAATCTGCCTTACCATATGAATATCTGACTTCTCTCCAAGTTTTCAATGAAAGATTCTTGCCTGACATATCAGCATTCCAATCAACATTGTCTGATTCGAATATTTCTGCTGAAATGTATGACCATTTGAAACATGTTTGGTCAAAATTCAACTGTTCAACCTTAAAAGATCTCCATGATATCTACTTGAAAGTAGACGTTTTACTTCTTACTGCAGTTTTTGAAAATTTCAGAAGCATGGCTCTGCAATATTTTTCTCTCGATCCATTACACCAGTTTTCAGCGCCTGGTCTCACCTGGTCTGCATTTTTGAAACTAACAAAAGTCGAGATAGAACTTTTCACTTCTGTTGATATGTTTCTATTCATTGAAAAGGCCAAGCGTGGTGGTCTGACAATGGTTACAAAAAGACACGTTAAGGCAAACAATAAATACTTGTCTAATTATGATCCTACATTACCAAACTCTTACTTGCTGTATTTGGATGTTAATAACCTTTATGGCTACGCCATGTCGCA